ATGCTACTGTACTTCTTTTTAGCTGGCATTTGATATTAATTTGCTAAGTGGAATTTATAAAACAAATACAAAAGTCTCTTCGACATAATTAATAAGAAATTCGACTTAAATAATAAAAATATAAATAAATATCGTAAGATCAAGTCAAGAAAATTAATCACTCATTAAATTCAAATCATTGAGCAACATTTTGAGAATTATTCACATCAAAACTGTTTTATTTTAGTATTACATGAACTCTTTTCGGATGCTTTTACTTCAGTGTTTTATCCTGGTGCAGCTTCTGACAGTCAAAAATTACCACAATCAGCAATTTTCTCTTATTTCCCTTTTAGCATTTATATATCCCTTTGGTGAGGACTTAAAAATCTATTTCCACAGAGGTATCAATATTAGTACATATATCTAGTACTTATTAAAAAACACCAATTAACATAATAGCAGTAGTACCCATTTCTAAAATTATATTATCCATCATTGACGTCAAAAATAATAGGATGATTTTTTTATGGTTTTTATAAATGAAGAAATATCTTTTCTCTATCAATTCGGCTTTTTAGTGAAAAAAAAAAAAAAATTTTTTTTTCATTTCAACCCGTACCTGTTATCAAAATCCATTAAGTAACATTGGTGTCAATAACGGTTGGGCAATTTCCTATGGTTTATATACACGAATAAGTACCCTTTCCATATTAATTTAGCATTTTAAAATAATTATATTTTTATTTCAATTTATACAAATTATAAAAATTAGTTAATTATAAAAATTTGCTTGCGAAAATAATTAGCTATGACGCTAAAATTTTAAAATCAATTTTGGCGAAGTAACTAATATCGGTACTTATGTCGGAGGCCGTAAAAAATTCGTCAAACTATTATTGATGCCAGAAATACTTAATTAAATGTGGTATTAAGTACTTCTGGTATTGCCATTATAACCCTATCGATGTAGACTTATCTATGTAAAACTTAATCTACGTATACTTATCTATGTATACTTAAGTGCAATGAATTTATAGAGAATGATAATCTTGACTTTTTTTAAAGGGAAAAAAAAAACTGCGTTTTTCTAGATTGATATGTTTGAAAGACATAAAAAAAACTCAATACCGAGTCGCCCAGAAGCAGAATATTTTCAAATGTTTTGCAACAGGACTTATTAATTTATACAAATGTTCTGCAAGCATTTCACAGCGAAAAAAAGTCGACTTTCCGTTAAAATACTATATTTTCATTTATTAAAATATAAGATCATACACAGATATACTATACCTTATTTTTTAAACCAAGGTAAATATTCTTGATTTGTTACTTTTTCAACATTGTTACATTTTTGAAGTAAAAATTTTTGTTAATGACTATGATGAATTATTAATAAAATGCCTATGATATGAAGGTCCGAACATTAAAATAAGGGCTGCCTTAAAAATCTTTCGAAGGACAAGTGCCCAGATGGTACACCATTTGCAAAGACAAACATTCGCTGGTCTGTTTATTCAACAACTTCTTCATCTCCATCGAAATCATTTGGTCTCTTAGAAACAATTCTGTCAATCAACACGATTCACAAATTGCTTCTGAAATGGGAATATAAAATATAAAAAGTCATAAACTTTATGAAATTTGAAATCTCTGAATTTAATTCTTTTACAGATTGCTTTAGAAGTCCTCTTGTTAAAAATGTTTACAGAAGTATTCAAGATACAAATTGTTCTGCAGGACTTCGCTTGTTATGCGACGTACGTCACAGTTTTAGGAACTTTCTGCTTCTGGGGCCGAAACGTAATTGAATTTAATTTCTTGGCATAAATTTGAACATAACCTAACCTAAACATGATTTAAATTTAACTTAAAATTAAACATAACAAAACATAACTTTAAGATTTAACTTAAATTTAAACATAAATTTCATATAACTACTTTATAAAAAAAAAATAGACACGTCTGTACTATTATCCATAGGAAATCGATTCGGTTGGTAAGTTATTAACAGCAAATCCTCTCAAAATCATCTTTATAAATACCAATAATCCACTTTGCATCCATGAATACAGCAATATCATATACCCGCTGTGACTTCCACTTTCATAACAAATTGCCCGTTTAACTTACAACTGACCACATACTGGTTAAGCGACTCCGTTTATAATAAATGGAAGTCCATTTGTGAAAAAAGGGTGGCCTAACGAGCGAATAATAGGGCACTGGGCCGACCCGTCGCTGATCTTGACCTTTCAACCGAGGGTTCTCCTAGGAAGCCGATACTAAAATCAGTGGTGGTGTATACATAGGGAAAACATTACCCACTACTGATATCTGGTTTAGACCACCCAAGATTTCAGACCACCCAAGTTGTTGGTCAGTCGGCGCGTGTGTTTAGATTCGCTTCCAACAGGTTGTATTCTGAATTCTTGCTCAAAAATTTGGCGATAAACTATCTTTCGCATTCTTGTAATGGCAGGGTTACTGAAGTAGATCTTCCCTTTGTTTATTGGATCTTTTGGCATCTTTTTTTGGCTGGAATGAGAATTTATGTGTGGATCGAATAGAAGGACCCCACATTACGCAAAAATTATGCAAATTTAAGTTCTTTTTTTTTTCAGAAAAAGCCCAGACGAAGTGTTATGTTAAAAAAGAATTTGATGGGTCTTAAAATCTCAGGTAAAAAGCATATTTGAAATATTATCCCGAATTATGAACAATTATCTGGTATTTAAAGGGTTTAAAAGCAGCTGTAAAATAGATTTTTTTTTCGTTATTTTTAAATAACCAACCACCATCACCCTTTACATTAACCGCATATGTACTTAACAGAAGCTATTTACTATATCCTCCAAGCCCCCACAGACATAAAGACGAGTCTTGAAAACATTAAATGTTTTCAGATTTCAATATGATATTTACAAAAAATTTAATTTAATATACACAAGTTGGACACTGAATGGAACAGCCTTGGAAAAAAATTCCGATTCGAAAAAAGAAAAAAAAAAAAAAAAANAAAAAAAAAAAAAAAAAAAAAAAAAAAAAAAAAAAAAAATGCATGCTGATTTAAAAGAGCCATATTTAAAGTTGACTATTATTTTGATAGTAAATTGAGTTTAGAACTTTAGAACTAGATTTGACGTTCAAAAATACGTTAAATTATGTATATGATAATTAATATGATTGATAAAAGATTTTAATCTACAAATATACGATTGATTTAATATAGTTGTTTTAAACAGTTCTATTTTATGTTTATTTTTAAGAAAAGCAATCAAAATAAGTGAGGTTTAAGTACAATGTATCAGTGGCATAAATAACATCCCCACAAAACCAGCGGTGCGGGACCTGGCGCGCTAGATTTAAGGGCACACACTACAAATTAGAATAAAAACATTTTTCCTTTATAAGATTTTTTTTTTTTAATAAACCTTATAAGAGCAGCGATGGATCAGGGGATAGAGCTTTCGCCTTCCAGTGAGGCGAACCGGGTTCGAATCCCAGTCGATACGAATTTCGCATTGCACCGACCACAGTGTTAACTTGAAATATCCTCAGTGGTAAACGGTATAAAATAGGAAGTGGTATAAAATAGGAAGGCTCCGCCTCTTTACACCTTTTTTTATAGGATATTAAATTGCTATATACTACATATATATCGTAGTTAGATAAAGGTTTTCCTTAAAAGAATAATAATAATAACAACCACAAAAAATATAAAATAGGAAGGTTCCGCCTCTTTACGCCATTTTTTTATAGGATATAAAATTGTTATATACTACATATATCGTTGTTTTCCATTACAGTGTTACTATAACTCAAACAAACCACAAAAGCTTTTCAAAATAAAAGGTTGTTAGAAGAACNGGGGATAGAGCTTTCACCTTCCACTGAGGCGAACCGGGTTCGAATCCCAGTCTATACGAATTCCGCATTGTACCGACCACAGTGTTAACGTGAAATATCCTCAGTGGTAAACGGTATAAAATAGGAAGGCTCCGCCTCTTTACACCTTTTTTTATAGAATATTAAATTACTTTATACTACATATATATCGTAGTTAGATAAAGGTTTTCCTTAAAAGAATAATAATAATAATAACCACAAAAAATATAAAATAGGAAGGTTCAGCCTCTTTACATCATTTCTTACAGGATATAAAATTGTCATATACTACATATATCGTTGTTTTCCATTACAGTGTTACTATAACTCAAACAAACCACAAAAGCTTTTCAAAATAAAAGGTTGTTAGAAGAACTTTTTTTTTTAATTTCTTGACATTAAAATCAAATGCAATTGGTTTACAAATCATCATTCCTTTGCTAATTGGTAGAACCTTAGGAAATTTGATAAAATATATTGCAGAAAAGTTTTGTATTTGTGATTTCCAAGAAAATTTAGCTTTTTTTTTTTTAATTAAATGTATGTGAAACACTTTAATAAAAAGAATATTTTTTAATGTATCCCATTAATTATTATTGTTATTTGTGTCATTGTTAGATCTAGGAGTTTCCTTGTCTTCTGGTTTGGGTTCAAAATTACTAAACTTCGTTTTAAAGTAACAGTTTAAAGCTGCTCGTTCAAAATGGAACGGTAATAATCATGAGAAAAATTGATTACAAGCTTTATATTACAGAATTATTATACAGAAATACTATATAAATAAGTACCTTACAAGCTTAGAAATTAACTAGCATAAATGTCACCAAAATGAAGGTCGAAGGTTACAGTTACTTTCAAATAATCTGATTTTACACCATTAAACTATTGAAGTTATTAATTTGCTAAAAGTTTAAAAAAAAAGTTGATGAAAGTTATAAAAGCTATTATTTTTCTCAGTGCAATTCTCAATAAGATTTAACTAATTAAGATTTAATTCAAGCAGAATAAAGATTTTTTTTCAATCCTTATAAGGGGAAAAAAACACTTTTCTACATAAAAATGAGATTTTATTAAAATTTTTACTAAAATTTTACTAGATCAATAAAATATTTTTTAAAAATTATTCCTCCAGCTGTTCATTAAAGAAAATTTCCTCTTTTTTTAAGTGTTAAAATGTATTTTTCTAATGAAGTAAGTTATGAAGCCATCTTTGACTCCAAAGGACTATTGAAGATTAATTCAGTCAACATATTCATCATGAAAGTTGAATAAATCGTAGTTTTCTTCATGATTCTAATAAGCATCAGATTCATCGTCGTCAGATTCGCTCTCGTCAGAATCAATGTCGGAATCCCATAGTTCGTCAAACGATTCTTCATCGGAATCCTGTAATTCGTCAAACGATTCTTCATCGGAATCCTGTAATTCGTCAAACAATTCTTCGTCGGATTCCATTAGTTCGCCTGGTGATTCCTCGTCGGATTCCAACAGTTCGTCAGACGATTCCTCGTCGGATTCCAACAGTTCGTCAGACGATTCCTCGTCGGATTCACTGTCAAGCGGAATAAAATTTGCAATGTTGGTGTGCTCTTCGAATTCATTGTGTTCTTCAAACAACTGATTTCTGAGTTTCGGTTCAAAATTATTGTTGAGTTTCAAGCGACAAATGGGACAAGACAATTTCCTCTTAAACCATTTAAAAATACAACTAGAATGAAAAGAGTGCGAACAAGGTAGTGCATACATATCACTGACTAACTCAGATTCCAAGCAAATTATGCAATTTTCAGCATTAGTGGCTATGCCTGTCTCACCAATTCTTCGATCGTTTTCACCCTGGCAATTTTTGCTATTGTTTTCTTTAGATGACCTTGCATATGGATGGTGTCTCTGATTGGTTGTCGTTCTGTGCATTGCCATCAAATTTCTGAAAAAAGAGCTATCAGAAAATGGTATTTTGGATGTTTAAAGACTTCATTATGTAAGAGCTTAGTGCAGAACCACGTTGAGTGACATTTTAAGAACGCTCATGTTTCTTAACTCATATTTGTATATTTACAGTGAGCTGCAAGTTAATATTAACTTATTCAGCCACGTCTTTAGGCAATTTTCAATAGAAGTTTTGTTTATAAGTAGTTTCATGATATTTGTAAAATTGATTTTAAAAATTTTCTATAATAGAACACGTTCTTCCACTAAACTCTTCAATTATAAAATGAAAAAAAAAAAAAAATATGCCTGTAGGCAAGTGAATGNAAAAAAAAAAAAAAAAGCCAGTAGGCAAGTGAATGGAAGATCGGAAAAGGCTTTAAGAATATAAGTTTAGCTAGTGCATTAGTTTTAATTAGCAATAATAATAATAGTTATAGCTTTAAAATTTCTAATCAGCTCAAAATAAGCAATAAACTATACCAACAACGAAAAGTATCTCAAGTATCGCACGGCAATAGGGGCTAAATTTTTGTATACAGATAAATTTTAGAGCTAGAATATTATATATATATTATGAGTGCACAATGTTATTTATTTATTTATTTTTCCGCATCGAAATACACTACCAGTCATTAAAATTGGTATCTCAGGGAAGAAATTCAAATTAAACTGTTTAATTTTTTTAAAAATTTTAAAAAAAATTTTAAAAAAATTTTTAAATCCTTAAGACTTTTTTATTTTAACATATTTCCAAAAAATAATTTTTCTCAGTACTTACAATATTCATCTTAACAATTTTGTGCATTTGCTGAAATAGATTATTTTTACAGATTATTTTGTAAAAAAGTAGAAAAAAAGTTTAAAAATTTCTGTAGGTATATATAACATGCTGTAAAAGTTGTAATACCTCATAAAATGCTTATACCATGCACAGTTTAAATAAGTGCATTATACTTAAGATAAAAAAGTTTACTTCAAAGCTTTATCTTATATAAAAAAAATTCCTTTGGGATTTAATTAAGATTAAAACACAAAATTATCATCTATGAGAAAANAATTTTTAATACCTCATAAAATGCTAATACCATGCACAGTTTAAATAAGTGCATTATACTTAAGATAAAAAAAGTTTACTTCAAAGCTTTATCTTATATAAAAAAAATTCCTTTGGGATTTAATTAAGATTAAAACACAAAATTATCATCTATGAGAAAAAGCACTTTAAAGTCTGCTGAGCAAGTTTCTGTATTAATTTAAAATCATTCATAACTTTTTTAAAAATGTAGATAGAGAGATGATGTTTTTTTCAGTACATTTGAAATAGTTTAAAACTTTATCATAAGCAATAAAAAAAATTTCGATATTTCGGTCATTTTTTGGGTATTGTGGTATGGTGGGTATGTGGTATTTTTTGGGTATTTTTTGGGCATTTTTTGGGTAAAATGCAAGTACTACAAATTAACCACAACCCCGGTAGGCTATAATCTTTCTTTAATCAAAGTCAGACATGTACTCTTCTTCATACACGAGACATTATGATAACTCGAAAATAATGTTCAAATGCAAATTAAATATGAAAAAAAAAATTGCTGAATCACTGCTTTTTATATGTCGTTACTTTTCGTCTGTTATGAAAATTTAATCGTTTGCACTTTCTATCGTTTTTTTTTTATCTATCATTCAAATTTTACAAGTGTGGCCAGACATCTTCTTGGTAGATCAATTTTAATGGCCAGCAGTGCAGTTATAAAGTTATAGATTGTTTAAAACGACAATTTTTATTTCAATTATGACGCAAATTCTTAAAATCGATAATCAAAAAATGGCTATAAATGATTATTTTAGGTTAAACTTAATTTTCATTCGCGTGACAATTTAAGAAATTTGGATCCGAATTTTATTTAAATAATTTTCCATCGTTTGCTACAAAGTTTTATTTTATCGTGCTATATTTTGAACCAAAAGAGAAAAGAAATTACCACATTTTAAAACAAAAAAATTCGACATAGTGAAAAAATTTAATCTATCTCAAAGCAAGAAAATGGTGGCAACTACTTTACACTAAAATAAGTGCAGTGAATCACCATGCATAAGTCTTGGTTCTTGGTGTGGTGAAACTTCAAGAGTGTTCTTTTTTGATAAAAAGCAACAGCCACCTTTTTTTGTATTCAGTAGCACGAAAGTTCAAAACTACAATAAGATATGATGCATGAAGAGTCAGTAAAGTTTTTTTTACAATACAATATAAAGTAAGAATCATTAATTCAGAATGCATGCATGCATATAATTCTTAAAATAAAATTAGTTTGTTAATCAAACGCACGCACAGCACAGAGAGAATATTAAGATTAATTAGAGCTAGGTTCAATAAAATAAAAACGAATAGAAATTACTTATAAATAAATACAATTGACAGACCTACATAAATCTTTTTATGAGAACATAATTATAGCCCAGTGGTTAGAGAAAATGGTTAATTATAGCCCAATGGTTAGAAGTTCAGCGCAAGAATTAAAAAAAGCAAGCGGCCCTCTTCTTCTTATCCTTTCACCGAATTTGTTCCAATTTGTTGAATACCATTTTTCTCTTCCGTTTACTACAAAATTGCTAATATCCTATCCCGTTTCGGTTTTAAAGTTCTTTTCAGGCCTGTTAACAAAATTAAATATAACTCATTTAGAGATCCTATCAGTAATGAAAATTCGAGGGGGCATTTACCACATACCTTCCCAGTGCGATCTTAGCTACATATGTCAAACCAGGCGAGCTTTAAAATTTAGACTATTGGAACACGATGGCTAAGTACGTTATAAAGAACACGATAAATCTTCAATTACCGCTCATTGTTGTTATAATCTTGAGCAATTTCGACAATGCTAAAATTATTTCCACCCCTGTCACATCAGTTCATCTTGATTCCTTTCTAGAATCTTGTTCCATTCACATGAATGCTGATTCCCTTGTTAACGACATGGTTTCCTCACCACCTCTCGATAGCGATTGGAAATGCATTTTGTCCTGATTTGCCCCTCTCAGCCACAGCGGCTTTTTAGCACTTTTTTTCCCCAACCTTTTGCTTCTTTCTCAGCTACCGCGGTTTTTCAAGTTTTGTTCCTCATCTTTCATTATTTTTCGTCGTGTTAGCAAATTTATGTTTTGTTCCAGATTACTTTTGATTTCTTCTTTCATATCTGGAATGTCTTGAGAATGGCCACCTATCTTTGAGGGCTTAACACAATATTGACTTTTATTAACATCCTCAAGTATTCTAGACGTTTATCAAGTTTACTAGTCGTAAAGCGATTAATTTTGAAATATCTGAAAAGCTATTAATATTTTTGACAGAGATCGGCATTCGTCACTCAAAATAATGAATACTTATTCAAAATCTTCCTGAAAAATGAATTAATCAGTATCATTAGTCAGAAATATTTTAAGTTAAAGACGAATTATTTATTTTTTCAGACTTAATTCCTTATTCATTAATCAAGAATAAATTAAAAATGAATGATTTCACTGCTCAACAGAAATGGGCGCCGAATACTGTAATCGACTGCAATCGTAATTAAATACTAGTAAATAGAGTTTTTCAAACTACTTGTAATCGTAATTAGCCCCAGTAGTCACAGTTAGAAGTAACAATAATTTCTGATGAAAAGCGATTATGATTATATACGCGACAAGATGCGATTGCAGTTAATTATGATTACAAATAACCAAACTTATTGAGAGCAAGCAATAGTGACTACAAGTAATCATACAGTACGATTACATGTAATCTTTTACAGAAGCAATTTTTCATTTGCTTTTATTTTTTTATTTATATTTTAAAAAACATACTGAAAATATAAAGGTCTTACACAAATTTGTTTAAAATATTGTAAAATTTGCATAGAATTTTTTATTCCTTTGCATAATTATATTTACAAAATGAGTTTACAAATAATTTTTCATTTCGTATATTGTGACTTTTTAATGAAAACTGAATCATGCATAAAAAAATATAAGCGAAATCTATCACAATATTTAGAATTTTATAGAAAATAATAAACAAGACAAACTTCTACGACATTCCAACGATGGAACATCAAAAAATATTTTACAATGTTGAAACAGAAAAACCACCAGAATAATGTTAGTTGTTTTATAATATAGAAAACGTAGAAAATTATTTCGAAATCTTTCGATACATTTATTTACTTATTTTTTTCATTCTATTAGGAATTCAGATAACGCTGCATTATTTCAAGGTAGAACGAATAAAAGTAAAATAAAGAATTTTTAGGATTTGATTATTTATGAAGCCTTTCATTTAACGTTTTGTGAAACAGAGTTTACTATAAGCTTTGAAAACTGGATTGATAATGTGACAAGAAAAATCCAAAATTAAACAGAAAAATTATTTGATAAAGTAATATTGTTAATTTTATGTGTAAAAGTAACAACAGAACATTTTTCAATTTTAAGGGCAAAATGGTTAATAATACACTTATAATATAAGCAATCTAGATCATGTTGCAAACTAATTGCATTCGAAATTGTATTTGCATATTTAAAAATTTTCAAACAGTATGCAAAAATAAATAAAGAATTTTTGAAAACGTGACAAAGATAATTTAGATATAAGCGAAGAGCAGAGGTTCAATATTTCAGTTCAGAGGGAGTGTCCAAAACAATTGGTAAACTTTTTTATGTTTATATAATTAAAATTAAAATTCAATAAAGTATACATTTAGAAATTGATTTTAAAATTTGATTTGAGCATTTAGCAGAAGGATAAAACCAGATTCAGTAACAATATATTCCTATATTTCTGAAAATCGTGAATTGTGTTTCATTATTCTTCAAGGTTTTAACTTTTTTTTTACTGCATTTTGTTTCTCTGATAGATTCAGAATATTGGTAAAAGAATTATTATTAAATAAAGAATAATGACGTCACGTGAAAAGTATGAACTAGATCTTTCAAAAACACGACTGTCGAAGTATTGTTTATTTTTCAAAAGTTGAAGGTATTTGGAGCGAACTCCAAAAGCTCCGGGTCGCGGAACAGATTAGAACATCAGACAGCACAAAACATAAGAAAAAAAAATCTAATTTGTTAAAGAAGTTATAAATCGCAAAACATTACTTTAAAATAGATTAAAAAAACATTTTCTTTAGTTTTTTATCACTATTAAAAAAACTATTTTTTCCACCTAAAATGACTATTTACTAACTTTTCTTGTTAAATTTAGATATTATCACACATGTAGTAAACAAAATAATATTGTTTTAAATTATCACAATAAATATTTAGGAAAAGGTTCAGTTAATATCACAATTTTTTTTTTTTTAATTTTCAATATTTCAGCTGTTTTTAAAAACTAAATTCTCAACTCAAACTCTTTATACAGTACTTAATTCAAAAAAATTTAAAGGGTAAAATGAGGAAAGATATATAAAAATATTTCTTAAATTATAGCTTTAAAGCTCGTACTCTGAATAATCCATCACTTTTTAAGGCACCCTATCGACAATTGTTCCGATTCTTTTGAATCAATAAAACAGCTAGATCTTAATTTTATAAGAAATTTTATAAAAAATTAATTACGATTATTTAAAGCTGTAAAACGACTAGAAACCAAGTTCAATACTGTATAAAATTTGCAAAACTTTTTCATTTATTTAATAAAAATGTTTACTTACCAAACAAGTGGGATCAATTCATTTCAGAATATTTATTCCATTCAATTTTCGCTAACGACAACTACGATTTTCAATAAAAACGATGTTCTTTTTTTATTTATTAAGATCATAAGCAACATACATATGATTATTTAAAAAGAAATTTTTTTAAATATTTATTTGAGAGTTTACATCGCTACATCAGATGTATATAGACGAAAATATAAATGTTAAATGCAATACTCTAGCTCTAAAAATATTTATCTGCGCAGAATAACATTGTATTTCCTATTGAAGAAATTATAAGATTTATTATTTCAATGCTGAGACGGAGAACTTACTCTTCTACTTAAGAAAATCGTTTTAGAAAATTCATAACAGGAACTAATCTATGTTTGAGATAAGTTCCATTTATCGCTTGTATTTTTAAAAATGGCACGAGTATATTGTTTGTATATATGTTCGTAGGTAGTAAGTACATGTGTACGATGTATGAAATTATGTGTACATGCATTAAATGCAGTACCTACAATGAATATTTGTATGAATGTATGTGCGTATATAAACGTACGTATGTAAATATAAAGTATATGTGTGCGTACACAAATATCTATACATACAAAGTATGAATCTGTATAAAGAATTTATGTAAGTTCAAACGTTCATACAATGTACTTATGTATGTAATACACACACAAAAAAAAATATCCTGCATAACTTTTAATTTAATGATCGGAATTTCACGTACTAGGATTCAATCTTAATGGGGCAGTGGTGTGACATCAAATATTCTAATTAACTAAAGCAGACGATATTTTAAGTTATGAAATCGCAGAAAAAACGTATTTTCTCTGAATAAATATTCCTTTTTTTTCCGACGGATAGTAATTTTGAGACGTACTTTAAAATAATATGTGGACTCAAACTAGGACTTAATCTGTTGGTTCTTAGACTCAATCACAATAATTCAAGAGGGTGACCTCAAATATGCTAATTAATTAGTGCAGATGATATTTTAATATACGAAATAAAAGACACAAACGTACTTTCTCAGAATAAATATACCGTTCCTTCGACAGATTATGATTTCCGAAATATAGGGTGTAGCCGTAATCTGGGAAATATGGTTCTAATAGTTTGGTCAAGTTGTTGTTGTTAATTTACGTCGCACTAGAGCTGCACAATGGGCTATTGGCGACGGTCTGGAAAACATCCCGGAGGATGATCCGAAGACATGCCATCACAATTTTGATCCTCTGAGGAGGGGATGACACACCCACTTCGGTAGCCCGACGACCTGCGCGCGAAGTCGAGCACTTTACGGTAGCACAGTTTAACGAGGACCAGTACCGCACACCCTCGGTCCCTACGCAGACTGATCCAAGTGGTCACCCACTCGCACACTGACCGCAGCCAGTGATGCTTGACTTCGGTGATCTGCTGGGAACCGTGTCTTAACGATCAGCCCACTGCGGGACTAGTTTGGTCAAGAGAACGGGTGAAAGTTTGGATTCCTTATTGTTAATTTTACTTTTCACATATTTCGCCATATCTCGAGAACTTTTTAAGCGATTTAAAACCTTTTTGCACACAATTTAAAATTGGTTTATCTAAAGACATTTTTACGCAAAAAATAATTTTTAATAATTATTATTTTATTTGAAAATAGTCGAAAAAATTCGAATTGTAAGGTATACAAATCTTTACATGATTTTAAAGTATGTAATTTGTACGGTAAAATACAAAATTTGAACGAAATCATTCGAATAGTTCCTAAGAAATCGAATTTTAATAAGTTCGATATTTTAAATTCAATTTGCCAGGAACTATTAAATTATCTCAGGAACGAGAAATTGGGCAAAAATATTGAATTTACTCATGAATCATTAATATTATTCAAACATTTGCATAATGAAAGATGAATAATTACTAAACTTGCATATGAATAATCCTTCATAATAATTTTATTCTGACTAAAATTTCTCTGATAGATGATCATCTCTGATTTTTGACTACTTTCTTATGCACTAAGAAAATTTTTGGTTCAAAATGAAATGTAATAAGGGTGTGGGGGATTTTTAATTATAGACTATGTCAACCTTCATCTATCAAAAGGTGCCTCATGATAGAATCAAGTTAACATGTGTTATATACTAGTGAATTGGTATTTATTATTTATAGTGGTAGTTACGCCACAAGGGAAACCCAAAATAATAATAATAACTATCGTCATATATACTTACTATCTACACAAAAATTATAAAATGTAAATGTAAAAAGCTAGCAATTATGCTAATATACTATGACAAAGAATTAACGGAAATTGTAACAGTTTGAAGAAGATTAACTTTTTGAAAACGTTGAATGCATATCTACCTTAACTTGTAATTAAATATAGCTTATTGAAAAATTAACTAAATAATTACCTGTATTATTTATCAGAAGTGAAACCAAAAGATACTGATTTGAGTAATATATTGAAGGGGGAAAAATTATAATAGACAGCTTTATTTAAAATATATTTAGAGTCGATGTAAATTTTAAAATTTCGGAATCCATCTTACAGCTCATTTTATAACATTTCTTTATTAAAAGCATGCAGTGGAATCCAAACTGGATCAAACAAAAGTTATATCAATCCCAGCAAAAACTCATTTTATTTGCAAGTTATTAAAAACATTAAAGTTTATGTAAACAGGATCTTATCTTTGATTAAAAGCCAGTTTTTCTAAGATTTAATATTTGAAATTTTTGATTTTGTAGTAATTTCCAGACAGGATATGTTCTTCCTGTAAAACTATTAGGCAAGATTTTCTTTTCCTTTTTTTTTTTTGTATATATATATATATACAAGCGTATATAAATAATTAGGTTTCGTTAGATTATGCAGTGATCAAGTGACGTGCTCAACTGTACTCGCACTGCCTTAACGTGATCAAAGGCAAGTATAGGGCGGCTTTCAGGAGAACTCCTCTAGATTCTTGTCTCTCGTCGTGGTGGGTACTATGGTTACGATAGGAAAGAATACTTCGAATATGGGTGACGGGTGAATAGTTTAGTTTTAATCTTAGCGTAGGTAGTCGTGAGTAAGTCAATCGACACCCTCTTTCCTCCATTCCCCCCACCCATTAGAAATGTGCTCTCGTTTGTTACCATAGCAGCAGACAGTCTCAGATTTTCAGTCTGGAGGAGTTCTCCTCAAAGCCGCACTGTAACCATCAATGAGATGTTGCTTTAAGCGGAAATTGTGTGTAAATATGGGTAATTGTAAGTGATATGACAGAGTGGCAAAAAGGGGTAATTGTGTTTGGCCGTGCCCATGGTCATACGGTAAATGTTGTTGCTGGATTTGTGGGTGTTACGTTTACGGAAGACGACGGCGGAATTGTGGTTGGATAAAGATCCTGCATGAAAGGTACCGGAGACGTGTTTCACGACTTGTCAATTAAAATCGCTTCTAAACCCGGCAGGAATCGCTTCGGTTAGTGAATGAAGGTCCATCCCGACTTCTGAGTGAGAGAAAATTACGACGAGAGCTGCATGCAATGAACTATTGAAGTCGAATACCTCGTAAGAGGCCATTGCTCACACAGGCAGGGGCCTCCCTGGCCGAGCGGTATCGCCGGTCCAAACGCTCTGTTAAGCGTGGAGGTAGCGGGTTCGAATNTCTAAACCCGGCAGGAATCGCTTCGGTTAGTGAATGAAGGTCCATCCCGACTTCTTAGTGAGAGAAAATTACGACGAGAGCTGCATGCAATGAACTATTGAAATCGAATACCTCGTAAGAGGCCATTGCTCACACAGGCACATAAAGCTGTGCGACTTGAAATCATCGAACGTGGACAGTCGCTGACTGGCGGAATGGTCTGAAGAATCAGGTTTTTGCCTTTATTCAAATGACGTACGTCGTCGAGGGCACTGAAGACCCGTTGAAACAATTCATCCTCACTGTGTTCAAGCCGGATGTGAGTCTGCCATGTTTCAGAGATGTTTTTCTTAGTATGGATTGGGCCCCCTAACTGAGGTGGCCACTAACATGAACCACCAGGTTTAATTGAGCATTCTGGATGATCAGGTATTGCTTTTCAGTCAACATCTTCTTCATGAAGAGTATGCTGTCAATACTCCTATTTTTCAAGATGACAACAACGAAGTTGATCAGGCTAGAGAAATATGTGACTGGTTTCATGACACTCAATTGCATCTCAACTGGCCTGCAAAATCACCCGACTTGAACCCCATTGAAAATTTGTGGGACATGTTGGAATAACGGGTAAAACACCGAAATCAGCATTCTCGCAATTTGGTGGATTTGAGCTATCACATCTTCAGCGTGTGGCTTAAACTGGATACGACGTACCTGCAAAATCTTGTGGTCTCAATTCCTAACTGAATCCAGGCGGATATCAAATCCAGAAGCGGTGTTACACTTTATTCAATAATGTTTTTCATGATTTCTCGAAGGGTGACTAATTTTTTGTCCGTTGTGCTTACCTAAAAAAATGAACATGTGTGTGGTACACTTGTGGCGTTATCTTAAAATAGCAAGAGACTGAAGTCTTGAGTAACTTTCAAGGTCATTAATTATGCCTTCACCAAAATTAGACAGAACGAAATTTGCTAGGAAAAGAAAGCATAACAGAAACAAAATCAATTCACAGATCTAGGGTTACTGTCTTATCTTTTAAAAAATATGGTCCAAAACATCGAGGCCCAGACCTGAGTAATTTAATACAGAAAGTGAATAGTTATGGGAAAGCTGCAAATTATTTTAAAGAATGTGAATTAGACCAATGTGAATATCTGAAATTAACACCCTCCCCGCGGTGAGCTTTAGTCTCGATCTTGAATTTACTGAGAGAAAAGGACAACAGGGTAAAATATACTCGTACGAGAATTTCCACGTGATAAGTTTTCGATGTAACTTTTTACAATGAGCCAAACAAAATCACACCGAAGTCGATATATCTAACAGTTAAGATGTTTAAGTAGAAGCAGAGCAAATTCTGACTCATACATATTTAGGCGTCTGACATTGCTATCCAGGCAAATGAGGTATGGATTCCAATGTAATTTCTATGCAGTCGGTCACTTCTCCATGTTTGCTGGGAAAGACTACCAATCAAACAAAAACAACATTGCCTTTGACAATTCTAGTTCAGCTTTAGTAATTATCATAATTTTGACAAGTAAACAAAAATCAAAACAACTTAAGGTTATTTTTCGAAGGCTTTGTCTTAAATGAAATGCTTTTTTGCGAATAATATGCTATTTTCATAACTGCTGTGATAAAGAAAGGCTGCTAAAGATAGCGCTGTTCTACGTTTATTTTGAAAATGGCGCAAAATGTCAATATGGAGAAAAGACAGTATTGTGAAAATGAAAAGCGTTTGTGATCGAATTTTTTATTATTTAAAAACTTACTCCGATGCTGCATTACCTGAGCTTATAAAAATTTCTAAAAACTAAGAATAAGACAGTGATTTTGATAATTTTTATCTAGGTAGAAAAATGTCTCCAAATTGGAGCATTTTAAAAACTTTTCAAGTATTAAATTATTTATCCGTTCTAAAACCCAGATAATTTTTCACGGCATGATTAAATCGCGTTGCGTCAATTATAAGGTACTTCAACTATGGCTAACACAACAGGACCCACTTATAACAAGCCCACACTTAAAAAAATTCCGGATTTAACAAGCAAAACAGAATGTTCTGTTTGGTACAATTTAATTCTGATACATGATTATTGTAAAATATCTTTCAGTTATTTAGAGATAGTTTAATCATTTATCAAATTTATTGCCTACAGGTATAAGCTTCTATGGGAAAGGCAACAGAGAGTGAATATCACGTCAATTCATTGTCACATTTCCAGAAGGAAAAAAGTTTGAAAAAATGATTGCAGAAGCAGATTTTAATTTCAGAATCACATGAAAGAAAAACTCATTTCCAACCCTTACCTTCTCTTGAAAGCATGCTTTTTAATCAGCTGCTTATAATGTTGAAAAGAAATGTTTTATCCGTAAAAGAAAAAGTCAAAATTATAAACCATTAGATGAAGTAGAAAAAAATTTGAAATGAATAATATATTATGTAAAATGCAACCTGCATAAGTTGTTTTTGTGCTTAATTTTATTTTACAAACCTTGTATTCAGATTTAACAAGCATTATTCTTTCTTTAACCCAGGGGTGATTGTGAAACAAAGTCAAAAACCCAGAATAGTTTATGGGCATAAAATCAATAATTAAATTTCCTACCAATGATGACTATATTTTATAACTTTATCAACAAATTCTTGAAGCCCTCCTGTAGACACACACACACAAAAAAAAATTTTTCTTTTGAACCATCATACCAAAGGAAAAAAATGAAGATACAATATGTAAAATTGAAAATATCCAATTATTGTAATATCAACTCATTAGGTTGGAGGATAAGTGGCTGCTAAGTTTAATACTGGCTCCCTACTGAAAATTTAATTTCTCAGGTCTAGAAACAGATTTTCTATACTGGAATGCTTGCAGCTAAAAATGTGACTTTTTCATATGCAAAAGAATCAAATTCCAAATAAGAACTGTCCATATTCTCTGTACAAGTTATTAGATTAAAAACAGTATAGTTCAAGGGCAAAAAATAGCTCAAAAGTTATCAAACAAAAGTTTCACTCAATTATACTGGTTGCCCAAAAATGGCTTCATTGAATGATGTCAATAAAAGAAAATCAAAAAGAAATATATCATGACTGTGTTTTGCTTATGAAATCCAGAAATTTTATCCTCATCAAATTTCAAAATTAGTTAAGTTTACAAGTATATTAGCATTAATTGAAAAACTATAACAAAGAATCAGGGTGCGCAGCCTAACTTTTCAACAAAAATAAGCACCTTTAAAGCACTCAAAAAATTTTTTTAAGCATTTTTTTTTAAAAATGAAAAGCATAAATAAGATAAGCACTAGTTAATGAAATTTTTTTCTTCCTATTGTAAATATATATATTAATACACGAAATGCAAAGCCTTTATAGAAAAAACTACTTGATTGTGATAAAATAACTAATTTCTGACAAAGAACTCTTTCGTTTATTACATTAGCCGCCATAAAAACAATTTATGGAGAATTATTGATACATTCATTATTAAGACGCACATTCTATTTTTCAAATTAATAATTATTTCATTTGATTACGTAAAAAATAATAATTTTAGTTCAAAACTAGTTTTTTCTTTAGATTTAAATAAAAACTATTTATAAACATATATTCAACAAAACAATAAAAAGATAAATATTATTGATTATACTGAATTTATAAAGATAAGTAGAGAATTATGCAAACTAATAAATTCATATTGCTAATGTAAATTAGTGAAATCACTTTCTTAAAATCTTGTCTTTAAATATTATAGTTTTTTTTTTTTTTTCATAAAATAACTTATTGAAAATTTTATAAGTAATAAGAAAAAAAGTTTAAAATTTTATTCAACTAGTGAGCAATCCCTCAGTTAAAATATCCTACGATTAAAATTCTCACATAATTCTTATCTTTATTAGTGTTGCATTATTTAGGCTCAGAAAAAAGGCACTTAAACTATGGCTTTTTTTTTTATTTTCTTTGGTGACAGAACTTCAAAAAACCATGTTAAAAACTAATACTTTTAAAAATTCTAACATTTTTAAAGCCGTGCCAAAGTGGCGTTTCATATGAGCTTTTGAATCATTTATCTATAGTGGCATGGAAAATAACTTAAAGATGTTTACAAAACAAAAACTCACACATCAAAATGAACTTTGCAACCATTTTAAAATCTCCCCCCTCCCCCAAAAGCATAGGAAGTAGGCAGTCATACACACACATATATATATATGACGCCAGGTGGCTGAGTGTCAGCACTTCGCACTCCTGCGTTCGATCATTGGGTCGGGCAAGGTCGACTCAGATTTTCATCCCACCAGTGGGTAGATAAATGAGTACCAAGCATGCTTGGGGACTAAGCACTGGGGGTTCCACATTCGGCTGACCACCTAACCGGAACACCAGCTCCTGCACTCCAGAGCCCAAGAAAACTGAGATGGGCACAGTAGGCCCTGGCCCTCTATGGGATGTTGCACAGTTTAGTGTATATATGTATGTATATGTATATATACAGTTGCCCCATTCAAGTATGATACATCAAATGTAAAATCATTAAAACAATAAGAATTCATTATTAATATTGCTTTACAATTTATTTACAAGTATAACACATTTACATATAAAAAAAAGCATAAACCATCAATCAATAGGATTATACTGCCATGCAATTAAAAAAACAATGTAAGTGCTTCACCATTGAGTCTGAGTAAAATGGCTCGACAGCTTTTTTCCTTACAAACGCGAACATAGTATTTAAAAAAAAAAAAAACATTCAAAAATAAGATTTATTTTTGAATGTTTTTTTTCCCCAGCAAAATATGTAGCTTACCATACAAAGATGCCAAATAGATAAAAATCTCAATGTTGAATTTTTTGTCGCTTACGTTGATTTTTCAATTGCACGGCAGTATAATTGTGCAAGCAAAATCTATATATACACATAGTTATAAAAAGAACTTACTGAAGTTCTATAGGCCTGGTTAAATCCAAGGAATTTTATGCAATAACTTTGTCAACACAACAGAAATTTTTGTTAATTTTTTTTAAGAATTTATAAATTAGTCGGGCACCAAACTAAAATCTTTAGATTACAATGGCCACCAAATTTTCAAAGCATATCAGAAAAAGGATAGTTATGTCTAATTTTAATAACAGTAATTGTTAAAAGAACTTTACAATGAAAGATTACTGAGCAAATTGCTAATTTTTTTAAAAATATTTTTCTCTGCTTCATTTAATCTATAAAATAAAAATGTATCAGGGTCTAAAAAATAACCAGTTGATGCATTGAGAATATATAGTTGACAAATTGCATAAGCTTGGTCTGGTGTCCCGGTAACAGATAAGTACCATATTTTCATTGGCAATAGTTTGAATATAAAATTTAATAGCACAAGAGACAATACAAGATACTGCACCAAAGGTAAAAGCTACTAGGTTGTTAATGATGTTCTCTCAAACTTCATCACCAGGGAAAATAAAATAATAAAGTCATAATTTGTCAGCCGTAAAATCAAAGCAAAGTTTTAATAAACTAAATAAAAATTATTAATATTGATTTACTTATGTATTTTTTCATGAGCCAAAACTATGCAGCTGCGGAGTAATTTTCAAATACATAAAAATGAAATCACTGCTTGACATTAACACAAGACTGTGGCTTCTCTTTATATTGGCATTTCACATTATTTTCATCGCTAGCATACAGGCATTGCTTTTCATTGTTAGCAAAACTGCAGCTGGACAAAATTTAATCAAATACTATGAACAATTACAAACTCACAACAGTTATTAAAGTGGAATATTATTTACTAACAATCACAATTTAAAAATGTGACAGGGCTTCAGTATATCAACCATAACAGATTTTTTTTTTTAAAATCAATATATACACAGTGAGTAGTTACATTTCTTCAACAATCACTTTGGCAAACACTAACCAAACTAAAGAAAACTCATTAAAATAATTCTAATACCACAGCTACTACATTAGTTATACAATATATTCCATGGTATATTTCAAAAGCGAATTGATTTTACTTAATAAACATCGAAATGTTATTATCCTATTCTAAAAGGATTCTTCAAGATTTAAATAAAATTTATTAAATTACAAAGCTTTATAGGATTCAGAAGTCTGATCATTGTAACAAGCTATTCAGCACATAGATTCAAAAATGCTCCAAGTACCATTTTAGTTTTCAAAATTCTACAAATTTGCACCATATTTTTAAAATAATCTTTTTCCTATTAAGTGAAATTAGAGGAAAGTACATTTATAGTTTTAGATAAAGAACCAGATTGAAATACTTAAAAACTAGTGCTAAGTATTATATTACTAGTGCTAAGTAATTATAACCATGAGTTTTCTGCATGATTGGCAGATATTCGATAAGTTTTAAACATGGACTAAACTTAATCAAATACCTACTCTGAAAGAAGGGGAAGAAAAAATAACCATCTAACATTATATTTTGGTAACAATATGAACCTTATTATTCACAATTTAAAATTGCTTTGCTTGCTATGATTTTGTTGACAATTATCCGAGTTAGTATTATTTATATTGAAATATTTTGTTTCGTTCTTCATGGATAGCAATTTAGCGTCTAATGAAGTTGGACTAAAAGTAACCATCATGAACAAATAAATCAAGCTGTGATTAGATCAGGGGTGATTGTGAGCCCAAGTCAAAAATTCCGGAAAATTTCTTAAGAAAGAAAAAAAAAATTTAAACAAGGTTTTTTCCTTTTTCTCAATACTTCTTAGTTCACGTAAAATATATTTAAAATTTTACACACCCCTATACCATTTACACATACCAGTGATGACCTGGAGAAGTTTACAAATATGTCTTTCTTTCTTGAGTTTATGATTATAATAACTATTTAACGTATTTTTCGGCGAATTTATTTTATATCGTTTTGTTGCTTTTTTTTTGATAAAAGAGAATTTTTTCATGTGAACTCTTTGTCAACGCATTTTAGGCTATTCTCTCCCCCCCCCAAATAATTTAGAAACTACATTACTTGATGTATTTTAAAATATTTTGTTGTATTCAACATTTAGAATTATTTGTTGTACTTAACTTTATTCTTAAACAGATAAGAATAGCTTTCTTTTATATCGTTTTGTGGCTTTTTTTCTTTTGCTGAAAAAGAAATTTTTTATTATAATTTAGAAATTAAAACTTTACTTTATGAAATTTAAAAAAAAAAAAATTATTTTTTATTACACTGATATTCTAAATGGTAATTTAAAAGTTTCTTCTATAAGGATGCTGATATCTGTAGTGTTGCGTCATTGTGGTGCTTGCGCCGGAGCGGCGCTTACTGTAACTTCTTTTTTTAAAAAAAATGTCATTTTTATCGATGTGCGGCGCTTTTGCCGAAAAATACTGATAAAAAAATTAATCTTGAATATAAGCTTATTAAGTATCTGACTCTCACTTACAAACAAATAAAATAAACTGTGTTTTTAAGTTCCACCTCTGAAAATTTGATTTCAGGAAACTTTTGTGATCAATGATTTCTTGAAACATCTGAACCTTCGATCTACGGAAAATTCAGGATCACGGCTAGCGAAAAATCCGGATTTTTTCCGGAGCACAATCAGCACTGTTAGATTGTCATGAATTAAAACCCACTATAAGGGTGCCTTTTTTGTGGCAATGGCTCCAACAATGTCATCCTTTCAAAGAGCAACTGTCTTGTTATGACTAAATTACATTCGTTTGTTGGTCCTTTTATACTGTCTACAACAAGATTAAGCAGTGGATTGACTGCTGTGTCAATAAGTATTTAGGTCTACAGAGTAATTCTGAAATGTACTTCTGTTTCAACCTGACACAGATGACTTTTCAACATGCATTTAAACAGCAAAGTTCAGACTAAGTAATTCATACTTCTCAATAAAGAATGTTTTATACTGTACCATTGTTTTTATTTGTCAGTAATGTATAGAAAAAAAAACTGTATGGACTTACAGCTAGATGAGACTTAACCTACTTTCCTAAAAAAATAAGGCTTAACTTTTAAACCATGAGAAAATGATATAAAAAGTACCAATGGCTCTGCCATAAACATGAAATTTTTACCAATAAGTTATTTCAATAAAATATATCATAATGCCCAACAATTAAATAAATATAGAATATTTTCTGATTTCAAATCGTCAAAATTCATAGTAAAACATACATTCATTAATTGTTAGTAATATTTAAAAGAAAAACGCACATGAATACAATAAAGTATTACAGTACTCATTATAATAAAAATACAAAGGGATGTAAACAAATAGTAAAACATTGCAACACTAGTTGTGTATTTGCCTGGTACATAAAATAAGTATGAGTTCATCTCATAGTTGATATTATAAATGTACAAAAAATACAAAATTTTAAGTACTTATATACCCTGTATCATATAAAGAGTCTTGGTTTACCGCAAGACTTTGTGCATATTCAATACTTTTCTTCATTTCTTTCAATTCATTCATAGTGTCTAACAATTTCTAAAAATTAAAAAAAAATAAATATATATATATATATATATACACTTGAAATTATGCCTTACACACAAATTTAAATAATAGCAAAAGAATTTATATTATTTAATTTAGCTTTTGGTTAATTAAAGGGTGCATAACACTTTACGAAAGATGTATGTAAAACTTGACAGTTAATGTGTACTGACATCAAAGTTGGAAAGAAAAAAAAACTTTTTTTTTTTTGGTTTAAACCAGTTTTTTTCTTTTTTTTGATTGATTGAAAACATAAAGTTAAATAACATGCTAATCCCCAAAATTAAAAATAATTCAACCATTAAAAGAATTGCAAAAGATTTATATTTTTAACTATTGATTAATATTTTGATAAAGAATACTAACAAAAAAATTCTTTTCCGCTCATAAATATGTGAACATGTTACAAAAATATAATAACTTAAAATCTTGAATGTTTATTACTTCTCCACTCAACAAGCAAATAAACAACATTTAATACCTAGATGTTTTTTTTTTTTTTTTAAATTGTGCATGCATATAAAAATTAGTTTACCCCCTTAATTGTAGTACATAAAAAAATGTGATTTGGAAATATTTACACTTATGTCCTTATTTAGCAAAATACAAATTGAATGATAGGGAAAAAATGAAAAAGAAATATTGACTGCATAAATATAAACATATAAAATAATAAAGGTAAGTTTTAGTACTAATGGTTTTAAAAATAAAGAATAAATTACTTTTTTTTTATCAATTATTTTAACATGATGGAGTTTACAATTTAACAATATTCCTATTGATGTATTACCACATTAAATAAATAAGAAAAAATATATATATACTTTACATTGAATATATAAATATTTTTTGTGAATTTAATATCTTCTTTTATCAGTTTTTTTAAAAATATTTTTAAAAAGGCAATTTAAAAATTACAATAATGAATATAAATATACTGCATAGATACAATACAAATTTTTGTAAATACACTGGTGACAAAAAGAAATAATTTTTAAATTTAAACTGAAAAAATAACATTTAGCAAACACTTCATTCCGATTTATACTTTTGACTGTAGTGAACATAATGTATCTAACAAGTAAGTAATAATAAACTGTAAGAAATTTGAACTCTTTCAACAATTACTTATATAAATTTTAAAATTCTCCATAAGACTAATAAATAAATATTTTTTTTAAAAAGTAAACATGATAAATTTCAAACTTTCTGTTACTATATTAAATTTAATTTGTTTGACTTATTCAAATAATACTTCTTGTTAAACAATTGTAATGGTCATTTTTAGTTTTTTTAATTTTGTCAATTTTCTTCCACTGTCCTGAATCAGGCTAAATCAACGCCCACATATTCTGATTTACAAAGTATTGTAACATTATGAATGGCTGACCCCTGAATTCTTTCCCTTCTGGCATCCTGAGTCTCCCTCCAAAATTCTTAGAACTCCAAGCAGGTGTTGAAGGCGTAGAAAACTGGATTTTTAGAGAGGAGGAGATTCTTCAGAGAGAAGACGAAGAGCAGATATTGTGCCGTCTCGATTTAGAAAATAAGTATCTCATTATTATTAATATAGTGTTCGGTGGAAAGTGATTATAATTTTTCTTGAACTCTAGAGCTGTATATATAATTGTAATCTAGAAAATTCTATTAAAGAACTTATTTTAAATAAGAGAGGTAATTTTGTGGTAATTATTTAATGGTGGCAGCAGGGAGACGTGCTCACCGAACACAGTCAAAAAGGACACCTTGTTGTCCAGAGAACTTTCTTTAAAAATAACGGACATTAGTCCAGTTAAAACGTTCAGTGGAAATTGAAGGGACAACCTGTCTATGGGCTGTAGCTGAAGTAAACCCATAGGTGGAAACCCATAACTGAATCCATAAGCTAATGGTCTGAAGTCTGTAGATGAAGTGCTAATTTGACATTAAGGACAGATACGAGTTCATGAAAGACTAATTAGAGGACAATCTTGATCTAACCAATAGAGAATAAGGTAAGCTTAATTATCTTCTAAAGGCCATTAAATTATTTGCAAGTTTAGTTTTAAATTCATTAAAACTATTTTAATGCCTGTTAAATTTTTTGTAAAAATTAATAAGGCAAATGTGTATATTTATTCTGATGAATAGTATAAAAATATTGCAAAACCAACCAAATTATATACAAAAAAAAAAAAACTAAATATGCTAATTTTAAATTATTCAAAATTAACCAAAATGGGTGATGTCACACTTCTTGATATCATACCCCATCCTTACCCTCCAGGCATGACATCATTTATGGATGGCACCTCAGCAAATAATATAAGAAAGATTAGTAGTCACTAAAATATTACTTACTTTCTGTATAGATTTCATTTGTCCAGTAGTATTTTCAAGTTTTTCAGGAGATAACTTGTCCACTGGGAAAGACTCTCTTGATACTAAAGGAAGATTGACCTTATGTATGACGGTTGCTTTTTTCTATGGGGGAAAAAACACATAACTTAAATGCCATGTTACACAATTTATAATTAATTGATTTACAATTTTCCTAACTAACCACTAAATAAATATAAAACGAAAAAGCTGAGAAGTGTGATAAATTTAACAATCAAAAATGAATGCATTTTGGTAAGTAATCAGCAAAAAAATTAAAAAAAGAATTTAAGATAAAGTGGTGAAAAACATGACCATAACAGTGAAAAGAGCAATTAGGACATACATCATTTGATCAAGAATACATTTGTAAATTAAACTATTGAATAGAATGGTTATAATATAAAACAAAAGTCTTTAAAATCTTAAATCACACTATTAAGTAATAAGTATATTTATGAAAATGTACATAATGGAAAAATGTCAAGAAAAATTATGTAATCGTATGAATTTAAAAAGACATTTCTCAGGAAGTAACAAAACTATTGAATTGTCATACAAGTAATACAAAAATGATATAATTATAAGCCCCGTTTTCCACTTACAATTGTTCAAAAATATCTTTCTTTTAATTTTAAAAAAAAAGTAGCACAATTTGTATTGTATATAAAAGTGGGAAATTTTGAAGTCTCAAAAATTTATAAGGAAAGCCTACACTCCTTAATTACTAAATGGATAATTTATTCACAGGCTAAGGGGGGAAAAAAACATTGATTCTTAGTTTTTTGGTTTTACAACATTTGTACAGAGTAATTAAATAAAATATTACATAAAATCAGAGTTGGCAAGTTTTTGACACATGACGGTTTTTACCGGTTATTACCATGGTTTTTACCGTCATGTCAAAAACCCATAGTTTTGGTAAAACTGTATTTTTATTTGAGTTTAACTGCTTATAATTCAAAATTAATTCATTTTTGGGCAATAAAATTAGAAAAAAAGTTGTTAAAAGATATTTAAGAACAGATTCTTGCATTTTCCCAACATGATTATATCAAAACATACTATTTGAAGTAAAATATTAGTATACTAAACAAAATTTTCAACATTTTTAAGCATCATTTTGTTTGGCATATTACATTACTGAAGAATGTCCAGATTGATTACTTTCATTCATAAAATCTTGCTTTGAGAAACACATGTACATATAATAAGAAAGCCTCATAAAATAAACTTTTCGTACCATTTTTGTTTTCAATACTTTACACAGAAATGAGACATGAAAAAGGCCGGGAAATTCTTTTAGAGATTCTTGCAACATTGCAATAACCTTTTGTTATCATTATCCTCAATGACAGGCTTCCTTGGAACTAGACTGGTGGTCTTCCATTGAAAGAATCTTTTCGAATTTTGGACTTATCCATACTAATCTCAGAAATCGACTGGGCAATGAAAAATGCGCAAAATTTGTCACTTGCTATCGTATGCTTCGGCACAGTGACCCCGACTACTGAACATGTAATTTTGTTTGTAATTAAGTTTTGTTTAATGTGCTTTTTCAACTGAATAAAAGCTTTTAACTTGACAAAATAACAGTAATTCTTGACTTAGAGTTTGTTAGTAGTTACAAGTTTTGAAAGTTTTGTTTAGCTTATTTCTAATATTTAAGAAATGCCAAATTTTAAATTCTTCTTTTTAGTTCTTGAATTTATTAATAGTTCCAAGCTTTTTTGTTTGTTTGTTTATTTCTAACAATTAAGAAGTGCAAAATTTTGAATCCTTTGCAAATCAAGCTATAATAATAAAAGTAAGTAGCACTATTTTCAATAACAGGGTGCGTAGTCAAATCTTTTAACAAAAAATAAGCACATTTTAAGTACTTTTTAAGCACTCAAAAATACTTTTAAGCACTATATACATTAACAAGACACAAAATAATTTTCAGACTTCACATGATCGTGATAAAATAACTAGTTTCTGACAAAGAATTCCTTTTTTGATTATATTAGCCATTATAAAATGATCCAGAGATTTTTTGGTTCAATATCAGAGGTTGGAAAATGAAGTCTGAAATAGAGAATATCTTGCAAAATGCAGCAGAGTTGCACATGACAGTGCAATAATCTCACGGAACCCAGTTCAGTGGACGCACATGCGGACTCGCAAGTACTTCATCAAACATGTAAAATGATTGGCACTTTCATACTCTAACTGACGGTATGCCGAAATAGATCACGGTTGAATAAATTGTGAAAACGTTGAATAGAACAATGTGAAAAGCACGCTTTTGCATAATACATGGCGGAAATCGACATAGTAAAGAAAAAATATATTTTCAAAAAGGGAAAAATAAGCACTTTTTAAAAACACCCAATGAAAAAAGCACCTTCAAGGGTTTTTAAAAAACTAAAATCGGAAATAAGCACCTTTAAGCACTTTTTAAAAACGCTACACACCATGAATAAGTATATTACAATATTTCTGTATGAATGTATATCCTTCTATAAGAATACATGTGTATAGTTGCAAAATCAATAGCAATCATCTACAACATTCATTTATAAAGGCAATTATGTTAAAATAATATATTGTCCACTATATGCCATAAATTAAAGAAAACAGTAGGTTTTTGACGGTTTTTACCGGTAAAAAACACGGTTTTTACCACTGTTATGTCAAAAACCAGTTTTTGACGGCAAAAACCCAACACTGCATAAAAACTATTATATTAATTATTTGTACATACATAATACTATGACATAAATCATAGTAACAATCCATCATTATAAACATCTTAATTCTAACATTATTAATATAGCTAACTAAAAAAATCACATACTTTAGGTACTACAATAATGACTCTTATACACACTTTATTCAAAGTAATAAAAATTCAAGTTTGAATGTAACGCTTAATGGCACAAGGACATACTGCACTAGACAAAAATACAAGCTATAAGAAACACACTTAATATCTGCTATTTGTATTTAGTGCTGATTTTTGCATTAAACAAGCGTAGATTTTTTTTTTTTGTTGGTGAAAAGAAAATTGAATGAAAGTATATTAAATTTAACTTTTTAACACGATGACTGCCGCATCACCCATAGTCGGGTAACAGCAAAGTTTTTGATCGGGCCATGTCACCTGTATTGGGGTGACACTTATTTGACTACTTGCGAAGGATATTCGTATGTATTTAAAATTATATTTCACAGGAAGTAACAAGACTATTGAATTGTCATACAAGTTACACAAAAATGATTTATTAAAAAAATTATTGTGAGCCTCATAAAAGTTTTCTTGTTCACAGCTATTTGACTCTCTAAGAAATAAGTTTTCCATTTTTCTTTTCAAAATTTCAAAGAATTAGGGTAAAGATTTTAAGTTATATTTCCCTTTACTAATCAACGATTCAAACTGATCGTGTAAAGTGGCGAATTTATATAATAATATAAACTTGCCACTTTATAAATGGTAAAAACAATGGTAAATACCGGTCAAAAACATACATGGTAAATACCATGCCAACCCTGGCTCAACTTTGTAATAATCAATATACAGGGGTCTACCGAGGAAAAATTTACGATTCAACTTTAGGAAAAACGGTTGTTTCACAAAATACTTAATCTTAAAATTTTATTTTTGTATCCCATAAGAAACGATAAATCCATTTTCTGTGATTTTTTAATATAATTTTTAATTCACACAAATTATGTATAAATTTTCACAAAATAGGTACCTCTCAGAAAAAACTAGACAGACCCCTGATCTAAACTCACACACAAAAAGTAAAAAGCAATGTTTAATTCTCTAAACTCGAAAGAAAAAATATTGAGAAACAGGTTTGGTTTTCTTAAAATAGAGGTGCACAACCTATGGCCTGAGGGCCACATGCGGCAAGCAGACTGTTGACGTGTGACCTGCGGTAGCTTTAGAACACAATATAAAAAAATTTAATTTGGTTTTTGTTTAAACATTATAAATTTTCTTTTATTAAATATTTAATTCAATTTTATATTACTTTATAAAATGCGTACTTTTTTGCACTTTCATTCCATAAGCTTCTTTTTAGTTAGAATTTACATCCCCTCCCCCCAAATATTTGATAAATTAATTATTGTGAAAAATGGAAAAAGTTATTTAAAAAATATATCAGTTTTTTAGTTTTAAACTCAAATAATTAAAAGTATTTAGTATTCTGCAAATATGTTAAGTTTACTGATGAAAATATTTGATTTTACTAATGTTTAGATAAAAAGTATCATGTTTGTCGCTAACATGACTAAATATGGTATCGGTCTTTCGCTAATCTACATGCAGCGCAAGCGGCCCTTTACTCAAAAAAGTTGTGCACTCCTATCTTAAAATGAAATTTTTTTGATAATTTTATTTCTCACCACATTGTGACACTCATGATGCAGCCTCATTTTATAAATCCTGGAGTATTCTTTAGGAAAACGTTTCCTTTTCGCACATACATCCTGAACTTTTTTGCTAAGATTAGACAGAAGAGCTTCTTTAGTTTCATTAGTTAAGACTTCACTATCTGCTACAGAAAGCAAGTTCTTGTCCCCAACATAGGGTAAACAATTGACGGTAACATTTTCTTGAATAGTATCTTTAAATATCTGAAAATAAAATTATCAATGACTTACAGGTAGAGCACAATAAGTAGTATTTTTGAAATTAATTTTTAAAAAATTTAATAAAGCTAATTTCTATATCTACTAAGGATGTAATGAATAGTAATCAGGCTGAGAATTCAGCGGTCGAAAAGCAACATTTTTTTTTTTAAAAAAAAATCATTTTTAAATTTTTTATAGTAAATAAATTTAATTATTATTGAAAAATAATCAAACCATAGCTATATTATACTATTATAGATATGTTAAAAAAAATTAAATATTCTTGATACATTGATACATACAGTACATTATATCAAGATCTCTGTAGGTTTGGAAAATAGACCAAACAAAAATCAAAATGTACTTCATTCAAAAAAATAATAATAATATTAGATAATATTTAATTCAGTGCTGTTTTCATTTAATCAATTTAAAACAAAAAATCCATAATTATCAAAAGAAATATCAAAAGAAAATTTTAAGGCTGAACATCTCGGTTTTCTAATAAATTTATTTTTAAGAAAAAAGAATAGAGTGCAATAGGAACACTCTTAAAAAATTCCATGACATAGCAAAAATGTTGATAAAAATAATGTCAATATTTATAAAAGAAAAATGTAAGGCTGAAAATCCAAATTTAACTTTATCACAAGACAGTATTTTTAGAAAAAAGCGCAGATTAAAGAATAAAATCTATTGGAAACGCTTTAAAAAATCAAATTTCAAAACGAAAATACTGAAAAAAAGAAAGAATAGTCAAATAAATTCTTAGTTCTAAAAAACGTAACTTTAACATTGACCGGTTATCTACATACAGGAGAAAAGTGACAATAAAAGAATAAAATTAATCAGAAACACTCAGTTAAAATGCTGCATTAAAATAAAAAACAAAAAAAGCAATTGTTCTCAATTTTTGAAACAAATGTGGAAAAAAAATTGACATTGACTTAATGAATATAGCTTTAAAACAGGGTTGGCAAGGTTTAGGACAGAATGGATTAACCCACGGTTTAAACCGTCCTGTCCAAAACCCTTTTACTCAAATTATGTTACAATTTTATCTGAACAATATTTAAAAGGTAAAATAAACACAGAACTTATAACATATTGATAATTAAATCTACTAGAGAATATTTGTTTTTAAAAGTATTATGATTTATTAATATTGTTTGACTCTTCAATTTAAACATTAAACAAAGGATTATTAATCAGTAATCAAGTTCAATTGGTCCTCTCATTCAAGTACTTAACTGAAGTTTGACCTTGCCATACAAGTTAAGTTATTAGGGACTAAGTGCTTGGTTAGTCATAAACAGGTTTATTTATCTATAGTTCTATTCAAGAATACTTTTATTTCATTCATGTTCGATTCTTTTAGCATTAGAATAGTGGTGATACATCACCAGTGTCAGTAACTGAAATTGATGTTATGCCCTTCAAAACTGCTAATACATTTTTTGGTTATTTTGTATTTTCAATTTAAACTAATATATTTATATTTAAAAACATTTTTTTTTAAATAATTGTCTTTTTTATCATCTTGTGATGCAGAAATTATAAAAATTTTTAAAAAAATTATTATTACTTTTCAATATTGCATTATTTATCCTTATGCAAAAATATCATTTATCAGTATAAAAGCATATTTATATTTAAAGGATTAGGTATTCACTTTTGTCACTGAATGAATTGTGGAGATTCAAAAATTATAAACCTTTTCCTATTATATTATATTGTTTTCCTTTAATAAGTTAAATTGTATGAAAAATATCAAATATTTATTGATAGATGTAATTATTATGTGTATAATGGTTACACATATAGAATTTTTACCTTTTACCAAAGTTCAAGATTTTGGACAGTTTCAGACAGTGAAACCGATGTGTCCTGTCCATAACCAGTTTAGGACGTCCAAAACCCCAACCCTGCATTGACTGGAGAAAAGTGACAATAAAAGAATAAAATTTATCAGATTCACTCTGTTAAAATGTTGCATTAAAATAAAAACAAAAAAAGCAATTGTTCTCAATTTTTGAAACAAATGTGGAAAAAAAATTGACATTGACTTACATGAATATTACTTTAAAAGAGTAGCGTATGCGGTTCAGCATAGGGTAATTTAGTTTCAATTGATTATTTCGTTTTACCAGTTGTCTTTCAAGAGATGAACTTGCAAGCAGTATACAAGCACATGAATTTTAGAACTCATTTAAATGATATTTTAGAATTTAAGCCTCATGCTTTTGTCACTGCTCTATACGAATTTTTAATTTATTTTTTTTCTTGCAGCTGCTTTGTATATTAGTCACTGCTTAATATGACATTTCAGTCATATTTGTGTCAATATTAATTCTAAATTTTTTACAATTTTATTCTTTATAATATATTCTTTGAAATAAACATTTCAGTGTTTAAAGAAACATAATCTTAGTCAACTACTTCTAAAATATGAAAGAAAATTTGCATTTTTAAGTATATTTTTAGTTAACACTCATTTTTGATGTCTCAACATATCGCCAAAAAAATATTAGATGTTTTCCTGAGGTGGCTCTGAGTAATCCCTTTTTCAGTGATCTTTTTCAAAATTTTACTACTTGATTTGTTTATGTATTTCTAACAATACAAGAACACAAATGCATTATAAATATATGGGATAAAGAAATATCCTAATTTGATAAAATAATTATGTACTGCATACACAATCAAGTAAACATTAAGATAAATCACGGTTATACTCTAGCAAAAATTTTACCTTTGCCCCAGTTGGATTCAAAATGGGTCCTATAAGAACTAATATTGTGATGTCTAGACTTCTTAATATTGGTTCTATATAGATAAAATATCAGCCTATATAGGCTGAATAATGAATACAAATTATTGGGTGAATCTAACAATTATATATAGGGCTGATATTGGTTGTAAAGTGGCTGCAGAATATCGGGTGAATCGGAAAATAACGGCCTTTTGAACCTGTATTGAGCCAAGATTCCCGAATATTATTAGTTTAGAATATAAGTTTTGAATATTAGAAGTCTAGACTTCTTAATATTGGTCCTATACAGATAAAAAATATCAGCCTATATGGAGCCAATATAGGCCGAATAATGAATACAATTTATTGGGAGAATCTAACGATATATATAGGGCTGATATTGGTAGTAAAGTGGCTGTAGAATATCGGGTGAATCGGACAATTCTATATAGAGCCAATATCGGAAAATAACGGCCTTTTGAACCTTTATTGAGCCAAGATTCCTGAATATTGGCCCAATGAAGACCCGAATTATTTTGCTGCTAGGGTAACTTGATAAACATAAGTTTGTCATGAAATGATGACAACAATACTATTATCGCTAAGCAAATTTTAAAAGTGTTAACTTATTTTATAACGATCTTCAAAGCACCATACTTCCAAACCTCGAGACGTAAATTGAGATAGCTCCTCTCCTAAATCCAGAGAATTAGCAAATTGTGTAAAATGAGATGTCACAGTTTGGGTGATTAAGTCTAAACTTCGACTATTAGAGCAAGCAATCCTGTAGTCATCCTCTTTCGTATATTCCTGGTTGTCAGAACTACTAACAGGGGAAAGATTACCCTCATTATCAGAAGAAGTCGAAGATTTTATATAACTATTAGTTGCCAACTCATCCATTTCACACAATCAATATATACAATTTCGAGAATAAATTAGGAAAGTTACTTAAAAACCATAACGTATTTTAAAAGTTTCATACTCGTTGAAAAGTTTTTAAGAATCAAAACAAAATTTTTATGACAACCGCGGCAAAATTTTAGGACAACGGTTACAGTGAATGATTTAATTCAAAGAAAGCATTTTATCATCACCTGAACGGCCATTTTCACTGGATGCAGTTCATACTTTCGATCTGATTGCTGATAAGAGCCAGATTGGTGAAATATATTTCCCGCGAAAAATTTACGAATCAGATTCTCCAATCGCGATTGGAGATGAGATAATTGATTGCAGTGAGAATGCTCTCTCAAGGAACGTTTTTTGACTTCACGGAGTTGTTGTTATTGTTAATTTACGCCGCACTAGAGCTGCACAATGAGCTATTGACGGCGGTCTGGGAAACATCCCTGAGGATAATCCGAAGACATGCCATCACAATTTTGATCCTCTGTGGAGGGGATGGCACCCTCGCTTCGGTAGTCCGACGACCTGCGCTTGAAGTCGAGCACTTTACGGTAACACAGTTTAACGAGGACCAATACCGCACACCCTCGGTCCCTACGCAGACTGATCCAAGTGGTCACCCACCCGCACACTGACCGCAGCCAGTGATGCTTGACTTCGGTGATCTGCTGGGAACAGTGTCTTAACGATCAGTCCAATGCGGGACTCACGGAGTCGTAAGTGTTGGACTTTTTTTTCTTCAGCGGAAAATGTAATTTGAAGTTTTTGGATTGACATCCACTTCTGTTGAGAGGATAGAATATTACTCAGTGGTTTGGATTACTATTTAGTGCATTATATTATTGGTTTATTAATTATTAATAGCAGTACAACTGATCTTCTTATTTTGGGTACCGCCCACCTGTGAGGGTTGAAGAAACTTTTGGTGACAACAAAGTAACTGCTGTTTAAGTTTAATTAAATTTTTATTATTCCTCATCATAAGAGAGGATGAAAGGGATTTTGCTACTAATTCATGCTATTCTTGACCAACAAAATTTTCCTCTGCAAATCTTGAATTTGATGATACTGTCTCAGAACAATTAGAATATGCAACTGCAGGTGGAGTTCCCCGTTTGTAATATTTTTTACTCCATTAGGACCGAATTTGTCCCCGAAAAAGCTAATTTGGCATAAAGATAATCTAAATAAAGCTGTTACTGTATCTGAAAATATCATATCTGGGATGCACACTCGGAATGGTAAACTGTCAATTACTTTATCATTTCATGCGGTAATCAGTATATCTTTGACTCCTAATATCAGACTGACCTTTTCGGCCACTTTTATTCAAGAGAACCGATCGCAAGCCTTTCCAAGATAAAAAGTTACCAACAAATTTAATTCTCACCGTATTCTGGGATTTTGTTCGCAACCACAGGTCTTACCACACTCGCTATACTCTGCACAGATTCTTCCCGGATGTCAGGCAAGACTGGAGTGGCAATTTACAATTCTCGCTCCGGCTCAGCGCTGTATGGATCCGTCCCTTCCATTTGTTCAGCGACTCACTCTCAGTCCTGACAGCAGTCGGATCTGCCACTGCTTCCTCACAAGGAATCATCAACTACATCTTATCATCCTTGGAAACACACTCAACATCTAGTCAATCATTAGAACTATAGTGAGTTCCTAGCCACTCCGGATTTCTCGGTAACGAGATAGCATAAAAGACGGCCAAAGTGGTCTTAGCCAAACCAACAATCTATAGCAATTTCTTTTCCAGAAGACACACACCGCGTCATTAAACAATGGTATCAACAGACAGCAATCAACCTTTGAGAACCGCAAATACTACGCAAACTTTCCACATATGACCCATATAATTAAATAACACCGACTTTCTCTCTACTGCAGACATCGAGACGTAATCTTTTAACGAATTCGAACCAGAACATACCCAATAAAAATTAAGATATCCCGTTTTGACCTCGCCCATAACAAATGCAGATGCAGCGTACCTGCCAAAGCAGTGGGAGCCATCCTCTCTGAAGAGGATCAAAATTACGATGGCATGTTTTCGGTTCTCCTTCAGTTTTTCATTCTCGGGGATGCTTCACAGACCGTCGTAAGAAGCCCTGTGCTATTCTAGTGCAACTTAAATAAAGTACCTACCCACCTACCGCGGTGCACTTGCCGTAATCACATATATCAGTTTTTGGATCAACACCACTCCATACTCCGAACAAAACTCGGCATTTGTCTTTTTCAACACTCATGGATACTACAGATAATTACAGACTCCCAACATTTCTGCAGTTCCTAAAAGCTATTAATCTTCTGTGAACTTCATCCTATTTCCCACTCTACGATAAGAAGCGATATACTGCAAAGAGCTTCAAAAATGCCCGTCAGTCATCATCATCTAAGGGATCATTCTTATTGCTTGCGACGGAGGACATTGAGAGAGAGGCAAATGAAAGTATTGTTATCAAGGTAATAAGTGTTTCATAACGATTCTTTTTCAAATAATAGTTCTTACTTCTTCGCATCTTAAAATGACGATTCTTATAATGATTCCTCCCTTTAATACAAATAATAAATAAGGTAACAAATACACCCATACAAGAATAATAATACTCAAATGAGTCTCAAAACACAATCATCACGTTGTGAACCAAATGACTTCAAAACACACCAAAAACAGTAACCTGGAAGTATAGGCAGTCAAAAGCTTGCGGTGCTCCCCAGTGGCGTACCTAGAACTTTTGCCGCCCTTTCTATTATAAGTAAATCAAATAGTGGTTTTTATAAATTAATACACATATATAAATTATTAAGTTATTTAATCAATATTAATTAATACACAGAGTACATTTTTTTAGACATATTTGTATGCACTTGTAAACATATTTATATAATATCTACTCTTCTAGCTTTCATACTAGAAAAATCGTGTATAATGCTCTCAAAATTTATATTATTTGTAATTTCTTGTTCTATTGACAATATTGCAAGATTTTGTAGTCTTAATTGACTCATTGTAGAACGAAGATAATTTTTTATCAACTTCAATTTTGAGAAGCTTCTTTCGCAACTAGCGACACTGATTGAAATTGTTAAAAAAATTCTTAACAAAATTACAATGTTGGGAACAGAATTTTCCAACCTATACTGCTGAATAAATTTTAGCAGATCAAGAGGGCCCTTCTCCCCGTTTTTCCAATGTTTTGCCTCTTCTTTTAGTGTAGGTACAGCCATAAAAACCTGGATCCTTTTTCTTTCAATATGGAACTGTTCTTTATCAATGTCAATCAAGTCATTTATTTGACATTCAAATTCTTCATTTAGTAGGTTACACGGTATTATACACGAATATTATTGTCGTGTATTTAGCCGTTCGAGGCTATGTTTACGAACTATCACGCCTACGCAATCGAATTGGGACTTTCCCTCTAAAAGTTTCAGTTTGTATTCCTCATCTGTTAGCGTTGCGTTAAGACGCATCTTTTGTATTCTAAATTCTAAATGTTGTAATTAATTAATAAATAGTGCTTGTTAGATATAAGAGTGTTATTTCCTAAAACCCCACGCTATGGGACAGCACACTGGCGACGAGTTGGTGAATTTTATTTTCCAATAATACAAAAAATCATCGCTTGAAAAAGTTACGTTTCAAAGCGAAACTAATTTGGATTAAGGTTTCAAGTACCTGAAGATAGGTAATATTTTTGCTCTTGAAGACTGCTCCAGGTAGGACAATTTATTTCTTTTTCCAAATGGAGGACCTCATCTCTCAATTAGTTGAACAAAATAAATTGTTAATGTCGGCGCTGCAGCCGAAAGACGAAACCAGAAACAAAAGTAACGTTACTGGTGTGAATTTCGAGAAATTCGATGATTCCCAAGAGACATTTGAATCTTTTTTGGAGCGGTTTGAGGCTTTTTTGGACATACAAAATGTTCCAAATGAAAAACGAGCAAAAACATTAATTTCCAGCTTATCAGCAAAATTGTATAATTTGTTAAAAAATTTGTTGGCTCCCAACAATCCAGCTGAAGCTGATTTTGAAACCTTAAAAAACACTCTTAAAGATCATCTTCACCCAAAACCATTAATTATTCCTAGCAGACATATTTTCCTTAATCGTAAACAACACGAGGGAGAAAGTATTAATGCTTATTTAGCAGAACTTCGTTCATTGGCAATGCCATGCAATTATAAACAAGAACTGCTGAACACTATGCTGCGGGACGTTTTTGTGAGCGGTCTCCGTGATCGTGCCACATTAGACAGACTTTTTGAAGAAGATGATATAGATCTCGAGCGTACTGTAAAAATTGCTTTGGCCATGGAAAAGGCTAGTAAGAGCACCCAAGAAATAATTGGGAAGGCAACAGAAATTAAAGAATTTAAGGCTAACAGGAAAAAAGAACCGAAACAATTCTGGTCTAACAAAACGAAAGAAAAAAATAACTTTGCATGTTATCGGTGTAAGGGATCTAACCATTCCTCAAGGGAATGTAAATACAAATCTGCAACATGCGGCTACTGCCATAAAGTTGGACATCTAACAAAAGCGTGTTTTTCTGCCGCTAGAGCAAAACAATATAAACATGTTAACCAGAAACAAATTGACACTGAACCCGGATGTTCATGTGAAAATACTATATCCGTACCGTTGCACGCATTAAATGACAAAACATTTAGCGAGGAATTACCTAAAAGACCACCAATAATGATTAAAGTAAATATAGAAAATTCTCCAGTTCAAATGGAGGTCGACACTGGAGGAACAGTATCGGTTATGAGCATTAATAGGTTTCGAAAAATCTCTAATAAAAAGATAAAACCTACTAAACTGATTTTCAAAACCTACAAGGGAGATGAGGTTGTACCGCTTGGATATGTTTCTGTTAAAGTTGATTATAATAATATATCATATAACTTAAATTTATATCTAGTTAAAGAGAATTTAGATACTATTTTTGGTAGAGAATGGCTTTATGAAATTCCATTAAATTGGAATACCATTAAAACAATTAATACTGTAAATACTAAAGTTAATTTCGATTTGTCTAAACTTTTAAAAGACTTTAAACATCTCTTTACTGATGAATTAGGGGAAATTAAAAATTATGAATGTAAACTTGAGTTAAGGGAAGATACCAAACCCATTTTTTGCCGACCCCGGCAAGTTCCCTTCGCGCTAAAACAGAGAGTCAATCAGGAAATCGAAAGACTCGAAAGGGAAGGATTAATCGAAAAAATAAACATATCCGATTGGGCCACGCCCATAGTTCCGATTGTCAAACACAACGGATCGATTAGGCTATGTGCTGATTACTCAGTAACGATAAACAAACACTTAAAGGTACAAAAACACCCTCTTCCTCGAACTGAAGATATTTTTGCCTCACTTAGTGATGGCAGGGTATTTTCCAAAGTTGATTTTAGCCAAGCTTATTTGCAAATGAAGGTTGAAAAGGAAAGTCAGAAACTCCTAACCATTAATACAGAAAAAGGTCTTTATACTCCAAAAAGATTAATGTACGGAATTAATGCGGCTCCGGCCATTTGGCAAAAATACATCGAAAGTGTATTCCATGGTCTTGAAGGAGTTGAAGTATTTTTTGATGACGCACGCATAGCAGCTCCCGATAACGAAACTCATTATTTCAGATTACGAAAATTTTTTGAAAGATGTCAAGAACATGGTCTGAAAATCAATAAGGATAAAAGTAAATTCTTTCAAAGTGAAATTGAGTTTTTAGGATATAGGATAAGTTCTAAAGGACTTTCAAAAACATCGGAGAAAATAGCTGCAATTAAAAATGCTAAGGCACCACGGAATGTTCAAGACGTTCAGTCATTTATGGGTCTCGTGAATTTTTATTCAAGGTTTTCTAAGGACTTAGCAACTTTGGCCTATCCTTTATACAACTTAATCAAGAAAACCGTTACTTGGAAATGGGATCGCACTTGTCAGGAAGCTTTCGAAAATGTAAAAAACGAAATTTGCTCTGACAAAATACTAACTCATTATGACCCAAACCTCCCTATCTTGCTATCTTCTGATGCTTCACCTGTAGGATTGGGAGCAGTACTTTCCCATAAATTCCCAGATGGTTCAGAACGACCCATAGCATTTGCCTCCAGAACTCTATCTCCAACGGAGCAACGTTACTCTCAAATTGACAAAGAAGCTTTGGCAATCGTTTGGAGTGTTAAAAAGTTTTACCTCTACTTAAAGGGAAATAGATTCACTTTGATTACTGACCACAAGCCCCTGGTTTCCATCTTTTCATGTAAAAAGGGTCTCCCAGTCCTTTCTGCGACAAGACTTTTGCATTATGCTCTTGTTCTGCAAGCTTATAATTTTGATATCGTTTATCGCAATACAAAGGACCACGGCAATGCTGACTGCTTATCACGTCTACCATTGAAATCTGAAGAACTGGAATTAAAAGATGATATTGCAGTATACCAAATTTCCCAAATTGAAACCTTACCCGTTACTGCCAAAGATTTAGCAAAAGCCACGCAGTTCGATGAACACTTGGGAAAACTTTTAAAAATATTACAATATGGAGGTCAATTAGAGGGGAAGGAAAAATATACCTTACAGGATGGGTGTATTATGTATGGGCAACGAGTGTGTATTCCAGACTGCTACAAAGCAAAAATACTAGACGAGTTGCATCATGGGCATCTTGGTGTAGTAAAAATGAAAGCAATTGCCAGATCTTACGTGTATTGGCAAGACATTGACCAAGACATAGAGAATTCTGCGAAAAACTGTTTGGACTGTGCTAGGTTCAAAACGGACCCAGCAAAAGCAAAAGTTCATCATTGGGAATATCCCAGTGCACCATGGGAAAGAGTGCACATTGATTTCGCAGGACCTATATTTGAACGGATGTTTCTACTTATTGTTGACGCACATTCAAAATGGCTTGAAGTTTACCCCATGAAGACAGCCAACTCATTCAAGACAATTGAATGCCTCCGAGATTGCTTTTCACGTTTTGGACTACCTGTAGTGTTAGTTTCCGACAACGGCACACAGTTTACTTCACAAGAGTTCCAAACATTTATACGAAGCAATGGCATTAAGCATAAGACATGCGCCCCTTTCAAACCATCCAGCAATGGACAAGCAGAGCGCTACGTGCATACATTAAAACAATCTCTCCGTGCCATGCAGAACTTTGCAGGAAATACCCAGCAAAAGGTTAGCACCTTCCTCATGCAATATCGCAAGGCTCCTAATATGACAACTATGATTAGTCCGGCTATGCTTTTCCTTAAGAGAGACATTAGGACTAGAATAGATCTTGTTCTCCCTGACTTGGTCGGAAGAGTCAATGAGAAGATCAGAAAAAGCACGTATGATTTTCAAGATCGTATTTTTCACGAAGGTGATAAGGTGGCTATTCGAGACTATCGTTCACCCAACGCAAGGTGGAAATTTGGAACTGTCATGAGCAAAGATGGAGCTCTTCATTACACAGTTAATGTGCAAGGTACATTGTATAGACGCCACGTAGACCAAATGCGACCAACAGGAGACCAGATCTTGGATAAGACTATTCACGTTCCACGAATTAGTTTCAGCAGTGAAACTCCACACATGGGCACCGCGGACAATTCTCCTGCACCCACTGATCCTGGCGGAGATATCCAAAAACACTCTGGATCTGTCAAATCAACACCAGAAACTCGCCAACCATCTCCAACTAAGAACCCGAGTTCAGCTGTTTTGCCGAGAAGTACTCCATCTTCAACTTCTCAACAAACTCCATTTCAGCCGAGGCGATCACAAAGGATTAGACGGCCCCCTAAGAGATTTGACCTTTAAATCTCCATTTTAAAGGGGGAGGAGATGTCGTGTATTTAGCCGTTCGAGGCTATGTTTACGAACTATCACGCCTACGCAATCGAATTGGGACTTTCCCTCTAAAAGTTTCAGTTTGTATTCCTCATCTGTTAGCGTTGCGTTAAGACGCATCTTTTGTATTCTAAATTCTAAATGTTGTAATTAATTAATAAATAGTGCTTGTTAGATATAAGAGTGTTATTTCCTAAAACCCCACGCTATGGGACAGCACAATTTTCTTACAAGGCCATGCAACTGATCGAAGCGTTCTTTTATTTCCTTTATAATTCTGTCCATAGATGAAAACATTTCTCTTCGTACTTCTTCTTCTAAGGATAGCCCCACGTCTCGCGAATTTTCTCCACTCATATTTTTTCTCCTTCTAACTCGACGCTTAGTCGATATCTCCAACTCTTCACAAATTATTTTGGCTGCTATAACAGCGTTTTGTACTAGCGTATCTCTTTGTTCCATGAAATGTGTTTGCAAAGAATTTAGTTTTATATGGCATTGGTGGACATTTAACCCTTTTATTTGCAGGTATTTTTGAGCGTCATTAATTTCCAAAAGGACGGGTTCCCATAAATGAAGGTAACATAGAAAAGAAAAAGATTGCATAGAATTGAGTAATACTTCAGCATCTGATCTCGTTTTACTATTTTCTTCTTCAGATGTCAATTTTTCCAAAGCGCTTAAAATGTCAAAAAAATGTCTTTTTACTATAGTTACCGCGGCAGCTCTAGCGCTCCAGCGAGTTTCTACACTGCGTTTAACACCTTGAACAGTGACAGAAAGTAAAACATTCCATCTATGAGTGGAAGAAGAAAACAACGAAAACAACTGTTCGATAGTTCCAAAAAATGTGATGGAATTGATAGCTGTAGAAGCTGCGTGTAAACATGCCAGGTTTAAAGAATGATTTGTACATGCTACAAATTCTGCATTTGGATTTATTTCTTTAATTTGGAGTTTGAACACCGCTGTGCTTTCCTGCCATGACGGCAGCATTATCGTAAGCCTGTCCTCTGCAATTTTTTATATCTAAACCGTCACTTTCTAATTTCGTTAAAATCATATCTGTGATTTCACCAGCAGTTTTTCCTTTAGTTTCTACAAAGTCAATAAACGATTCTACAACTTTAACTTCGCTACCATAAATAACTACATATCTAATAATTTGACTGGTTTGATCTTTGTGTGAAATGTCAGGAGTGCTGCCAAATATAATACAAAAGTATTTAGCCTGCTTTATTTGATCCATAATTGTTTTTCTGACTGCGCCTCCCAATAGCTCTATGAATTCGTTCTGGATCTTCGGCGACAAATAAGAGATACTATATTTATTACCCATCTTAATTTTTACTACGTGTTCTCGTAATACTGGGTCGTACTTAGCCAATAAGTCAACAAGATCAAGAAAATTTCCTCTATTTTCCATTGAATCGATGTTTTCCTGATGAACACTTTCACGATGTCCTCGAAACGCCAAATTTTGTTTTGCTAAGAATCTAATTATATCAAGTATTCTTGTTAGAATTTCCTTCCATTTTTTTATTTCTTTATCAATATTCTGTTGTTGTAGTTTGTCAATAGTTGCGCCACGTCCAAGTCTTATTTCTAATTCCTTCCATTTGGAATATGATCAAATGTGCAGTGGACTCACCTCATATTGACTAATTTTGGGATTAAGTTTCCACCATTTGTTAAAACCATTTTCCGTATTAAAACCTGCTTGACAAAGATTATCAAACAGTTTGCAGCAGAAACAATAAGTACTTTTCTTCGATGGTGAATATACCATCCACGATCTTAAGAGCTTTTCGCCATTAGGCAAAGTTTGAAAAAACCAGTCCTGACTCAGTTTTCTTGTTTCACCTTTGGCTTTGATTGTATTATTAGGACGTTTTACTCCTTCGCTGAAGTCGGCGTCCAAATTTTGAATTGCAAAGGGACCTTGACGTACCAGAAATACTCTTGTATTGTCGTCAATTTTGTTAGGCCATAATCCAATATCTTTCATAGAAATAGACGGAATAATTTGTATTTGTGCAGCAGATTCTTCATCAGAACTTGATGAACTTTCTACTTCTTCGCCAGTGTGTGAAGCAGGTCTTTCCTCTTGAACAACATTGGAAAATGTTTTTTCGCCTTCGAGGGCTGCTTCTTCGCCCGTATTTGAGGCAACAATACTAGAACTAGAAGTTGACTTATGGGAGATATATTTGAGTAGTGCTCCAGTATTTTAAGTCTGTATTTCCTCCCTTCTCTTCCTTTTCTTTCTAAATGACGCACCACTTTCTTTTACTCGTTTCATCCTAGGGATATATAATAAAAATATAACTTGTCGAAATAAATAGTATATTATGTATAGAAAACGGCAAAGTCATTTTACTACTCTGAATAGCATTTAGAATAACATCTATATCTATAATACGTAATATAATATACTTACCTATAATAAACTCTCCAAATGCACTGGCACCCTAATAATTTGTTTCACTCTTCACTGTTAAAAGATTGAATCGCGAATGAACAAAATGGTTTATAAGCAATTTATCATTCCAAATACAATTCTTCAAAACGGACTGAGTATATTTATCTATTTGCGATTCCTGAAATTGTAACTTCGTCAGTATTTTTGTTTTGTCTCGTTTAGATTTTGTTGTTTGAAAAAGATAGTTCTTATGCCGGCGCCCTAATGCTTTGCAGACCTAGCAGACCGGCGGCCCTGCTTTTCAAAAGAAAAATCGATGATTTAAAAAAAAATATTGATATATCACTTCAAAGTATAATTCTGAATGCACCAGCTCTCTTTGATGGCAACAGTATATCCAACATCCTCCAGCATTTCAGTGAATCATCATTTGACAATAATACCATCACCTACACAAAGTCAATACCTCACAAAAAACATGTTGACAAAAAACATCTCATTGTTAATGTATCGCATAAACTTGCTCAACAACTCCTGAGGACAAAACACATCTACATAGGCCTGAACAGATGCATTGTCAAAAAAAGAATTCTACTTCGACGCTGCTCATGGTGTCAAGGTCTTGATCATTCCACCCACTCTTGCACTCAAGAATTCGCCACTTGCTCTATCTGCGGAGGCGACCATCACACAAATGAATGTCACTCCGACGAAAAATATTGCATCAACTGCTGGCACACCAATACCTTTTTTGGAACCAGCCATAATCCTTATCATCAAGCCTCAGACATCACTTGCCCTGTGCATCGCCAGGCCCTCCTTGAATTACGATCTCGTTCTAATGATTATTAAATGTTACCACCTTCTAGCTATAACTTCTCTGCCACTTCTCAATCTATTCACTTATGTCTCTTGAATATACCTATCGCTAGAGAAACTTTATAAACTTCTTCCTCATTGCAGACGTTTTGTAGCTGACTCTTATCTTTTATTTTTATTTATTTAATATTTTCTTTCAAAATTCTTGCTATCCAGCCTCCTTGAGAGCCTTACACTTTCGACAGCTGTCAAAATAATCTACTTATGTTTTCCAGTTACTAATCTACATTTACTTTCTTGTACTTAACATGTGTATCAAAATTCTTATGCGTATCTCGATGTCGCAATGCTCTGCATTTATTCTTTCAAAATTCTAAAATATGCATTTGTTTGAGGCATTTCACTATGCCTTTGCATTTAATGTTGTAAATATTTTCATACTTTAATTTTTTCTTTATATGTCATTTATTCTTGCTGCAAATGTAATTTTTTGTGTTTTATGTATGTTTTGTCTGTAGAATGTTTGTTCTACTCTCGTGTGCCCTGAATAGGGCGGGACGAGGTATCAATAAACAATATCACTTCAAAGTAATCATATAAACTTTTCAAAAGAAATGACATTTATAAACTGATATCAAAAAATTTTAGTTAGGAAAAATTGCCGGACAAAATCGTAAAGATCCTTTTACGAATTCAACGAATTTTAATGAATACAATAAACTAAAATTATTATCTTGTTCTTGAATTAGAATTCAAAATTTACACTAAAATGCATTTTATACACCGAGGAATAATATTCGAAATCATATAGTTAATCATAATTTATATAAACCAAATATTAAACTTATAATAATCATTTATTATTCAAGAAAGAAAATAAATATGAAATGAATAAGTTGCTTTTTACAACTATAAGTAAATATAAAAAATGCCGCCCGGTGCGGACCGCACCCACCTAGGTACACCACTGGTGCTCCCTAATGTAAAAAACATCCATAAGGGAACCAACAATCGTGTTTTTAGCTCCTTTTATTCCGTCTTTCTCACCTGTGATTTAAGAGCGACTGCATTTTTCTTTCTTTCGAGCTTAAATATTTATATGCGACTTATGTATATTTCTTTCGATATCCTTTTTTATAATTTTTCTAAAAATAAACAGGCTGTTCTGCAATGACTACCCTTATCGTATATTGGTACTATTATTGTCTAAAATTAAGAGAAAGATGAATGCACGTTGGAGATAGAAAATTAATAAGCCGGAGAAAAACTCTATTGATTTACTATTAAAGAATGCGGACGTGTGGAGTAAGATCAACACCTGTTTGATAATCGAAAGAACATCTTCAAACTTCAACCACCAATCAAATAAATTTTATACACCACATACTTAAGGTTTGGATATATATATATCAGGTTTGGATATATATATATATTTGTGGCAGAATTCCGCCTGGCCACTGGACACGACTGTCTTCTTAAACACTTCAGCAGAATTAACATTGCTCCTTCTCCCATCTGCACACTTTGTAACTTTGGAGAGGAAATGGATACCACCCATATTATGCACTGTCCTGCTTTGGGCAAGTCTTCTCTGGCCGAGCGATATTGGGAAGCCAGAGTCCTTTTGAATTAATGGAAGTTACTACATTATGTTTACCATCTTTTATTGTATTTCGCTTTCTTTAATTTGCTGTAACTACTCTCCAATAAATTTGCCATTGGAAATAATATATAATANTATATAAAAATTTCAGATATTGCAATAGTCTTCCAATTTGAAATTATTTTTTATTTAATAAAATGACTCATTAACAGCTTAGAAATAAAGTTTATTCATAAACCAACATTATATAGATTTTAATATAAAATGTAATGGGGAAATAGCATTTTACAACGAGGCATTAATAAAGTGCAGGACACTAAATTTGTAATCTTTCAGCAATGGAAAAAGAAAATTTCCTGTTGAGGAAGTCCTGTCACTCGCTATTGGTTCTGTGAAATAAAAAAATGTAATGCAAAAATCAAGCATTTTTTATTAAAAGAACAAACATAACTGTAGCAATTTGTGATCAATTTTATTGTAGTCTAGAATGGAAACACGAAACAAAATTTAGAATTACATCAAGAATTATATATCTAAATTAATAATAATATAGTTAGTTATAATATAGTTTTAAATGCTTATTAAAAGTAAAGATAAACCACGATTTCGGCAAAATGAGGAACAATGAAAGGAACAGTATCAAATTATTAAAAATTTAAATCATAAAAAAAAACAAAAAAAAACACTTGTAATAATAAATAGATGAGTAAAAAACGTCGTATCACATATCTTATTAAGAAATGACAATAATGCTGATGATAACTATCATTTAAATGACTTAAAATATATCTTTTCATCATTACTAATACTTAGGCTATCATAATTAATCCGAAATATTTCATTATTTTTTTAGAAACATTTTTTAAATACTTTTGTGTTTAGTGGAATCAAAAATAAAATTTTTTTAAAACTTCGATGCTATTGTTTTCTTTTCTCTAAATAAAACAACTATATTTTTTATTGAAACAGTTTCCACAAACAAAAAATTACTAATTTACAAAATTTAATAGCAGCAATAAAAACACTTACTTTCAGTTAATTTCCTTAATAATACTAAGTAATTTTCCAGAAAATGTTTGCTTACAATAAAAAAAAATGTAGCTAACAGAACTGCGGCGTTGTCATGGTAAATAAGAAAAAATAAATAGAATCGCCTTTAAACCAAAAACAAAGTTTAGAAGGATCCATTAAATCTGCGTTGCTCATAAGCAACACTTAAGTGAGAAAGAGTTAATAATTTTTCAATTCATAGAATGATTTGGGAACGATATATTCAGGAAAACGTAACTTACATGAATACATTTTATAATTCAGTGGCGGATGAAATACCAAGCATGTATATGAGAAATTCAAAAAATCATTCAATAAACTGAAGCTTATGTTATATGGAACAAAAAGGCTCAATTAATAAATTCAACCTAAATTGTGAGTGCTAGAAAATCGCAGGAGTTGTTTAAAAATCTCTTACCGGACAAATAAATAAATAAACGTGCATAGCTTAAGACGGCATGTTCCAAGTATATTCATTTAGATTTATTAGTGACTATTTTTATCACTTGCATGAATTCCAGCAAAACCTTTTTAAAAAATATTCTCAATAGGAAATAATGGATTTTTTTTAAATGCTCATTTTAATAATTATTTTTTTCTAGGGTCAAAAACACTGAAAAAATGTAAATGTCCCTTAATTTTTTAAACAGTTTATTCATAAGCTGTTAAACAGAAAGTCTGTAACGAATTGCATCCGAAGAAAGGCAAAGTATAGCAAAAGTTTTTTTAAATCTGTTTTTAACAGTTGAAAATGTAAAGAAGTCAGATGAGTAATTTATTTAAACAAGCAGGTAAAGTAAATTGTCACTACTGACCCTAAATACGTAACCAAAATTCAGGGACGGCAATCTCTTGGCAAGGTATCAAAAAGTGTTGGGCACCAATCGTAATTGCTTTTCCTTTGTGTTGTGATAAGTGCTGGATATCTAATGGTCTTTACTGCAGATTCAACTGTAGACCAATCATTCATTTTTGTACAAAGGAGGTAACGGTAAGCGTCCGTCGATTCGGCATTTCAACAGCTGGCTGACAGCAAATTTATGATGCTGGGTCTGCAGATTTGTCCTAGGTGGAGTGATGTAAATAAATTATATTTACATAGTCCCCCCTTAAAATTTGGTCAATTTTAGCAATTTTCTTTACGTTAAAAGTAATTAGTTTCTTCAAGAAAATTTAAATTAAAGTAGTCATACTAGTTAGTTTTTGATAGCACTAACTGGTACAGCATAGAACTGAGTTAAGGCTTATCTTTGACATGATAAAAAAAATGGCAGATACCTGGGTAATATATCTATTTAAATGACTTCCCTTCTCCTTAAAAAAAACTGTTAAAATGCCTGTAAATACTTAATAGAAACTTATTTTTTTTTGGCAAATATTTTATTAACTAATGAGACTGAGTTGCACAATTAAGTGAAGTTTGCTAACTTTTTATAGTTCTTTAGTCTTTGTTTTTATGCATAACTGACCTTTAATTCTTCTTGTTTTTCCTTATTTCTTTCTGTGATGAATTAAAATTGGGGAAATATTGCCAGCAAATATTGCTACGCATATTTCATAAGGATCTTAATAAGCTCTTCATTTTTTGTTAACCCTTTATAAGGCTGTAGTATGTATACTTTCTACCAAATTCATTAATTTTTAAATGTCGATGGAAAGCTATTTTTTCACCTTTGATTTGTGCGGCCATCTGTTGATGATTCTGTTGAAAATAAGAAAAATAGTAAATAAATAATACTTTCTTTATATAAATGTAAGCGGGTAATGGTAAAGGTTAGGGTAGGGGTAAGAGAGGCTAACACTAAGAGCTATTGTCTCTTATACATTATGCGTTTGCTAATTTGATCGTTTTTTTTATTGCGTTTGTTTTTATAAACATAGAATAAACAAATTCGGTTATTTTTAAAAGTTCAAATTTATAACCGATTCTTTATAGTTTACATAATAGGAGCCCTTAATATATATTTTTAAAATACTTTTAAAAATTTGAAGTAACTGAAGCATTCAGATTAGGAATTGCGCATTGAAATTTAATCAATAAAGGTTCAGACAGCCGGGATAGCCTGGTTGGTAGGGGACTGAGCCCATATCCAAGGGTTCGATCCCACGCCTACCGAAGACTCCCCGTGTAGTAATTAGGTGACTGATGCACGTTAAATCTGTCGAGTCGCCAAGTCCCCAGAACAAATCAATACCGCTGGAGGTACTGACATAGGAGTTTCCTTGTCTTCTGGATTGGTTCAAAATTACAAGGCTACGGAGTTGAACATTAGAAGTTGTAAACCCAAAATTGGGTTGGCTGTTCAACGACGGATATAAATAAAGGAAGGTACAGAAAAGATGTGAAATCTGTTAAATTATTAGGGAGGAGGGCTGGAAAAAAATATCAAATCCAGTATAAATACCTGATGAAACTTGGAAATTCAAATATTTGTTAGTCAATCTCCTTTCTCATTTTATGAAAGTTTATAATTTTGGTTTTGATATTGTCTGACCAGCCTTTCTCAACAGTAATACTTTGATTCCGATAGGGTTCCTTGGATTGCAGTCCGTAACGTGCGTATTTTTTGATTTTATTTTTGTTAAAGATTCTTAAAATATATTCGATTGGTGCGTATGAAATGTCGGACCTTTAAGTAAATATCTGGTGAATAAGTTTATTAAATGCTTCTTTGACCAACTGACTTTCCTTCTTCTTAAACATTTAGAAGAGTTTTTACAGGCTAAACAGCATGAAAAAGAAGATATTTTGCAAAATTCTACAGCAGAGCGTGAAGATCTGATCCTTAGATCAAAAGTTATTTAGGGTGATCTTTTTGTTTCGCACTGTACACTTACAAAACTAAAACAAGTTATTTCGAAATAGTTATTTTCTCCTTTCCATTTCATGTAAAATTTTTTCCAAATAAATAAAATTTACAATATACCAAAAATAAGTTAATAAATAATAATAAAAAATTTAATAAATTAAATTGATTTGATGACTTGAGATATTTACTTTATTTTACTATTGGTATTAATTCATACAGATGATTTGTTGCTTTTATTGTTAAAACCCATAGTTTCGCACTTTTGAACCAAACTTAGAGAACAAGGTAAAGAGCTTGGTAAAGCTTTAGGACAAATTCACTTTCATGCAGGACATCAGAATTGAAACAAGATCACATTTGCTTTACATTAATAGGAAAAAAAACGAAAATATCCCACGGTTAGCCCGACGGCAAGATTACTCTCACCCATGACATGATCCCTATACCATTGGAGGTAATGTATGTCGGAACTGTTGTCAGTGCAAACAGAGAGCGGTATACAAATTAACATGGAGATTCAATTCAAACCAAGTCCCGTCTTTGAAAAATGAGGACTAAATCATTTATCTCACAATTTCAGAGAAATTGGTGTTAAGAATAATACAAGAAACAAACAAAGATATAAAATTCGGCGTGATAGAATAAATTCTTATCTTTATAAGATTTTTTCAAACATTTTCTCGACAGGAAGATGAACTTTACCAACGAGAGCAGAGGTTTGTCAGTCCATTTGTCTAATGTTTTTTTTTAAAAGAAATATACGGATTTCCCTGATAAGTAGGAAAACTATTTCTGTTGATATAGCACGCGCGTTTTTAACTAAAGAATAATTGTGCTCCTCCCTATTGTTGCTCATAAGACAACTTGGTAGATATAGATATTACAAGTCTATTTTAACTCAGATATGAGCAATTACAATTGAATTTATTAGTATATATAAATATATACACTATATTAAGAGCAAATTAAGAAAAAATTAAAGACAAAACAAACTTACTACTTCATTTCTTCCAAATAATTTAAGAATGGAATTCTTTAACATTGAATGGTGTGACATTTTTTAAAATTCTTTTCTTTACTGAATGTGGAGAGAGTGTGCATGCATTATAGACAGTCTCGAAAAGTATGGCCACGTGAGGACGATGGGGTCAGGACTGTCTTCTCGTCTTCCCCTATCCCTCAGGGATATTGAATAACTTCCCACATGGACACAAACTAAAGACTTGGCCTTCAGAATTTTCTGAGAAAAAGATGCCCAAAAAGTTGGTGGTAAAGAGTAAGTAAAAAAGAACACATTTTCGTCTTTATGTTTTTAGTGTATTCTCATTTACAAAAGAAAAAAAAAAGTTTTTTTAAAAGAATATAATAATTTTTTTTTTGCAAAACAGTAGCATTTTCTTGACGATTTTTTAAGTTCATCCTGATAGAAGGGCAAAACGACACATGACAGGGGTGCAATTGCCCCTGACCCCCTATTGGCACCGCCCTTTAAATGGAGCACATTTTGAATAAATAAATAGCTTTTGAAAAGAGATGTAAGCATAATCCAACATTTCATACATAGCAACCTAACATATATTTAGGGCAGTCATTATGGAACACTTTTTTCATTATTGATTGTTAATAGAATGTGATACAATGAAAGCTTTTAATGTGAGGAATTCCATTTTGCATTTTTCAATAATACTGTCATTTCGCTATCCATTGTGTATTTATTATACATCATAAGGCAGTGAAGCTTTTTAATAAAGTTTATTAAGCCTTATATTAAAAAATATGTAGCGTGCAAAGCTTAAAATACAATTTTAGTGCAAACAGAATCAAGAACTCACTGATTATGATACACTGCTATTGCTATTTGGAATGCATTGCAATGCTTAACATGAGACCAGATTTCTCTGTATTTCTTTTCTGTAGGAAAATAAATAAATTTGAATGTTGTACTGAAATTGTTTTCTTAGAGATATAAAATTGAATTTTATAATAAGATCCAAAACGGTTTTTTAATTGAAATCAAGTTAGTAGAATTAATTTCAAATTGCAAAATCAAAGATAAACAAAATGTTTTTTGTTATACATTTTAAGTACAGATTCAACTGTATTTCTTCTTTTAAATTCAGCTTTTTTCTTCAATTTTTTTAAAAAATATACTAGGAAAGGACATTATAAATGAAAAAAGAAAAAGGAGGATTAATATTTATTACAAAACTCTTAAATTGTTGATCTTGAACTCTGATAGGCAAGCAATTTTTCCCATTATTGTCCAAGTATTTTGACATTTGAAGAATTAAATTTATTCCCCAAATTTATTCAAAACACACATTATTTTCCAAAAATAATGCAGAAATAAAATTAAAAAACAATATCTGAAAGAATTAATTAGATTAAAGAGCATCCAGAGACAGAGAGAACAGTAGAAATGAGATAGGCTCAGGTCAGAACTTGGGCCCGACACGGGCATATCTCATTTACTGAAAAAAGGTTTCGATTTCGGACTCATTATATAATTTTCATAAACATTTTTTAGAGGCTTGAAAAAATATGACAGACTAAATAAAATTAAAACATTATGAAATAAGAAATTGTAAGCATTAATAATTTTCAGAAAATCTTAGATAAAAAAAAAATTCTGCTCCTAAATGGTACACTTTGTTTTTACTAAAGTCATGTTGTTTTTATTTAATATATAAGTGTTTACTACACTGAAAAATATATTCTTACATAATGCAGTAGATGAAGCAGATTTAAATAAACATAAATTCTTAAATTTAACGGTTTACAACGAAGGGTTCTGATTTTTACTGACAACAAAAAACTTGGATGTCTTCTGTTGTTGACAATTCCTTTTCGACATTTCTCTTTCACATTCAATTCCAGATTTCTCTCCTCGCTTTTTGTTTTAAATGTTAGTGCTAAAAAGGTTACAATGACTAATTTCTTTATTTAGATATCAAAGACTGGGTGGCGAGACTGCAAAGTTTGGTCTTTATCCGAAGTGTATCTTGGGTAATCTCAGTCTCTAATCCTATGTGTTTAGCGTTTGAGTGGGCTAGGAATAAAATTCTTTGGGTTCGGATTTTCAAAAGCGAACTTGAACTCATTCCTAGAGGACAGTACCCCAAATCTGAAGAGTAGTGCTTTAACGTTCTCAGTCTCTCTGGTGAATTATCTTAGCCTAAGTCATTCAGCCATAAAAAATTAAATTTCTTTCTGAAGTTTTTACTCCAATACTCCTTTTTTAAATAAAAGAGTTAGTAAAATATAATAATAGATGAAATGTGAGGACGAGTTATTGCAGTCCTGCTATCAAATTTAGTGAGTCAGATGCTATGCGCTAGAATTCATCATGTAGGAAATCAGTTAGCGGACAGAAATGCATGCTACAGTACTGTCATCTAGTGAGTGTTCAGATCCAATTCAGTTCTTCCTAAGGAAGAGCATGAAAGGATAATGAAGTCATAATCCTAAGCCTACCAGTGCATAGAATAGTATCTCATCTTTCTTCGCTAAATTGATTACAATCATAAGGTTAAGTTTGAAGTAGTCATAAGATACAATTTTTCTGTTAAAATTGAAGCCAAATTTAATTTTTAAATAAATGGTTTTGAAAATCTGCATAACATATTGCTTTATTTCTATAACAGCTATTAAAAGTTATTAATTTACACTCATTCTCTTAAAAAGAAATAATATAAAATGGATGTTAATAAATGTAAGTGTAGATAATATAATAAATGTAAGAAGAAATCAAATAAATTATCCCTTGACAATAAGTTTAAAGTGTTTACTAAAATAAAAAACCATGATAACTTTTTAAAAAACTACTTGCTTTTTTAGAAAAATTCAATTTAAAATTAAATAAAAAAGATTATAAAAATAAACAGTCATTCCTTCACTTTTAAAAATAAAGTTATTTAACGTAAGATAAAAGATATCGATTCATAAAAATAAATGTAATTATATATAAAAAAAGAATCAAATAACAATAGTTCTATAAAAGAAAATATTTGGCATTTTGATTACAAATCTATTAATTCTGATAAAATGACAACTAAAAATGAGACCAAATAACACAATTTAAACAAGAATCAATAAATGAATATATAAAGCAAAGGAAATGTAACAAAAGTAAAGTCATTATTTAACATTTAAGTTATATACATTGTAATAAAAATTGTCAAACAAAAAGCTATCCAATGAACTAAAAATAGAAATAGCCTTACGTAATAAAATATAGCAATAGACATGTATAAAAATAAGCAATAGCATTATTGTGTTAAATTGAGTGACACAAACACATCAAACTATTAATTATAAATGTTTACGAACAATAAAAACTAAGTTTTTTTTATAAGATGGTTCAAAATACATAGCAATATTTTCCAAAGATAAATACCAATTTTTTAAAAACTTCAAAAGCAAATATAATCAAATATCCTACTTTACATTATTACAGTTGATTATAAATTATTTATTTACAAAAAAAAATATAAATTAATAATCATCCCATTAAAATAAGAGTATTTTAAAGAATAATATTTGCGATAGATTTCTTAATTATTCATTACTTTAAATTAGGGCAATTCATACTTCTTTAGCTCACATGCAAAATATAATGCCTACTACAATAAACATCAAATATAAAGGAATAATTAATCTATAATAGATAATTTTTTCGTTTGTTAAATCTATAGAAATACAATGGAATTTTAAATAGACAATCAATCAACATAATATAATATTTTACTGAATTGATGATTACTCTATGAGGCACAATTAAATTTGGAAATAAAACATTAAATATCACAGTAAATACAAAAAGAAAACATGTGATTTCTAATATTAAAGGTGATAATTTTAAAATCCTTTCTTTTATTTTAAAACTTAAAAAAATAGTACCATATTATATAAAGAGCTCAATTTGACTTGAGTAGAAATATTTTCTTTAGTCAAAGGTAATTTATAAACACATTAGCATTTCATTTAAAATTTGAAGTTAATAATTGCTTTTTATGTTATATATGTATGTAAGTTTTCAAAACCATATAAAAATAAGCAGAAACAATAAATTATAAGAGATCATTAAAATATAAACATAAAAGCATTAAAAAATTAAAGTGATCAGTAAATTGATTATCTTAAACTTAAACTGAAAAACACAAAATTTCAAATAAGCATTAAACAAAAACAAAACGTAACCAAATCATTTCAATAAAAGTGAATAAAAAATACACAACCAAAATAAAAGCCACTCTAAAAATATACAAAACAAAATTGTTAATCAGAGCATGCAAGTGGAATTCAGCATTTATTTATTCTCGAAAGAGCCCTCTTCACCTCAGATTATAAAAAATAAATGTCACCAAAGAATCATTCAATAGTAAACATCCTAAACAAAGAAAATAAAAGTTATCTATCCATTGAGGCAGGCACACAGAAGATACTTAAAGACCATTTTGACCAAATTGTAAGATAAAAAGATGAGTGTTTTGAGAAGCTGCATATAATTCTGAATATTAATGGAAAAAAGGAAAAAGATAGGCTAAACAAAACAAAATAAAATATTAACTATAAAATTAGATAAACCCTAATTTTTTAATTAATGTTTTAAGAAGACTGATAAATCCCAAATTGATAATTGGAACCATGCATTACCTAGAAGTTGACAATTAATCTTTCTAGGGCAGTGTTTCCCAAACTTATGACTTTTGTGTACCCTTTCTAAATTTTTCATAACGCTGTGTACCACTAATAAAAAAATTAATGCATTTTTTACTACTTGCACAAAAGTTAAAAATCACAACTGACTGTTGATATCACTAATTATTAACTGTTAATTTTACAAAAAATAGCCAATAGAAGAATACGTGGTCGTAAATTTTCATGGCTAGCTTTATTTTTAAATAAAATATTTTGAAATTTTCGTTTGTTGCAAGATATTTTGCATAAGAACACGTACCCCCGCTAAACTGCTCCCGTACCCCTGGGGGTATGTGTACCACACTTTGGGAAACACTGTTCTAGGGCAACCCTTTAAACTAGGAAGTTATAACAATACGTATTTAATTTTTTAACCCATACAACTGAAGGTTTAATTAAGTTCTATATCACTATACAATTTAGCCAGAAATCTCCAAAGCACTTTTAAATATAAATATATGTTAAGAAATATATTCAATAAAGAATACATTAAAAAATGTTTAATAAAAAAAAAAAAAAACCTAAAAATTAAAGAAAGGAATACAGGCACATTAAAAAAAAAGTTTTTTTAAAAGCAAAACCAAATACATTTATTATATTTAAAAGCAAAAGTCATACAAAAATACCAAACTAAGTAAATAAATGCAATTATACTTGTAGTAAATGAATGCAATTATACTTTTAGTAAATAAATATTATTATATTTACCCCTAAATGATTCTAAATAATTATTTATCCTTATAGTATTACTAGCTTATTATCAATGGAATTTACAATCCATTTTTAGTTATCATTATCCTATTATTTCCATGCATAGGTACTTTCAAACAAAGAATTTATTCATAAAAATAGTTAAGAAAGAAATATAAGATACCTTTTTAATGAGAACGCTTTGCTCATTCTTCGTGATTCATCCATTGAACCAGGTTTTATCACAGCTCCATACATATGCATAGCCACATAAAGAACACAGAGAAGCATAGGGCCAAAGAGAGCTCCTTCAAAACCTAAGCAGAATACTCCGCCAGCTATTGCCAAGCCCGTTAAGTAGGGATGTCCACCTCTAAAGAATGAAATGTTTAGCATATTAAGTAAAATAGAAAATTAGAACTTAAGTATTTAATTATCATAAGTTTCATTTTACCCTTTAATTTCACTATAAACAGCACTATCCACAAAAGATGTTGGTACAAGTTGAACAACAAGCATGACAACTGCTGTAATAATCTGACCATTGACAAGCCATAGCTCTAAAACAGCAGGAAGGCAAGCCCAATAGGCTCCAAGAAATGGAACAGCACCAAGAATAGCAGCAAGGACTAGAATGAGTAATGAATAAATTGTTACTGTACATATATTCTAAGTATGGGAAAAACTATGACTCGTGGATCGGTTATGGTCTGATGATCTGTGTTACAAATTAATATATATATATAAAGTCGTTGCAGAGAGGAAGGATAAAAACAAGTCTTAAGCAGGGGAAGAGGGCAGAATATTTATTTAATGATTATTAGAGAGTGAACAATCATCCAAGTGACACAAAACAGAAGTGCTCCTCAATAGAATTGAGAGAAAATTTTTTAAAAAAATCCGTAAAATTTTTCATTTTAGGGAATAAGGGAAATCTTAATAATTATAATTGGTTCATGAAATAGGTCGAAAGAAAAAGTCTTCCTCACAATTCCATGAAAGGGAGAAATCAAAAATATTAATTAATGCATAACTTGAAGCCGACAATAGAGTAAAAGACAGGATGTTAATATTAAAGTGTGAGTAAGAGCGTTTAGTTTAGAATAATAAATATAGAAAAAGATTGAGATAAAGGAATAACATAAAAAAATTAGTTGAAGCTTTTTATGTTACATATATATATATTTAAGACAGTTTGATAAACTTGATCTGTTTGCAAAAAAAATATATACATATATATTTATGCAAGATTAATATATATTATAATTTCTAATTACTTAAAGTTAACTTGAACACAAATTTTACTACCATTCAAACAAAATTGAATACTTTCACTGTGTTTTTCAATCTAAATTAAGAAGAAGTGAATCTGGAATAACAGCTTAAGTGAATTGAGGAACTATTTAACAATCACAACCAGTTATTTCTCACTGTTCCAAAAATATTTTTTCAATCTTTGACAAAAGCAAGCTTCCAAAATCAAATGTTTCATGCCCAAAAATATAGTGCTTTGTTGCGCTAGAAAGAGTACTTTATATCATGAACCCAAAGGAAAGTTTACTAAAAATCGACTGAATCGAAAAAGTGCCTAATCAGTACTTTTAGGGCTCACTTTGTGAGAACAAAACTATTTTTACAAAAATGAGAAATATTTAGAGAAAATTTACTAAGCAAAATATTAAACTTTAGCATTCACTGTATAATATTATGTTTAATATCATAAGTATTTAAAGTAGAAGCAACAACTGGGTAGAATACTAAAAATACTAATATTTTTATAAAATGAAACATTGAGAAAAAAAAGTTTTTACAGATTAAATTTTTTAAAGGGGATATTTTTATAAATTGGGATTTTTTGAAATAACAGGTATAAATTTTGTGAAAAGACCTTAACGGCCTCTATTTTTGCCTGAATGGCACCCTACAAATAGATGAATAATGAAATTCGTATAATTAGAGCATCACAATTTATACCACTTAAGGGACTTAATTAATTTTTAATTTATCCTATTAATATTTAATTAAATTTATTCAGCTCTTTAATATTTGTATTGTAATATTTTATAATATTTTTTTGAAGTTTCAAAATGTTTATACCAGTCTGCTCTCAAAGGACTTTATCAATAACATGTACAGTAGTTTATTAATGTTTTTAATGTATACACAGTTCGTTAAAAAATCCTAAAGTGCAAATGAGAAAGAAAAAATTAAATGTTTGAAACAAAATTACTGAAGAGATTTATTTTTTTTCTTTGTGTAACAGTAAAATTTTAAGATAAAAAAAGTTCAGCTCAAAGACTATCATCATTAGGAAGAAATCCTACATAAAGGGGGCTCTAAAATTTATCTGGGAAGTAATTTTGATGAAAAAGTATAAGTTTATAATTGAAATTTGTAAGTTAAATTCATAAAGTATACTGTATTGGTTATGTATATAAGATTATATTGCATAAATGGCTTCTTGAGTTTTAAAGACCCATATAAACTCTTTTGTTGATATTTTAAATTCTCATTTTACAGAAATGTGGATAAATTTTGTTGATACAGCTCTCAGTGTTTTCCTTTAAGACATGGGTGGTTATAAATTTGTCAATTTAAACCTTAAATTTTGTTGAAAAAGAAAAGACAAAGGGCCTTATAGTATTAGATCTTATGATTTAATTCTCTGTTGATAATTGATCTTATGATCAATTGGTATCAAATTCTGTTTGGTAAAATAAAACTGCAAATTACACAATCAAAGAATGACTTAACTATGTCCAAACTATTACTCAACAATCAAAACATGTTTTTTTGTGTGTAGCATTCTATATTTAAAACCCGAAATAGTTTATTGCCCCACTGTTTTGATAATTTTGTTTGCAACATTTTATAGCACAAAGTGCTAAATTTAAACTTTTTTTCAATTTTGAGATTCTATTTACATGTACAATTCAATTGTGCTTAAAATTTACAAGCAACACGTAGCACAAGGATATTTCAGGTAAATGCATATGGTAAATACATGTTTATTTTTTGAAATTTTACATAAGCACAATAAAAATATATTATAAGTACAGCATAATTAATATCTCACAGTATTAATTGTGTTGTACTACTTATAACTCTCATAAACTGTGTTCTACTTATAATTCTGTGATGTACTTATATACTGTGTTAACACTTACCAGATGGAATATAAACTATTTTGACATCAAACAAGGTATGGATGAACCATGTGTATAAACCATAAAATGCAGCCATTTTAAATGAAGCTGCAAAAACACCATTTATAGCTTCTTCTACAGCTCTTCCAAATTGTGCTCCACTTCCCACTGTTGGAAGTAAATTACTGCATGCTTCTACAGGTTTATATTGATTGCCACTAGCACAGAGTAAATAAAATAGTGAAGTAGAAAACACAACCTAAAAAAAGTAACTTTGTTACACTACACATAAATATTTTACCTATTGTAACTATTATCCAATAATAATTAATGTTATACCTATCGTAACTATAACATAATTAGCCAATAAAACTACTAAAGTCTGGATTTTACTGTCATTTGCATTTTTAGACATTTTATCTTTTTTATTACTTTTTTTTAAAACTTAATTATACTTTTTTTTAAAGTATTTTTTGTACATTATCACATAGATAAATCTAATTGAATTTAAAATGATAATGCACTTTTTAATATAATTTATATCTTTAAGAAAATTAAATTTAATTATACATTTCATATAATGTGATTTCAATTTTATGATAAAGTTTTCACTGGTTTCTATAATAACTGGTTCTATAACTCACTCACAAACCCTGCGGTACGGAAGAGGGGTGCAGGAGGGGGCATCTCTAGAAAATATACTCATATGAGACATAATATTACTCATAAGATATTTTCCCAATTTATTTTATAAATAATGCTAACCTTTAACTAAACTTAGAATATTATTATTGTAAGATAGTGAGTTATTTTCAGTTCAATGAGGTATGGGTACACAAAGTTTCAATTTAGTGAATTTCCATCAAAACTATGTTATGATATTTATTATCTTAAATTAAAATTATGATTATAAATACCAGAATATCTCTTCTCCATAGTGTTTCTGTTTCTTATAAAAATTTAAAATGTTTTATGGTAAGTTTAGGATAGGGCACTCACAAATATTACAGGGGGGGGGGCACATCTAAGTTCACCAATAGAATCAGCCTCTTATTGTCATCTAATTTCCAAGAAAAGCGTAATTTACATATGATAACACTAATAAATTTTTTCAGTTACCAGACTCACAACGGTCAGATATTGGAATTAAAAAAATTTGGTCAATAATTAAAATTTTTCAAGAGTGCGATAGAGACTTTTAGTTGGATGGTCAAATCAGTCTAGAAGAAGTAAGAAAATACTCTCTCATTCCCAATGTTTAGCGGATATTTAGTTTGTGGAATTACATGCACGTGGAATTATATTTTAAATTCAGTTTATGTAATTAAAATCTTTAATTAACATATGATCGTATTAAATGGCAGATAATGTATAACAAATACTATTCTCTTTTTGGTTTAGTCATTGTCAGGACTTGTAAGAATAAAATCTGGCGAGGCTGACAAAAGCAAGGAAAATAATGAAATGAGAAAAGCATGCAACGACGATATTAAAAATGTTGCGTCTGAATTTAATTTTTATTTTATTCTTTTTCTTAGAATGATGAAGATTGGCATTTGTTTTGAAGAGATTGTAAATAGTTTTTGGATATACTTAATGTGGTTTAATAAATGAATATTTTTTTTTAAATGTCTTTCTATTCCAATTTCCCCAAATCAAATTTAAATCATTGTTGATTCTGTTAATCTAGACACAGATTGTTTGCCTAGTTTCCTGCAAGTTATCTTCCCTCTGAGGCATCCAAAACTAGTTTTTTACATGAAAAGGTTAAATCACATAGTAATACTTAATAGGATGTTTGATCTCCAAAGTTTAAAAAATGAAAGCTTACAAAAGGAAAAAAAAAGAAGAATTACACTCAATAAGTTTACATAATAGTTTATGTGTTAGTTAATAAGTTTAACAATAGCATTATTTTAAAAAAATATTAAAATAAATACTTACAAAGTTCAAAACAAAATTTAGAACAGCTGTTCCACCTCCAAACAAGAGAGAAATGATTGCCGTTATTGCACTAAATGCTAAGGTTATATTGCCTTTAAGTATCAGCCAGACTGATTCTAAAACCTAAAATAACATTTTTATTTAAAAATAATGATAAAAAATAGTCTGTAATTCTTGCTTATAACAAAGAATTTTAAACCTTTTGTTCAAAAGAATAACCAACATATTGGATGTCGCAAATGTTTGAGGAAGAGAGGGGAGAAAATGTGATCGAAATCTATCAACTTATATAAGAATGTAGTCCAAATCATAAAAACTAGTTTATCTCTCAGATGAAACCAAAAATAATTACAAAAAATTTTAATTATGTAAAATAAATAAGAACTAGAAAATTTTCCATTTTGGGTTTCAAATTTTAAGGTAAGTTTTAATTGATTTAGTTTCAATGTTGGGATTTGTTATATATTTTTTTTCATACCTGAAATTTATCATTAAATATTGCATGTAATACTGTTTACATAAATCAGGGGTAATCTAACTGATTGATATCATGTAGCTAGGGGTTGATTGGATCTAAACAGTTAATTAATTTATTCACTACATATATTGAAACTCAATGATCGAAAAAGTTTGATGGCTCTTGATATTAACAATAATATCCTTATCCTGATATCCTAGTCCAACATTTTTTGGACAAGGAATCCAAAAGTACTAAGTACAGAAGCTGATAACAGAACATCTTCTAAATAAAACATTGGTTCTGAAATACAAAATTTTGATTTGAGATGATTAAATTTTATTAAAAGGTTTGCCACTTTTAGTGCACATGAAATATTATAAAAAAACTCATAACTTCATAGGTAGATTTCTACTGAATTTGATGTGACACAGATTTTATATTTCTCAACAAGCCATGGTTCCTAGAGGAATGCTTTATTGTTAAGTTAAATGCCCATCATTTTCATAAAATCAATAATAAAAAAATAATGACTATGTTTCAGCAATAACTATATCAACTGATAGATATAACAACTGATTATCCTAACTCTGAAAATAGACATCTATACATTCCTCATTTGAAATTTTTTATATTAGTATTAATGTATTCAAACAAAAGGTATTTTTACAAAATATTTTAAGGAATGGTGCATATGAAAGTTTATATCATTATTTATGTTATACTTTATTTGAAAGTAACTCATAATTTATGCTCTGAAACTTAATTGCATCAAAAAAAATATCCGCTTTTTGTTTTAAGAACATGAAACTTTATCAGTGTGTAATAATAAATTCTAATAAGTTAGACATATTTTTTTAAAAAAAAGTTTTAATTGTGAAGATTGATTTTCCTTACTTAAAATGATTTAGTTATTTACATGCTCATAGTTCTGAAAAATCGTTAAAAATATAAAAAGAAAAATATATGAAAAACGTCTTAAAAATAAATTAGGAGAAAAATACAAATAATTAGCAGGCAGTTATCTAATTGGTGTCCGAAAATAAAAAACTTTTTCTATTGAAATTTATTTTATTTAGGACAAAACTTGTAGTAAAAATGTTAAAACACAATTAAGTTCTAGATTGATACCAATAAATATATAGTTTGGCAATTAAATATTTAATTAAAAGATACAAAATTTAAAAAAAGCAAACTTACTGAAAGGAAGGTACCAATATTTTCTTTAACAAAATTAACGATCAAGTCCATATTCAGAGTTTTGAAACCATCAACCAAAGAATCGAAAGACGCCACATGTTCAAAGTTTGGCGAAGTACTGTTTTCATTTCTAGAATGCCATAACTCATAAACTTTATCAAATATTTCTAAAATTTGTTTCTCTAATTCTGCAGCACGTTCTTCATTTTTGTCATCAATAATGCGACGTACCTAAAATGATTGAACACTCTGTAGGAATATTTGACGTTAAAAGATTAAATGTGTAGAATTATCAGAGACAGTTAAACATAAAACAATAGTACTTCTATGACCTGAACCATTTTAACATTATTTTTCAAGATAAAGAAAAACAAAATCCTGATTCACAATAAAATTAATAAAGGACATTTCATAAGTAGAGGTACAACCACAGTGAAATATTTATAGTTTCTTCTCTAATGTTTGAGCATGCAAAAATGCAAATATTTTTTTCAAAGCACAACAAAAAAGCAAAACATCTCAACCTAAGGTACACAAGCTTTCGCCACAATAGTAAACTTAACTAGATGTTGATGATTTGTTTATGTTATCGAAATAAAAATTGCAGAATAATTTTATGCATTTATAAAACAGGTTTTGTATAATCTTAACTCAAACAATCCAATAATTATATGGAACAAAAAACTCTTAACTTCAGAATTATAAATGTAATTATAACAATGATTAAAAATAAATAGAATTAAATAAATGCATGACAAAGACAGCAAAATATTAATTGTAGTGTTTCTACTGTACAAATACACAACATTAATTAACTTTCTTTTCAGTGTTGCTAGATTTCTTCTCATGGACTAAGGTGAAAAGAAACTGAATAATAAGTTGTAATGTTGTCACAATTGAAGGTCTATTAAGCATTATTCAATAATGGGTACAACCTGCTAAACAGAAAAAGACAAGATGAATAGAAACTGCAATTTCATATGAAATTGCAAAGCATCTTTGTTGTGTAAAAATAAATTTTTTCTGTCATCAGCAACCAAACAAAATCAGATTTTGGTATGAAGTATAGTTTAAAAATATCTCACAAAAAGAACAACAAATTTATGACACAATAAAAGAGCATGTAGTACAATGCTAGAAAGAGAAGTATGTGCAAATGAAAATCACAAAAATTGCACAAAAAGGTTGCCAACATTGCAATTTTATAGACTACAACCACTTTGAACAATTCTTATTCTTTATCAGAATTATAATGCCTAAAAAAAAGTTCAGCGGCAAACTTGTTAAAAAAAACTTTTTAGAAGATATTATCAAACCTATTGTAATCTAAATTGTAATAAGAAAAATCTGCAAGAATTTTCGTCAAACTACAAATTAAGCATGGTTTGCAACTTTGAGACCCATTGCAATTTTCCTTTTCCTTAAAGCATTATGACACAAAAATTTGTATCTCCATTTATGAAATGCAAATAAATTTTGATATTTGTTTTTGAAATTAATAACATAATTTTATAGTTTGCACATTTTTTTGGATAATTAATTAAACAACTATTCATTTATAATGAAAATATGAATTAAGAGTTATATTTAATTTTTATAATGCAAAAATGTTTACAAAAAATTACTTTAACCAGAAATGTAAACTTTTTAAGTGAAGTAAAATGTGAATCAAATTGATCGTAAGAATTTATAAATAACTTGTAATTCTACATTATAAGGAAAGTAAGAAAAACTGCTTTGAATAAACAAAAAACTCGCAAAACTTGTTCAATAAACAAAAGCTGGTATACTCTTTGGTTACACGTCCTAAAAAAAGCAGTATAATCACTGGAATAGGCAATTAAAAGTCTACTTAAATGAAAACACACACACATGTAAAAGAAATCCATATTTTATAATACATAATTAAATAGAAATTATACTATAGTAAACATTTGTTTTCAACTATCTTTTTGTGATTTTTCTTTTCAGAATTTTAATGACATAAAAATTTAGTATTGAATTTGCTTGAAAATTAATATAAATATTTTTCTGATAAAAAAGTTTCATTTTATATGAAAAGAAATGGTGATAAATTTGAAGTTATAGTAAATAAATTATAGCTTTAGAATTTTGTATATCCTGCTAAAAACAAAAGAAAAGTTTTTATTATAATACATTTTTCACTAATTATAGTAAGTAAAAACTACTCCACTTCAAAACTATGGAAAAAGGAAAGAGAATTGCTTAAGAATCAATTGACTTCATTCATTATAGAACAATAATTTTATAATTTGAAATGAACAATTTATATTTTTAATTTGCTTGACACATATTTGAAAGTATTACTTTTTTACACCTTTACAATTAGAAGGAATGAAATGAAAATTAATTTTTCTTATAAAGGCAAAATATTAATGTTTTTTATATGGAATTTTACCTTAGTTATCGATTAGACACCAAAATTGGCTGAACATCTAATGTCATTGTTTTAATGAGACGTTTCTTAGACACAAAAACAACAAGTTAGTGGTACTCAGTATCTCCAGCATATTTCTATTGCACACATTCAGTTTTTGTTTAATTACGGTTTGTAAAATTCTTTTATGGTATGCATATTTGCAATTTTAAAACAAGAATGGAAAATTGGAATACAAAAAATTAAATTGCACAGTTTATTAACTACTCAACTTTGAAAAAAAAATCCCCATGCTTTATGAAGGTGAATGTTTTAAATACATTGTTGATGAAGTAAAAACAGATAGATAATCTACAAAAATCATGAAAATTAAATAAATCAAACTTGTGCCTGGATTAAATTCATATTTAAATTTTGCTATGAAGTTATATATTCAATCAATTTGAATCACTTTTACTTTCACACTAGCAGAAAAAAAACTATTAAAAATAATTTTATATTCTAAACAATAAACAAAAATGTTTTAATTGATATTACACTAGAGACGAAAAGTGGACCTTTCCCTCGACTGGTTGGCTGCCTTTTTTTCCTTTTCTTACCTTAATTAAAGAAAATACCCCAGTAAAAACTCAGTCAATAAAAAAAAAAAAAAACTACAACAAAATATAAGCAAGCAATATAATAAAAAGGGATTTCAATAAGAAAAATGCATGCAATTAATTTTAAATAAATATTTAAAAATAAAATAAACAAATAAATGATTATTTGTGAAGTAAAATTTTTTAAAATCTAAAATTATTAAATAAATCTAGTTATATACATGCATAACTAGATCCATCCAATAAATTCATACATTTATTTAGAACATAATAGCTCAAACAATGATTAAAAATTAAAAAAACTGCAGTTTTACAAAGCAAACATTCTGAACTTTGAAAAAGAATTTTCAAAAGAGTTTATGGGAAGAATATACAGGGATGAGAGTAGTTGGAAAGTAAAAAAGAGGAAATTCATGAATGAATATGTATATATGAATCACATGCATGATTTCAAATTAAAAGAATATGAATCACATGCATGATTTTAAATTAAGAGAATATGAATCCCGAAATGAGGCTCTTAAACCACGCGAATATGAAACTCTATATCGAATTTAAAAAATGCGAAAATACAAATCATGATGTGTAATTTTTAGATCACGTAAATACGAATCACGATGCATAATTTTTAAATAGCACGAATGCGAATTCCACTGTCTAATTTTTAAAGCTAATTCCTTATTATAAATAGGAAAATCGATGTTTGATATTACAACCGCAAAAACGAATCACGACATTGGATTTTAAGCTCGCGTGAATATGAATCGCTACATAGGGTTTTAAAAATGCGTAGTTACAAATCGGGATATTGGATTTTTAAATCTCGTAAATAAGAATTGCAATGTACGACATTTTAATTGCCAGATTAAGAATCGCAACGTTCAACTTTTAAATAAGGTAAATACGAAAATCAATGTTTGAGGGAGGAATGAGGACTTCAATACTTTCACTTCGGGGAAAATTTAATTCCTCATAAAATATTTTAACTTGTGCAAAAAAAAATTTCAGTGGAAAAAATATAAAAATCTGAAAAAAAAGCGGAAATCTGCGAAAGAATCACATCCCTGAATATATTAGTTGAGCTACATGCTTAGAGAAATTTAAGAATTTTCAAAATAAAATGTTTCCAAAAATCCAGCTACTAAACTAATGCAGTTCGAGAACAATAAAAAAAATATTAAGTATAAGATACAAGCTTCAAAAAATTATTTTAAGGAGCAAAAACAGAACTATGCAAAATCAATTCATGCAGATTGAAATAAAGCTTCAAATATAAAACCCCACACAATGAAATTTAATTGTTTTCGTAAAATATCATTTTCATGCTTACTAAAAATGTACTACTTAGCTTAAACCATGTAATCAATTCTGAAGTTTGAGATTACTTTTATTTTCCTTCTTTTGTTAAAGTTTAAGACATTTATTTAATTTTTTCCTTCACATACCAGTAAAACTTGTTTACTTTGAAGACTTTTTGGAATTGATTAACTTTTTCTAAACCTTAAACTAAAAATTTAACTTAATTTTATAACAGAATAAGTAGAAGAAAAAAATATAAAAATATTAAATATAAGCCCAACAACCAATTAATGAAATTTCACAAGACATGAAAGACTAGAAAAAGTCCATTTATTGCATTAGCAATTATTCTAAGAGTTTGGTTAAGCCCAAAATTAGTAATCTTCACCACAACAAAGAAGAACAATTACAAGATTACAATTTTCAAGAGAAAAATACATAATCTTCACAGAATATGCAGTCAAATTGCGATAACTTGAACTCGATAGAATGGACACCCTATCTAAAGTTCAAATTTTCATATTAAAATTTCTTTGGCAGCAGGTTCCTAAATTAATTTTATTTAAGGATATTTTCACTTTCATTTAATATCAGAGACAAAGTATTCAGAGAAGTTTTCTTCTGTAATGCTGTATCGTTCTTTTTTATATTAAGATTTATAGCCATATTATTAACAAAAATAGTTTTAACTTCTAAGTGAAGACTTTTTAACTTTTGTCTAGACAACTTTAGGGATAAACATTTTTTTCTCCACAAACTCTGGAATGAGTGAAAATGAATGCTTGAAATAAATGGAACAATTTGAATGTACACATCTATGTCTTTAAATACCAATACTCTGTACTTATTGATATTAAATATGTAAGCAATAACGACCAATTGAGTCAATAGTGTCGTGCATAATAAGACAAGAGGCAAGAAATAGTTACCTCCTCGGCTGTGATTAATTGCGTCTTTTGAAAAAATTTGAGTTAAGGGGAGCAAAAATTGAGTTATCAAAAATAATTAACTTGAAGTTAAAGATTAAAGTGAAGGGAATCTCATAAAAATTCAAGTTATAGCAATTTAACAGTAAAATATTTAAACTAACTTTATGTGCACACTAATAATATGTTCATGTCAAATCAAAAAGCAAAAAAATAAAACAAATCTAAAACACAGGGTCATTAAAAAATAATGCCAGAATTTTGCAACCTTTTTAAAAATTAATTTCAAAAAGTACTAATAATATGTTCATGTCAAATCAAAAAGCAAAAAATAAAACAAATCTAAAACACAGGGTCATTAAAAAAATAATGCCAGAATTTTGCAACCTTTTTAAAAATTAATTTCAAAAAGTACGGAAATAATAGGTAATGAAAGAATATAAAACTTTCGTTTGTCCATTAGAATTACAGCGAAATAATTACTAATAACAGCTGCCTAAAAAACAAATCATAGCAACAATTGAAACTGTAACTCTCGAAAAGATAAAAATGATGTGAATGAAGATTGATTATGGTCTTGATGTCTGTAGAGTGGCAAAGGATGCAAACATCAAAATGGGCATATAATTTTGCATTTTTTAAAAACATTCTCAACAATCTAATTACAGACGTGATTATTAATAGACATAATACATTCCACGCTCTATATAACTAGCCTCATAGTCAGAGAGAAAATGGACGTCATAATGAGAGGTTATTATATCATGAGAGCAGAAAATACCATAAAATATTAACTCATAACTAAAGACAATATTTGACAAATTTTAATAAAGCAATGCTTCACTTTGATAACTAACAGTTGTAATAATATAACTTTTTTTTCTATATCAATAAATACGTAAAAGTACCTTCTAGTATAACACTTCATAAGTGAAAAATGCATTAGAAATGCTGGTTATGCTGGTTAATTAAAAATAAAATTTTTCATAAATAACATACATCAAGACCATAGTGCAAAGACCACGCTTCAATTTGAAAATAAACTGCACTTCACAAAAAGAATAAATATTATTTTTAAACAAGAAAAGTATAATTGATAAATTTATTATATTCTCTGAAATAATTTACAAATATTATGAATGATTATCATAAAATTTGATTACTTAGGACTTAGGATAAGAGTTTTGAGGTAATTTCCTTTCTTTATCCAAAGGGAATTCTAGGAGCTTTACATCTATTGTATGGTAATATCAAAGGAAATACAGTCAAACCCCGCTATAGTTAACCTTCAAGGGACCGAAATTTCGGTTCACTATAACCGGGAGTTCACTATATCCGTTTCTCAGACAATTTAACTAATGGTTCCAACTCCTCCTTTTATTACACATTATTTAAATAAATGACTGAAAAATAATATGTAGTAACAAAAATATGCTAACTTTTATTTTTATTACAAATATCGGCTTGATTACATCCATTTTCAATTTTCCTGTTTATGTCCATTTTATCTTCAATGAAGAACGTTTTGCATTTACTGCTGACCATAGTTTAATTTGTGACACCTATTTGGAGGATTCTTTAACGGAACTGAGAGTAAAAACGAGTTGAAATTAGGGCCTTATCATCACAGATTAGTGTCCACCCCTTTGACCATTAATGAATAACTAGACATTCCAACGCACTCTCTCTGACAGGAAATAAATATTGACCCCACTGGTCCTTACAGGTGCAACATCTGCTGGTGTTGGCCTTTGCTTAGGGATGGGAGAGTGAGATAAAAGAAGCAAACAAGACACAATGCTTATTGCTATATATGGATTTAAAAATTGGTATACGAATTTAGTTTGAAGTAGAAATTTCAAAATTATACTAAAAAAATGAAGGGAAAAAATTAGTCGAAGGAAGAAAAATATTGATAATATCCGATTTCCTTTCTCTTTTTGGTTCACTACAGCCAGAAAAAATAACATTATATGTGCATAGGAGCAAACTTTTCGTTTACTATAAAACGTGTTCAATATACTGTATACACTTTGACTGCAGTTTAAATAATTTCTTGAAACTTATTCTTAATCAAGTGACTAAACTTCAGTTGCCATAAATGAATGAACCATTCAGTGTGAACGTTTTAAAGGATATCAAAATAACATTCTGTTAATGGAATAGCAAATGAGACTTTATGAGCCCTTTCCATCATAATGACTTTATGCAATGATCATTATGATGGAAAGGGCTAAGAGGCTAGGCTAAGGAGGTAGACTGAACACTGTTGTATTTTTGGCATTTTTTTTATGGTGAAACTGCAATTAAAATACATTTGAATCTGTTCTGATGATAGCAATTCAATAATTAAATATTTCCTTTTTGTTATTACTCACAGTAGCTGAAATCCAGCCTCGACCATAAAGAAAGGCATCATCTAAGACGGCATCAACAGTTCCTTGAACATCTCTTAAGCTTTCAGGCACAAGTTGTTGTATATCAGTATTGTGAACAGTTCGATTTATCAAGCTACTAGTAACAGTAACAAGATGCATACTTTCACCATAGATCTAAAAAGAAAACTAATTAATTGTTGAAATTGTAAATATGTGCAAGAAAATAGCATTAGTATTGAAGGGCTTTTGCATTAGTATAGTTCAGCCTGATATCTCAGACTAAGACAAAACAATTTGAAACATCAAAAATTTGAATTATCAACAATATCTTGTTAACAGAAAAAAAAAATTCTTTTTAGACTTTTTTTTTTGTAGAAAAGGATTATCATCAAGAAATATTGAAAATATCAAAAAAGATTACTGACCAAAAATCGAATAAAGAAAATAATATCATATATAATAAAAAAAACTTATTTACATACTTTTAAAAAAGTTATCCACATTATAATAAATACAATGCAAAAAATATTACTTAAAAATATTTCATAGTTGTTTGCTTAAAGCATGAGTACAATAATTTATCAATGACACAGTCTAATTCAACAAAAGTGTTAAATGTGTCTTCTTACACACTCGGATGGCTTTCAACATATTTTCTTTATTCATCAAAAATAGGGGAGTTTAAACGAAGTTTTATATTCATTGTATTGACTGTAATCTTTGAAACCCATGATTTAGCACTTTATTTTTGAATAGTTCTTTTATTTTTTGAAAATTTGTTTTCAGGAATTTCATTTTAATTTCAGAAATTGCTTCATCTATTTCAAAAAAAAAAAGGGGGGGGGAGGGAAGAGAAAAAAAAAATCATCAAAACAATACATTTTTAAACAATGAATGTATAAAAACTTGATGAGAATTTTTTTTCCCTTCAAAATTTTTCTACTTCTTGGTTTTGCTAAAAAACTTGCATACAAAAGTACTATTGAACGTAAAGTACTACAGAATCTTAGATAACTATAATGAATACAAAACAGATTGCACAGTAAAATAAATAAAAATAGAAGTATAATGAATTGAAATCGAACCATGACAAATTAAAATTTCTTAGCAATGGTGCCAACTAATTGCATGACTAAGCTTGGTGCCAATATATAACTGATTATAATATATATTATGATTTAAATAGAGCATATTTTGTCGATACTTAATAGTAAATATTTTCTTACTATTTTAGACAGAATATATTATATGGTTAAGATGTAGATTTACAAATGATGATTTTTCCCACAACAAAGCAAAAATGAATTATTCAATAAGTAAATCAGCACGTCTTTTCAATTAGGTACTGATTAAAATAGGCTTAATGTCAGATGCAAATTTCTTTTCCTCTGAAAATTAATTTCTGAGAGCATGCCACGAGTACTGAAGGTGAAAAAAAACTTTTATGTTTCTCATATGATTTGTATGACAGTAACAAAACTAAGTGATTTTAAGTAAAATTTACTGTTTATATGCATTCAACACATAATAGATGCTTGAAAAACACATGAATAAATGCTTGAATTACAATTCATATAAATAATAAATTTTTGAAAAGTATTTCATTATGACTAAATGATGCTTATTCAAAAAGTTAAAAAATTTTTTTATAGCTTTTAACAATGTAATCATTGCTTACATAACTTAATAATATAAGAATTTTCAGCAAGTTAAAAGAAGCAATTTTTAAGTGTTTAGAAACAATCTCCATTTAAGCAAAACTAATAAACAAAATTGAAAGACTATACATTTCACAAATATGCTTTAAAGTTTTAAAAAATTTTTCTGAACAAGATAATGAACAGAAAGTATTTGTCATAGCATTCCATATGAAAATGAACTTACTTGTACACAAAGAAATATTGTTCCTATAACAGCAAAAAAGAATACCAGGAATATGGCCATCATGCTTGTAAATGTATCAATTGATCCTTCAAGAAGAATCAAAAACTAAAATGTGAAATAGTAAATCAGTAAAAAATAATTTAACTTAAATAAATATTGTTAACATTTCACGATATAAATTTTTTGGCATCCTGATCACATATCATGGCAGGCTTTTTATGATTTAATTAAATAAATTAATTACACAAGTTTTACCTTTTTTTTAAAAAAAAAAAGAAATAAAGAAATAGTTTGAATGAAGTGTCAGAAATGCATCTAAACAAATAAAAATATATTATTACAAATGAGCCAACCTTTTATGATAATTTTTTTTTCTGTCATGATAAGTTTTTCTATTAAAAATTAAAATAGGCTTTTAAAAGTTCATATACAGGTTGAAAATACATTTAATTCAAAATTATCACTCCGGCTATCGTAATGATAAGGCCAGAAAGAAAATGCTTTGTCATTCCATACTATAAAAATGAGAGTTCTAGGAAGTGCACAAATAGTTTTGTTCTTATACTAGGTGTCTTAAAAATGATCAACGATTAGCAAAATCGATTAAAGAAAAACAAATCTATAAGGGAAGAGAAATGTAAGTTTTGCTGCATTCTACTTGAGTAACTAGGATTTCCACAAATTTTTCAATTAGCTACAAAATTCATCAACAGATGCTGCTGTTAAAAAAACTACAAAACAAAGTTTGCAAAACAAATCGCTATTTGCAGTAATATCTTAGTGTAGTCTGAAGATAAAATTAACAGAAACTTAATTAAACTAAAAATAGATCTCAAAACAAAAATGAAGCGTGCACATAAAACAGAAAGAAAATAAACCTTTTTATCTCCAAGAATTAACAGTCTCCACAGTCCACGTAAAGGAGCAGGGATTAAAGCATCTTTTCTTTGCTCAAATGTAGAACAACAATTTGCATAGACATTTCTAAATTTTTCTTTCAGAAAACTCATCAGTCCAAATTTTATAGCTAATGAAAAAAAATAATAAAAATTTAAAAAATATATACATGCAAATAAAGCACACAGTAGCAAAACAGAATAAACACCATTAATGCATATGCTTATATATTATGCTAAATAATTTTTGAGTATAAGCTTAAAATTTAAGAAACTTTTTTAAGCTCAATTTAGAAAATAGATTTATGAGGATCTGCAAAAAAATAATAATTTTACCTCTAAGACAATGAGCTAAAAATAAACAACTCACATGTATATCTTGGCAATGATGATGGTACTTTTTTTACAGATATAGTATTTAAAATTTTTCAATAACAAGCTTAGTTGATAAAGAAAGACATGATTTCACATAATATAGATAATTGAAAAGCTATCTCAAATATCTTTAATTATTAAATTTTAATTTATAGCATCAAGATAAACTCAAACTTGAAAGTTCTTTTTAAGATACGATTTTAACTAGAAATATCAACAAAAAATGAATATAAATCTTCACTATTTAGGAAAAAGAATTTAAGCAAGTTTTTGATCATAATGCTTTTTATAGAGAAATCGATAATTTTAAATGTACAAATTTAAGTTTGAAAATAATTTCTTTTCTTTCTAAATACAAAGCTTATTTTAAAAGCAGAATAGTTTAACAAGTCAGAACTGAATCCTATTTTAGAAAAAAAAAAAAAAAACTGCTTCAGTCTAAGGACAGAGAGATTTCTGGTTGTGGCACTTTTGCACTAGATTAAGTAACCAGACATACTCCGTTTGGAAAGCTGTATCATTTGCAGTCCCTCATTCTTTGTAAACTATTAAGAATGAGGATATCAATAAATTACTAGACCAGAATGTATCAGTCAATCACTAGAATGAGTTGCATTTCAAAAACTATTTCATCCAATATGTTATGGCTTAGCTCTATTTGTTCAAACAGCAAAGTAATATTAACAAATATGAGATAATGATATTTATATAAAAACCTGCATGTTTGATTCCCATATAAATACAAGGTATTAACATGAGGTAGCAGAGAGACATATGACGATATAGTTGAATGACAAAACACATCCACAAGAGTCCATAAATATAAAAATTGCTCATTTTTTCTTCAGATGGAATTTCATCCATAAAAGTTGATGGCAAAGAAGTTGGTCTTTTCCTTTCGGGAGTAGAGGAATCAACTTGAACCTTTTGACTTGGAGTTGAATTATCGATTTCCTCTGCTTGGGTACCACGTACAATTGATGATGATAGCTAAAATAGAATAAACGTCTATACAGAAATGATTAATTGAAAAAATAAAATTCTTTAAATAAGTAATAATATTTACTTGGAAAAAATAAAACTTACTAGGAAATAACGATTATTAATAAAAAAAACTATTTGAAGTTAGTGCAACACTTATTAAAAAAGTATAAACATTCAACTAAATAATAAAATTTCACACAAATCTTGAAACCAAAGACATGGTTGAGTTGTTGAGAAATAAAATTTTTTAATTTTAAATTCATTAATTTATTATTTAAAAAAATCATAAATGAGAAATTCTTTGGTAAGCAAAATTTAACATCAAAATAAATCTAGAGGTAAAAAATTTAATGTCAAACATTACTTATAATTAAATAAATACAGTGGAACTGCTTTGTATCACATGAAGCACCTTTCAAAATTTTTTTCCCAATGCCCACCTGGGTTGATATTTCATCAATTCAGGTGTATTAGGGCAGATTCGTTGGCTACTCTTTCAGGGGTTTCATATTAGTTATCTTTCAGGGGCCTTCTTAACAGCGGGCGTATGTTGCTCAAACAGTAAGGACAGATAATAGAGAGAATGAAAGAACATCCATGCCTTGTCCGGGATTCAAACACAGAACCTTTCTGATGCTAGGCCAGTTCTCTGAATCCTACACAGTCCGGTCGGCACTCCTTCTGCAAACAGAAGGCATGTTAAAGATAGTGAGAATTACAGTCAGTTAATTCTCACTATCTTCATCCTACTTTCTATATTGGCCATAAGAATGTTGGCTTAGGTCTCTCAGCTAAGGTAAAAAGCTGAGCAACAAAGAGCGAAGTGGCTTTAATAAAAAAAAATTCTCTGCACATCTGTTGATATTGATTTTTGGAAAATGTTTCATAAAATCAAAAATATAAACTTCATAAAAATAAAACAGTTAAGTAAAGAAAATATTTTGTTTGATATCAAATTTACATTTCAAATAAATTCATTTTTTTTAAATGCAATTTAAAAGGAAGTGATTTTTTCTTAGATTATTAAATAAAATATAATAAGCTGTAATTTTACTTCAGGTGACTGCTCTTCAGTTCCACGTATCCATGCTATGCCTGATTTAATTGCCTGCATAGGAGTACGAGGATTAGACTCTAACATGCCAGTGGAATCTTCAGAATATCCTAAATTGTTTTTTAAAAAAAGGAACATATTCAAAATAAATTTATGAGTCAATGATCTAAAAAAATTAAAACTTTTTAATGTCCAAAGATTAAGTCATTGTATTTAATTTCAATCATTTATTAATGGCTATATGTGATATAATTAAAACAGAAAGTTCTAATTTTTACTAGAACAATTGGATTGTTACCACCAAAACTGGCAATTTTAAAATGTAATTAATAATAATAAATAATGAAATATTATAAAAGAAGACTTATTTTAGCCAGCAAGGCATTTGCTTAAAGTGGCACATTTTCATAACTCTAGAGAATCTCATAACAATAACATCAAAAATAAAATAAAATAATAATGATAAAAATTTATTTTTCGTAGTGAAAATTGAAATTTTTTTAAAAGTCTAGTATCTATATATGACTTTTGAAAGCAGTGGTATCTACATTTCTTTCTTAGAAATTAAAATCATAGAATTAGAAAATGAGAAGTAGTAAAACATATTTACATGATTACTTATGCAAGATTATTAACTCAAAATTTCTTCTTTCTAAAGACTCCAAGTACAAAAATTCCAAAATATAAATTGAAAAAAAAAAATTACATAATAATTGAAAAATAAATATATAAAAGTAATAATAAGGAAAATCGAAAAAAAAAATGTAAATTGTTCACCCTTAACTGAAAATAATAATAATAATAATAACTGAAAATAGTAAGTTTCTGTTTAAGCTACAATATTTTTTCCTCAATTCCTTGAGATCCAAAACCAAGTCTGATTCCAGACCACATTTCATTGCAGAAAGTCTAATGTCGAGTGTGGGTTAAGAAAGTTTTAATTTTTTAAAAATTACTTTTATTGCTAAATGGGCATCTCTTAACAGTTCAATTAAAAGCTAGTTATTTAAAATTTCATTTTAATTTCTAATATATACAACACAAAAATTAAGTGGAAACTTGATTAAATTGCAGTGAACATTGACACAATTAAAAAATTATTTTGGACCAGACTAGTGGGAAAAGGGAAAACTAACTAGAACTGCAAAACGACTAAAACCAAGAAGTAAATTCTATGAACCAATTTTCATGTTTCAATAAAGTAAAATACTTAATGTAGATTTATTTAGAGCGTGAATGCAAACTTTATATGAGAAAAAGTTCTTAATAAATTTTTACAAAATACAAAAAAAAAAAAAAAAAAAAAAAAAGAGAATAAATATTAAAATGTAAAAATTTTAGTTAATACATTATTTAAAATATCAAATAGATTTAAAAAAATCCTTCTTTTTCATCAAATATTTTTTAAAATTATTTATTGAATAGATTCAAATGAAAAATTAGGTAATAGATTTTGCAAAGCAGCAATATACAGAGTTAAAAAATTTACCTGTTTCTGAATATCTCGATTTTATGTCAGCCATAAGTCCAATTAACATCAAAGCAAAAAATATAAGTAGAATTGTCAGACGTAAAGAGCCAGCAACATTAACTAAATGGCAAATAAAAATGGTCCAAATGACAGGAGAGAAAAAAATTAAGTAAGGCTTTGTAGATGGTGTCCACCAAACAGACAAAATTATTACATATCCAATCAAAACAGACCACACCTGCAACAAAAAAGAATTACAACTTAATAAACATAAATGCAAAAATTTTAAATTCGTAACTTTAATATGCACTGTATGATATTTCTCTTCTTTCATAATCATTGTCAAAACATTTGACTAAAAAAGTGATGATATGAAACATGTGTGAGAAAGTGAGGGACTTAATTTTGAGGACCCATTTCTCTATTATAGATTAGTACTGAGGATGGTGAATTTGACAAGATAGGGTTTAGTAATATTGCAGCGTTATTATGTCATTATAGCTAATTTAAGTGTTTATAATTATTTTTTATTGAGATAAATGCCATTTAATAAATAGAAATTATTACTTTGATATCATTGTAGATAATTAAGAAATTTTTTTATTACAATTATGTTTGATTATATTTTCTTTTAGGTCAATATAAATACAATCATATATTTTAATAAATTATAATTAAAAATAAGAAATAATTTTTTTTTTTTTTTAACCAAACCATATATTTTATACAGAACTATAATTATAAACCAAACTAAATATTAATGTAAGAAAACCATAATATTTAATAAAAAACAATTATAAACATTAGTTAATCTTGTTACATAGCAGTTCACAAACTTGGTGAGTATATCAAATTATAACTTAAAAAATTGCTGATGTTCATATTTGGAACAAATTTTGATAATCTTTATACCATAAGTACTTAATTTTTTGTTACAGGAATAATAAAATAAATGCAAAAGGAAAAGATTTAAAATATAATACAAATAAATAAGCATAAATTATAACAATATTAGGCGAGGTTCTCACATTTGTACCTCCACAAAAATGATCACTCATATAGAACCAAGTAATAGCAAATGAGCAGAGCCGGATTAACCTATAGGCACACTAGGTACGTGCCTAGGGCCTACGAAATTCAGGGGCCTACGAAAAACTTGTTGACAAAAATAATTTAGCTTTAAAAACAACAAGTGTATTTTGCACAAAATTATGAAGATACAAATAAAAATATAATATTTTTCGGTAATAAATTATTTTGCAGAATCTTATGATCTAATATATTACTTTTTTGCGATTTTTGGATTCAACGAAATCTTGTATTATGCTGTCGAATTCCAAACTACGCAAAATGTCGTATTCAATAGACATAAGTGCGAGCGATGCCAAACGATCTTGATTCATTGTTGAACGCAAATAATTTTTTATCAATTTTAATCTGGAGAAAGATCTTTCTCCTTCTGCATTTGATCCAAGAATCGACAAATATATTCTTAATGCAATGTGAACGTTAGGAAAAGTATTCACAAGTTTATCTTTAATTTGAGCCTTCAACATTTCTTGTGCAGATTTATGTTCATATAAATTTGAAAATAGTAAAAATTCATCTACAAAGTTTTTCTCTAAATCGGATGAGTAAATTTTCACCAAATTTTGCGCTTTTAGTTTAATCTCAGATTCTGACAAATTTTTGTGTAATTTCCTTGTAATTCGGGTTCGATAAAACATCGATTAATGACACTTTTTGGTCGATCCAGAAAACTGGGAAATTCAGACATCCGGGATAGCGATGGTCCCGAGCATCCCAGATAATTGGTTCTCTACTGTATAAATATTTCTTGTAATTAATCTCACTATCAATTTCACTGTTTTCTTTGCTGGTTTGTTGTTGTATTGTTGACGTGAAGTGTTTACATAGTTATCGATCGAACTAATCATAATGGTATTATCGATATCAACTGCAATATCGGCAGTATGTCGGTATTGCAGATAAAGTTCGATAAACAAATTTGTAAATTAAAATCCATATTAATAAAAATGTAAAAAAAAATATGCAAGAAAATTTTAGCATAAATTTTGAAAAGAGGGGAGGAGTGGGGGAAGGAGGGCCCCAAAACGGCTATGCCTAGGGCCTACGAAAGGTATAATCCGGCTCTGTGCCTAGGGCCTACGAAAGGTATAATCCGGCTCTGCAAATGAGAAACTATAAAAAACATGATATAGGAATATAAATACTCAAGATTTAGTTAACATAATATGTTTTCCAGACATTAATACTTTTTAAATTTTTAATTAAGTGATGACATCACTAAAAAGCTAATATTTTCAAAAGAAAGATAAGATATCTTAGAGAAATTCAGTTCGATAATTATTACAAAGTTTTTGATGATACAGTACAGAACCCGTTATCCGGAAATCAGAAAATCAAAAAACCGGAACGAAATTCGATAAATTTTCACGCCATTTTTAATAAATTTTTTTTTTCTGCATAAGATTTCAGGATTTTTTTTTCGTTTTTGAAAGATGTTTACCTTACCATCATTTTGGAAATAATCATTAGTGTATTACTTCATTGTTTTTTCTTCTTTTTAAGATTATTTGTAAATAATTTTTTTTTAGTTGAGTTTGACAATAAAAAAGCGGCTTTTTGTAGAGATTCAGAAAACCGGAAAAATCAGTTATCCGGAATAGCGAAAGGTCCCGATCGTTCCGGAAAATCGGTTCCCTACTGTACTAATAACTACCTCACAATATCTATCAACTCTATAACCAAATAATGATATGTTCCATTGCCACGGCAACATTATTAACATTAAGTTATTAATTGACAAAATTTACAGTGCTAATTGTGGAATAAGAGATTCCTTGCTTTTCTTGTTTTCTATTTCTGGGAATTCTGATAAGTAATTATTTGGGCACAATGATTAAAAATTAAGATATGTGAGTATGTCTCCGTAAAATTAGTAGAGATCTGTCTGGGAGTGGCTATGATTTGCTTAGTGGCATAGTTATACACTATGAGTTGGTCCCCTTCTATGAATTTTTTTTTTAGTTTCTTGGGTAGTGGCAATTCCAGTTTCTTCTGGGTAGTGGCCCAAAAGTTGCCAAAGCTTGGAGATTATTTTGGTATGGGGAAGATTTCTGTATCGTAATCTTTGGCAGAATAATTGCCAAATCTTGGCCTCTGGGCAGCCCATGAGAAACTAAAAAAAGAAAACAACACAGAAAGTTGCCAACTTGAAGGGTATAATTTGTACTCACCCCCAGGCTTATCACTACAGGATTTTTTTAAAAAAAGGTTAAGTTTAAAATTCATTTGACATCTAGGCAATTATAGTTGGTGCCAGAGATCTTGAAACTAAAACATATTCTGGGCATAGATGCAGGAATATTTCCGTATCGTGATCTGTGGCAGCATAATCGCCAAGTAAGGGCAACTTACGGGCAGTGGCCAGCGAGAAACTATATAGAATATCACAGAAAGAGACCAACTCAAAGGGCAAACCTCTAGATGCTCCTTTAATAAAATTTGCATGTTTAAAATTCCATTTGGCATTTTGGTTGTAGTTGGCGGGGCTGATCACGATACCGAAATATCCCCGTAGTTGCCAATATAGAAATCTTTCCAAATGTGCGAGCTTGTAGTTAAAAATATTTATTAATTTTCTATTTCATTGTTTAATTTCTTTAATTATTGTTATTTTTAATTTATAACCTACCAAGAAAGAAGCTCCTTGACAAAATTCTAACATAGAAGACACCCCATTGAGTACAAAACTTAAAGTATTGAGAATGGATGAAATAACATGTAGAGGAACACAACTGTAGAGAAGAAATGAAACAAAAATACAACTGACTATAGTGGCAAATATCACAATGTATTGAAGAGTAAACTCCCATAAATTTTCAGAAATGTGATCGATGACAATAAATGGAGCAGTGAATGTACCGATGGTAAGAGGTGTGCCTGATAATTGTAATTTCAAAATCCATGATTTTAATATAACCGTCATGCGGTGCTTAAATGGATGTAACACAGATCCGAATAACACAGCCCATAGTAACGGTCTTAAGAAAGGCTCTAATACATAATAAACAGCGACACATGCAACAATAATAAAAAGGACAAATACGATTGCAGCAACATTGTAAAAGGCTTGTTTAAAAGCTTTTTCGTGCCCTTCTGGAAGAATAGTAGAAATATCAAATTTGAAAGAACGCGAAACATCAGTAGCCATCATTTAGCGAAAAATCACTCAGAAATGACTACAGAAACGATAATAAATGGCTAAAACATATCATTCCATATTGGCTTTATATTAAAAAGCCAATTTTGATTCAAATTTGTCGAACAATTTAAATAATTAGAACGATATGATTTCTTAGTCATCATTCCGCTATGGTCATCATGTACAAATAACAACAAAATCGAATAACAAAAGTTAGCAGACTACTGTGTGAGTTGAGATGTGCATTTTATCCTAAGACTTTTTTTTTTTTATCAAGTATCCATATTAGAGAAAAACGAATTTTTATTCTATTAATAAAATTCAATTGTGAAAATTAAAAATATTATTAGATTAAATAAAGGAATATTTTAGTCATTATTAATCACGTGTTTTACAAACAAAAATCATCTGGCAACTGTTTGCTCGGTAGAGAAAGAACAAACAGTTTTGGATTTCATATGTTGTAAATCTTGTAAGTTTTATGATCCTTATCGTTTTCTTTAGATTGTAAATTCAGAACGAAGTAATAATTTTTATTCTATTCCACATTTCTAGCATTGGATAATCAGCTTTACAATACTCCGAGATCATGGCTAGTCAAACACAAGGCATACAGCAACTACTTGCTGCTGAAAAGAGAGCTGATGAAAAAGTGAATCAGGCTAGAAAGCGTAAGCCGCCCTTTTTTATATCATTGTATCACGAGACAAGCAAAACTGATTTTTCAGGATTTTAATCCATATATTTTCATCCATATTAACCAGTTTGATCTTCAGCAGGTTATTAATGTATTATTGGTGTAGAATTGCAAAACCAGCTTACCAACCAAACATTATTTAGAAATAATTTACTGTGATAAAAAGTTTGATAGTTTATTATCAATAAACTTTCAAGAAAAAGTAACCGAAATTATAATTTTAAAAGTGTATAATGTAAAGGTGGTGCTAAATAAGGTTTTCAAATGATTTAAATCTTTCATTTTAATTTGTATTCAATGAGAATGTTTTTTTAACCAAATAAAATGTCAGACAAAATGTATCTCATGGATTTCTTTATTAATTAAAAATCTAGTCTTTTATTTATACAGTAAGAAATATAAAATTAGTTTTTCATAGAAAAAGTTGAAAACCTGTTAAAATCTAATTTCATTTAAGAAGACAAAGTTTGCATAACATCAAATGTGTTTTGACTCAAAAATATTATACATATTCTTTGTTTTTTTTTAAAAAAAAATATTAAGACTATTTGTTTTGTTAAGGGCTGGTTTTAATTGAGAAAAATCAAACTAGATTTATTGCTTTAATTTCATTAAACACGAAAAAATGTGCAAATCTTAAAATGTTTTTTAAATATTATATATGTACTTTTTCTTTCAATTTTCAAAATAAATTGTTTATAGTTTATTTATGAATAATTAAGTAACTGTTTGTTTAAAAATACACCTTCATCATGTACATGTTTATTTCATCTACATCACCAATTGTTATTGAAACTTAAGGGTTTGAAAATATAGAATTGCAAGATATTTATTAAAATTTAACTTTTAACTGCTGGAGTATAGTTCATTATTTTACATTCTAAATATATTTGACTCAACCTGGTTTTATCTGAATAAAAGTTAATTCATAGACTTTAACAGATATTTTATTTAATCTAGTTTCACGTATCTTGAAATTTATAACAATATGTTAAATTTTTTACTTTTTGGTTACTATTTTTAATTGTTATCTACTGCTTCATAGGCAAAGCACAAAAACTGAAAAAAGCCAAGGAAGAAGCTCAAGCTGAAATTCAAAGATTTAGAGAAGAAAGAGAACGGCAGTTCAAAGAATATGAAAAACAAGTAATGAATAACTCTTGTTACTTTGTTATAGATTTCAATTAGTTATTGAATTAGATTGATATATTTTCATAAACATCATTTAAGGTTATTCAGTTAATAAAATTAGAAAGCCTTAAGTAAAAGTTTCTATAAAAAACATGATCGGAAAGTAGTTATTTCGTACATTAAAGGCTACTAACAGGCTAGTCAATTGGTAAGTTTTTGTTGTAATGAAATGCAAAGCAAAGTTTCTTACATTTAACAATATTCAGTAGTCATGATGAGTTTAAAGACATTTTAAAAAATGTTCAAACAAAAATGCTTTGATAAATGTAATATTTTCTAATTCTTTATTTTAATTTTTAAAATGTTGAGTGTTTATCATTAACCTAACATTTCTTTTTATGTTCTAAGTGGTTTCTTTTATGTTGAAGGTTTAAAGATTACATAAATTGTTCACAAAAAATTTATATTCTTTCATTATATTCAGGGCTCTATCCAGACCGAATTTACTACCGTTTAGCGGTACCTTCACAAATTCAACTTTAGGAAAAACGGTAGTTTCACAAATTTAATTTTAGGAAAAACGGTAGTTTCACAAAATACCTTTTCTTAAAATTTTATTTTTGTATTCCTTAAAAAATGATAAATCCATATTTTTGTGTTGGATTTTTAAATATAATTTTTAATTTTTCACAAATTATGTCTAAATTTTCACAAAATAGGTACCTCTCAGAAAAACCTTGACAGACCCCTGATATTTATATCTTAAATTCAAGACACAGGAAAGGCATCTGATATATGTCATCTACTTATTTCTATCTCATACCTGTAAATTTCATTTAAATAAAAGTTTGCAATTATTTCGTCTTTTTGGTAGTAGACGGTCAAGTGTATGAAAATGTTTTTGGTAGTTTAAAAAATTTTAAAATTATTTGATGACTTAAGAAATATTCTATATTTTGTTCTCATTATACAATGTGTCTTTCAAAGAATGATAAATTATCTTGATAGCTCCCCTCCCCCCCTTTTTCTTTTACTTTGATTTAAATAAAATTAAAAAAAAAAAAACTTAAGTGATTCCAGTAGCTGAATTTTATTATGAAATTCTGATAGAAGTTTATTAGTTTAGTTTTAATGGTTATCTATTTGTGTGTCTTATATTCTGAACTTAAAATTTACTTTTTCAGTATATGGGATCGAAAGAAAGCAGTGCTGCCAAAATTGAAGAAAGCACTGTGCATAAAATTGAAGAAATGAGGAATACAGTTGGAACTAATAAAGGCAAAATCATTGACTATTTATGTAGTCAAGTGTTTAATGTTGAACCCAAAGTTCATCAAAATTTCAGAGCTCAAAAATAAATCAAAGATTTTTGCATTGAAATTTTGAATAAATTCAATGTATAAGATGTTAATGTTTTAAAGGTAGTTTTTGGTTGTTGAAAGAATTCCACTTATGTATATAATCAGTTTCATCACTGCACTATGATGTTTAAGTGTTCCTTTTATTCTGTAATGAAATTATTTATATAAATTTAATTTGATTATTTTTTTTCTTTTTATTCAATGAACTTTTTTATATTTTTAGCTTAGATAAAGAAAGTAAAGCTTAATTATTTGTCGAATTTTTAAGAACAATTTTGAAATTAAAAATATTCTTTTACCCATATTTATGCTTGAATAATGTAATGTACTTAAGCTTTGTTTCCAAGAAAGATTTGCTTTTTGAACAATTATGACATAAATACAGTTTTATTATAGTATAATTTTTTATTGTTTTAAATTGCTTGTTTTCTATCTGCAGTTTTAAAATTGTAGATTATGATTAAAGTTAAGTAGGTGTTGCTTTGTTGGTAAAGAATAGATACATAGATAACTATAAAACCCTGACTGTATTGTCTTAATTTGAAACAAGTAAAAGTTCACATTTTCCATTGTTCAATATTTATTTACAATATGTCTAGTTATATATTTATAATTTTAGAGCTATAAATGTAAATTTAAATATTTAAGCTGCTTTTTATTAACTTTAAAAGATATAATGTAATTATGAAATTGTCAATAGTTTTGTTATTCATTTAAATAATTTATTATGTTTTGCTTTTGTGATTTGTTGCAGAGTTGTGAAATTTTTGATGAGATTATTTATAATTTTTTTATTATAGATATATGAGACATAGATTTAAACGCTGTAATATTTATTATGTATACTTTGAAGAGACATTAAGCTGTATATTGGAATGTGGCATTGATTGTGTTAATAAATGTTTAGAACAATTATTGAACTAGTTATTATTTCATTAATTCATAACTCTATATAAACCAGAATTAACTGCAAGTAATCATTATTTTTAATAATGGCTGGAGAGCATTTTTTTCCAAATAACTTTTGCTAATTAATTTTGTATCAAAATTTCTTTTGGAAATTACATAAGATTAGTAAATGTGTTAAATTACGAACTTCTAATCTAATCTTTTTAATCCATCACTTTAAACTACAGATGCTGTTTTTATATCTTTATTTCATTTATGTTAAGATGGAATCTATTAGGGATGATTGGACACTTTATTTTTTTTAAAAACTTCTCATTTCAAGTTACAGCAGATTTATTTAAATGATATAATATAATTAAAAGTAATTTGATAAGAAACTATAAATTATTAGCTATCAGAACTTATTTAGGTCATATCTTATTTCTTTTATTTTCTTAAATATTTTTTCATTTAAGAAATGCTATTCTTGATTTCACTCAGCACTGGGACATCATTTAAAAGAATTAATTAAACCCAAATAAACTATACAGAATTTTTTTTTTTTATATTTACATAAAAAAACTACTGAAGTTCTAATTGATATTTTGTTTGTTTTCAGTCTGTGCATGGTACTGTTATATTAGTTTTTTTTCATAATTAAAGATTTGAGCAATATTTTAAATGAAACAAATAATTTATGAAATACATCAAAGTTTGTTTTTGAAATTTAATAATTGTAAGCGGATGAAATAGATATACATTATAAAATATTTATTCAAGATCAAATTTTTTTGTACAAATAAATAAGTTAGTTAATAATTTAACAAAAATTTATGTCATCAATATCGTCTTCAGATGAATCATCTTCGTCAACATGATAAATTTTCGTGGGAATTTTGTTGGATTCAGATGTATTACTACCAGTATTATTTTCTGTAGATGAAGTATGGCTAATGCGTGATTCAGATATTGACGCAGATTCTTCTGATAAAGCCTGTAAATATAATAATTAAGAAACATAAAAATGTGGAGTTTTCATACAAATAAAAAGTTATTTGTTGAATTTGAATATATAGAACTTTGTCGACAAAACAAAAACTGACCTTATAAAGTGATGTTGCTTTATGGTGAAAGTGCAAAAAATATTTATTCTTAACTGATGAAGATTAATTTTTACGAAACAGAATATTTTTTATTTAAGGTAGAAAGGTTTAGATGAAAATTTTAGTCAACAGTACAATATTCACATTTCCACCTAAAATATGCAGTTCATTCATACAGTTAAATATCTTTTTCATTTTAACTGTGCATACTTAAATTGTTTTTAAGGAGAGACTTTAGTTAAATTTTTTTAATGATAAGTTCAGATTAAGAAATGTATAATTTGTCTACAATGATCCACTTATGGCTTTTTAATTTTTATGGTTTTAACAAATGTATAACAGATAATTTTGTTAACATTAAAAAATAATGAAATTAAATAGTTGTTTTTAAACATAGTTCTATTTCTAAGTTTGCAGACTATAACATAAAATAAAAAGTCAAAATTACGGTATATAGAACTTTTTTTAAAAAATGGCATATTAAATAAGCTTTTTTTTTAAAACTCATTTTTATAAGAAACAAGCAATTACCTCATAAAAGCTTTTACTTGAAGGCTGAATTTCTATGACAGAAGAAACAGCATTTTTTAAACGAGATAAATGAGAGCCGTCCCAATAAACTTTTCCACATCCTTCACAGACTAAAAATTCTTTTACAGTTTCAAATACTCTAGGTGAAAGATTAGCAAGTTGAATAGAAACAAATGTTTTTTCAATGCCGTCTGCAGTTTTAATGTCACATTTATAAGTGGTATTTGGCCTGTTTTTGGTTTTAGTAGCTTGCCACTTAGTATTTTCATCAACTAACTCACACCAGAGATTCAACATTTCTTGATTAGGAACAGTTAAGAAATTACATCCATTGCATATCTATAATAAAAGTAAAATTTTAGTTAAAAAAATTGTATTATTATTGCAAAAACTACATAATTAAAATTGCAGTTTTTAATCCATATGAAAAATAATACAATAAAAGTTAAATTTAGAATTTTACAAAGTTTAATTAAAATTGATAATTAAGATAGTTTAAAAACATGTCTTGAAGTAAAACTGAAATTATTAATTAAATTTTTATAAACCATTTTTAAACACCTTGTTGACTGGAAATTTTACACAGAAACTATGTCATATCACTGACTATTATTTTGGAATTGAATATGAAAGTAAGTATAACATTCTAAATATCGATTTCATGCCTAGACGTTGACGATTTAACTCTACATCGGTCATCAGTGTTTTGGTGTGAAAAGACGAGTTAACTCTTCACTGGTTTACAGTGTGTTAATAGAAATAAATTATTTTTTTCTAATCAGAAAGTTATATTTGAAAAGTATATGTATAAAATAAAGTTATAAGAGAAAAAAGAAGAAAAATATATAATAATTTCTAAGGAATAATTTGTAAAAATTATTACAGATACTTGAAATATAAGTATTAAAACCTTTATTAAAAGTGAGAATCTTAAGTTTCCTTTTTAACTGTTTTACAAAGTTTTTGAATGTGCATAATAGATTTATTTAAATTTCAAATAGTTTTTGATACTTGCTGTTTTGTTCATACATTCTTCATACTCTTTTAAACATCATTGTTAGCTAAACTAAATGAATCCTTTAAATTTCATGGGTTTGAGTTAAAAATTTGCTGTTAATAATTTCTAGGAATTTCTGTAACTTCAGCTTATTATTTTTAAGAAATTATATAGTTGGAAAAAAGACATTTATCCCATAGTTAGAAATTACTATATGCTTAGAAAAAACTAGTCACAAAATAATGGAAAAGTTAAGAAAATTTACTCAACAATGATTATTAACTCAATTTTTTAAACTGTGCTAAATATTTCTTTCACACAGTATTTTTTACCCTACGAAATATATTATAGGTACTTTTAAAATTAAAAGAATACATTACACTGCAACGTGAAAAGAGAGTAGATTCGTCTAACTGAAGATTATAATAGTGTTGTAATTCAGCAACTTGTCTTTTCAAATCAACTTTGTTGTTGACAGAAAAACACATGTCTTCTGGCATGTATCCTTTTAACTGTAAAAAAAAATCTAAATTGCATGGGTTGAAAAAACAATTATTAATTTTAAATACTCAGGATATAACATAATAACATAAAATAATCTCGAATAAAATCACATGAACAATGACAGGTAAATGATAATAATTTGCAGTAAAAAATTACTTGGTGAAAAAAACATATTATTATAACTTATATAAAGTAACATAATGCACTGTTATGAAATTAACTATTTTATAAGGATAAGTGGTTTATTCCTTATACAGACACTGGATATCCAGTCAATAACACTGGTTGGCGGCCTTGAGAATACTATACATACATTCTTTTTTAGAAAATGATTTGGGAAGTCTGTGCTGCAGTTACAATTATTTGTAAGTGAAAACAATAAAAAACTTTGCCATTTACATTTGAAAGTTTCTAAAGCAATTTCAACAAGCATAATAATTTGCCTAACAGTTGGGCAAGAACGAAAAATAAATTTTATTTATCATTGAAGGGAAGAAAAAATATATATATATATATCTATAAATAAATAAAAAGCAAGTACACTTGTTTTTGTTAATCAATTGGTATATTTTGTGACCAAAATGTTCATACTGCATTAAAATAATATTTAACAAAAAGAGTTGTAATACTACTAGACATTCTATGCCTTTATTTTTTTGTTAAAATAAATAAAATTATAATAAATTAAAAAGATATAACTTATCTTAACTACCTTTATTTTCAAAATAAAACAAATTACAGTTTTCTAATACAGTAAGAGGTTTGTTTCCTGCTGGCTGACATTCACCATTCCCTACAATAACTTTGCAATAATTTTTTTTCTTCTTAACAATCAACAGATTTATAAATCAAAATTCAGATTTTTATTAATTAAAATGTCCCAAAATGTTTTATTCTATTGATACAAAGCCAGTTCCAGAGATTTAGTTAGTTCTCATTGAGATAAAATCTACAAATAATTCTTTTGCTCAGCTATCATTGTAACTTCATCCTCAATCTTGTTTTTCAAATTTTTAATTAGTTAATGGTTTCTATAAAAACTCATTAAGCAATTTTTATCAAAATATATTGTTTAGCAATTGCGTGAAAAATGAATTTCCAATACTTCTTTGCAATTTTAAAAATAGATATAATTATTCAAATTGTAAATGTTGAATGTACACAGTATTTTTGACATAAAATATGTCATAAAAATGAATATAACTTATCTACTGTTTAATCATTGGTAAGCAGTAATTCAATATGCTTATCATTTAGTAATACAATAGGGTAATTTTCTAACATAAAAAAGTAACAACATTTACAGTTTTAAGACATTAATTTTTATAAGTTTGTTACGATTTTTATTTTAATAAAAACAGTATAATTGAATCTAACTTCAACAAATGTATATGTTACCATGAATGACTAAAATCAAGAGAATATCTTTCACCAGTGAATGTCAACAATCCCATAGTCGCTTTGGTGAATGTCCAAAATATTTGTTATATAAGATTTGATATTAATTTATTCGTTATTATTATATTTATTCGATATTTTAATATCTTCTGAAGATAGATTAGGAGAAACATCAGTGTTTGGAGTACCGGTTAAATGCATACTGTGCAGTGGCACTTGACCACGATGTAGGGCATACCGGGCAGAGCACGTAACCAGACCTAGTATATGGGCAGATCTCTAAAACCTTTAACTTTTGATAATAAAAAAAATAATAGGCACACTATTTTTACACCTCCAGAATTGTTTGAAAATGTATAACATATCAGAAAATAATCGTGAACATTGAAAATTTTGATTCCCTTATAAGTATAAACAAAAAATTAAAATTTTTGAACTAATTTTTCAAGGTTTATATACATTTCATTAAAAATCATAAAAATGACAAAAGTATCATTTATTTAATAAACATATAAACTTATTCAACCTATTTTTCTTTCATTGAGCAATTTTTTGTTTTTAATAATTTCATCCATATTTACCCTTTATTTTTCATCAAAAATTATTAGTATCATAAATGAATTGAAAAATTTTAATATTAATTTAAATTGTTATAAAATGTATAAAAAGGTTTACTTTAATTATTTTCAATCAAAAAATATCTTCAATTAGTAAAACATAGGGAAAAAACTAAGTTCTGATATGTTAAATTCAATTAATTAATCCTGATGTTACGGTTTGACAGGGTTACGGTCTGGACAACCTAGAGAATAGATTGAAAACTTTACTCAGATGCAATGCAATGCGATGCACACAACACAGAAAATAAATTAGGCAATGACAAACGTGTGATCAAAATTTACTTTTTAGATCAGCGTCTGATTATGGTCTTGACATCGTAACTGTAACCTCACCAAATCACAGTTTGTGATTATAAACCTAGAAAAATTAGTTTAAAAATTTTAATTTTTTGTTTATACTTATAAGGGCATCAAAATTTTTGATGTTCACGATTATTTTCTGATATTTTATACATTTTCAAACAATTCTGGAGGTGTAAAAATAGCGTGCCTATTATTTTTTTTTTATTATCAAAAGCTAAAGGTTTTAGAGATCGGCTCATATATTTCGGACATTTACCAAAGCGACTATGTGATTGCCAACATTCACCGATGGAAGTCAACAACCATCAATTTTGGACATTCACTGTAACGTATACATAACATCTCTATAATCATATTAGTACAGGACCAAAATATATTGATTAAGAAAGAAAAAATATACAAATAAATACCCTTAAAACTTAATACTAATTAATCAAACTATATTAATTTTATGTTGGTGACAATCAAAGATTTCCAGATCTTTGTTAATTAAGAATTTAAGGATATAATTTTCTCAGTCCAATAAGAATGCACCACCTACAACAATAAACAGTTTCAGACCATTATTTTTTTCTGTTGTATAGAGAAAAATAATTGGCCATGAAACAAGAACAGAAGGAGGGGTAAGAAGAGAATAGAATGTTCTTACATTGCTTTTAATTAATAACTTGAGAACTAGCTAATTATTAATAACTTTAATTTTCATTCTCTTTAGGGTTACGTTTGTATAAAGAATTTCAAAACATTCGCAATTCTTAATTAGTTGTGGTAAATATAATATAATATTTCAAATTAAATTAATTACAAAAAAGAAAAATTGCAACAAATAGATAAGTTAGCAGAGATAATATTTTTTAACTTTCTAAAATATACTCTTACTCATACCTAAGAAAATAGGTAAATAAACAAATTTATTTTTATGTTTGAAATTTTTTTAAATATGAATATGAAAGAGTTTACCCAAATGATACAATCAAAAGCGTTGGGTATGGTAATAAGTGTTTTTAACGACAGAAAATTTAATACTTTACTTTTTCATATCGACTACCACATGTCAGTATAATTCTTCTGTCAGTTTGAGCAATCTGTAACAAATGAGCAGTGATAAATTAAGATTGAAAAAAATTTTGTCCTAAAAAAGCAAATATCAATAAATGCACACAGAAAAACATTAAACTAATTTGTTGTCTAAATAACATTTTTATATTACTGGGATTGTTGTTTTAATAATTTATACCCTTTTTAACGTAATAAAAATAAGTAATCTTAAGAATAATAAATATATCTGAAGAGTACATATTATATCAAATGTTAGAAAATGCTTACAAAAATTTATTTTAGAATTTAATAATTTAAGTAATCTAAATTTTGCAAAACTGAAATATAAATCAGTTAAAAATATCAAAATTACATACAGGTATAAACTTTATTATAAGAAATAAAAACAATGAGAAAAATTTAACTTAAAGAGAGTTTTTTATAACTCAAAAAAAAAAAAAAAAAAAAAAAAAAAAAAAAAAAAAAAAAAAAAAAAAAAAAANATGGGTAGAAATGTAAAGAAATAAAAAGATAATAAAACTGTACAGAAAGAATTTGGTGATACGATAGGCTGCAAGAAAAAGTATGATTTTTTCTTCTCTAGCGCAAAGTACTTCTTCAGCATTTCAATATGAAATAATACGTTACGTTAATAAGAATTAGGTAGCTAGCAGAATAATTGATAATATGCAATGTGTTTTTTAAGTCAATATATATACGTAAAAGCATTTCTTAAAATCATATTTTATAAGTGAAAAATGCATTAAAAATAATACGTTAGTTTGGGCTGCAATATTTGAGAAATAATTTATATCAGGACTGCTATAAATTTGACATACATATGCCAAGATAACTAGAAACTTTACACAGTGTTTAACTTGGCTACTAATATTTTAACTTAAAAATAAATCCCTCAAGCGACTTAATATTTTACAAAAAGTGGGAAAAAAGTTTGCATGATAAGATAAATTTACTGTAGAATTCGAAATAAAATTTACGCAGATTGTTAATGCATTTTTTTAACCTCATAAACATACGCAGAACATTATTTCAACTATTGCAGGATGGTGCAATATACATTTTTGATTATCAGTGTGAAGTAATCTATTCAGAATCTAAATAGTTTTGTCATTGTTCTTACATTCAAAGGAAATTCAAGATGTTTCACATTTAATGTGCAGTAACTTAGAAATAATTTTTAAAATAATTTCTTTGAAATTGTTGCGCAATTAAATGTTTCAATTTCGGTTGTATATTGAAATCAACCATTTAAAGCGTACTTTCTAATGGGCATTAGAATAAAATTGCATCTATGGAATATCAAATAGAACTTCATGTATTGGTCATTATAATGGAAGAGTCACTGTAATTGGGGTGGGGCAAACACTAAAGAATATTAATATATAAAAAATGGTTTTTAAGTAAAAATAAGCCAAAAAAATTTTTTTTCCCCCAACTCCATGCAATTGTTTAAGAAAATTTCAAAAGCAATTTACTTAACTTTTTTTATTAATTCAAAGTCGTAAATAGAAAATTTAATAGATAATAAAAACTGTTAATAAAATTTGCAACACATAAAACATTAAAATAAAAATCAGAGTTTCAGGTTGAATTTTTAATGAAATTAAAAAAATTTTATACTTAAAATTTCCTATGACAAAATTTGATGTGGCTTATTAATTACAATTATTAGGTTTTAAATTTCCAGAAGTACTAGTAATGGTCTTTCAAATTGAATGTAATAGAAAATAATTAATTTACTGTTTTAAAATACTTAAGCTAATGCCAAAAAAAAAAAAACTATATTGCCAAACACAAATAAAATTTTGTTTTAATGAAATCTGTTAAATAAAAAAACTTACATCTAGTATTTGTTATTATACGCATTTTAATGAGAAAAACATCACAATTTTTAACTTATGTATGTGAAAAACATCAGAGTTTTGAACCTATAGTTTTATTTCGGTTAATCTGAGAATAAAGCCTTTTTATAGTAAAAAATATTCAATTCTTCAAGGCTCTGATTTCAAATAAAGCATTTTTATTGTAAAATAAGCAAAAAAATTAAAATTTATGGCAATAGAAAAGTTGATCAAGTTAACAAATTAATTGTTAAGTCTGAATTGAGTTATGGTAAATCTCGCATTCTTTCCTACAACACAAACTAATTTCTGCTTCAGTGATTCAATATAAGAAGGAATACCTAAGAAACCTTCAATACATATTTGTATAACAGGCATGAGTTAGTAATTTATAACCATGTTTTCTGAATAAACATAAAAATCTATACAAATATTTTAGAGAAAATATATAAAAATAATATAAAACAATTAGTAAAAAAAAAAAAAAAAAAAAAAAAAAAAAAAAAAAANATCAAAAAAAAAAAAAAAAAAAGAAAACAAACTAAAATTACAGAAAATTAATTAAAATAAAAATTTGAAATTTTGATTTGTCATTTTTATTTTTTGGTGTAAAAAATAATAACTTTAATTCTTATACATTTTGTTATTTACTGATTGGAATTTAATTTCTAAACATCAAAATTTTAAGAAAAATATACAATACCTCAAGAGCACATCTAGGATTATCACCATCATTCAAATAAACAACATCAAAATGATTAGAATTTAATTTCAAAACATCAACAATTTAAGGAAAATATACAATACCTCAAGAGCACATCTAGGATCATCACCATCATTCAAACAAACAACATCAAAATTATTAGATTTTAATTTCAAAACATTAACAATTTAAGAAAAATATACAATACCTCAAGAGCACATCTAGGATCATCACCATCATTCAAACAAACAACATCAGCACCAAACATTCGAAGATATTTACCCAATCCATTTAACATGCAATCAGTGACCACTTTAAAATTTTCTATTGCCAAGGATTCAGATGGTTTTGGATAAGATAACTAAGAAACGAAGAATTTTATAATTAGATACATTAAAATAAAAACAAAACATTAAGATCTAAAATTAACCTGTTAATGAATAAATTAAATATTTATCTGTTATATGTAATTATTTTTGTTGTATTTTTTGTGGTATCAAAAAAAAAAAATCTTTACCATGATGTCAAAATAAACATTAGTGGTCATTATTCATGACAAACAGAGGATAAATCGTGGGATTTTAGTTTTCCACCTTTTGTTTATTTACACAAGCATCACATATTTAGAGCATGCTTTATCAGTGGATTCAATTTTAAAATAGTTTTTGAAAAACTGGGAAAAATAGTGAAGTCTGAATACAGCCTCTCTAAAACAGTAGTTTTCAAGAAAACATGTATTTATTTAATACTTATCTCAATCAAAAATTCAAAATTTAGACACCTAGATGTAAAAACATTTATCTCATTTATCTTTACATTCAGTTTTGAAGCTGTAAGTATACCCATTTACCCACAACAAGACAAATAAATCGACACATAGATTTTTCCTTTTTTATTTATAATTTGTAGTAATAATATTAAGCATACAAAATTTTGAAAAACATTATGCTTTAAAATTCTACGTATTTTTATAAAATTCTAAATGAGTTTTGAATTAAATTTTTATTACTATGAACTTAAAAATTATACCTGGTTTAAAAGTATTTAAAAAAAAATTTTTTTTTAAAGAATCTTCAGATTTAAGAAAACTTCTCTTAATCTACTTCCCTAAGTTATCATCCCGAAGAAAAACCTTGAAATTTGCTATTGCTAAAACTAAGAAGTTAGCTTAATACAGCACAGATTAAAATGTTTAGAGTTGGTGGTTCAAAATGTCTAGCAAGCATTTTAAATATTAAAATGAGCAAATTTTTTTGATAATAATACATTTTTATTGATAATAGTTACTACACTTACTTTTTTATTAAAAAGCATACAAATTAGGAACAGATACATGTATTTTTACAAATGAGAGTTAAAGATTACTTGTTTATCTTCTGTCTGTTTTATGCTTTGATTCTTCTGAAATAATAAATAAAAAAAAATTAAATTACCACTCAAATATACATTTTTATAAACAGTTTGAATATATTATGCACAAATATTTCTCGTTTAAGCTACTGTACATCTCAGTGTATAAGTCGACTTTCCAAACCTCAAAATTGTATGAAAAATAGGTGTAACCAGGTAAGAAAATACACCAGTGATAAAATTGGACATATGTTGAACATGAAATATCAATGCATTGTAAACAATGAGACAGATATGAATAACTCAGTATCAATTTGTCCCTTTAGAAAACTATTTCGAATACGTTGTATAAAGTTAATTTTGTATTTTTTCTCATAATAGTTTCTTTACATATAATTTTTTTTAAAGAAAATATTTTAACTTACATTTAGAGAAAACTACAACACAATGAAACTTTTTAAAATATAAAAGCTACAAATTTCAAATCTCCAGAACATCCTGTTTATCGGTTTCAGTAATGCTAGAGGTGTTGTCTTACAAATTCCACTCTGCAATGAATTCTACTTCATCTTCATTTGCTGCATCCTACAAAAATTGTCCTCACCCCTATGCAAAGAATTCGAAATTCCATACTTTTTAAGAGATATTACAATAAAATAGAAATTTTAATACTTATTTCTTTCAGTAGTCGACTTATGCACCCAATATACCAAAAATTTGCTAGCCCAAAATTAAAAATTGGGGGTCAATTTATATATTGATAAATGCGACAGCTTTTTTTTTTCACTAATTTTCAACAAAGAATAAATTTTTTTTGAAGAAATACAATTAGAAAATTTTATATAAATATATGTATAGATAAGAGAGAATTAAGAAAAGATAAAATTTTAACGAAAAATAAAGAATTTAAGATTATTAAGTAAAAGTTAAGTTTTTCTTATATATATATACACTATCTGGAAGAAAGTGACTGGACAATTGTAAAGTTTGGTGGAGGAGGATTGACGGTATGGGGCTGGCCCACTGGTGAAGGTTGATGGTATGATGAATGCCGATGGATATTGTGATATTCTCAACAATCATGTTCCTCCTACCTTGTGGGCAACGTACGCTATGGATGATTGTTTTTATCAAGACGACAACGCAAGATCCCATGTTGCAAGGAGGACTCTTGATTGGTATGTGAACAATAACATTAAATGCATGGAGTGGCCGGCGCAGAGCCTCGATCTTAACCCAATTGAACATCTCTGGGACGAATTGAACCGTCGGTTCAGGGCCTGCACCCCACTCCCCAAAAGCAAGCATGAACTATGGAACTTCCTTTTAAACATGTGGAAGGAATTTCCTCTTGTTACTATGGCTAATTTAGTGGAAAGCATGCCCAGAAGGGTTGCAGCTGTGGCCCTACCTCCTACTAATTTTAATAAATATGGGTTTATGTCGTTTTATAGTGTCGTGTCCCGTCACTTTCTTCCAGTATATATATATATATATATATATATAAATACTACTTTAGAGTGACCAAAACATTTGTTATATTATGTTTCTTAACATAAAAAAATTCTTTATATTTTCCTCGAAAATAATAACAAGCAAAAATTTTAGTCTGGATAGTATCTTAACTGAAATTTTGTGCTCTGATATATGTATAGACAGATTAAATATACAGGGATGTGATTGACAAAAACACAAAAAAGAGGAAGTTTATAACTGTAGCATTAAACGTGCAAAAGAAAAAATTATATGAATTCAATAGCCAATCTGATAATGATTACATTATTATCTATTCAAATAAATATAAATAAATGGTAATTATGTTCTTAAATAAAATCTTGACTAAAATAATTTTTTTTTAATAATTTAGATAACTTTGAGTAATTATGGATAAGCACGATTTTATGTATCACATCATTGTAAAAAACATTTCTTTAATGGTCAAAGGACCTTTATGGACTTTCTCATCAGTTCTTTGCTTTTTCGATGGTCTTTTATTAACATGACTGATCAGTAGACTGCGTTTTGCAGACTTTTGATCATTAGTGTTGATAGGACAAGAAAGTTCATTTCTCACACAATTTTTAGAGGCCTTAGATTAAGAATCGCGATGTTGAATTTCAAAATCGCGTGAATAAGAATCACGATGCTTGATTTTAAAATCGCGTGAAAAAGAATCGCGATGCCGGATTTTAAAATCGCGTGAATAAGGCGATATCGGATTTTAAAATCGCGATGTTGGATTTTAAGATTGCGTGAATAAGAATCGTGATGTTGGATTTTAAAATAGGGTGAATAAGAATCGCGATATTGGATTTTAAAATCGCTTGAATAAGAGTCGCGATGTTGGATTTTAAAATCGCGTGAATAAGAACCACAATGTTTGATTTCAAAATCGCGTGAATAAGAATCGCGATGTTCAATTTTAAAATAGTTTGAATAAGAATCACGATATTGAATTTTAAAATCACGTGAATAAGAATCCCGATATTGGATTTTAAAAGCACGAAAATACAAATCGCGGTATTGAATTTTTAAATCGCGTAAATAAGAATCACGATGCATAATTTTTAGAGTCCGTGAATGCTTATCGCAACGAGTAATGTTTAAACCGCGTATAAATACGAAAATCGATGTTTGATATTACAACCGCGTGATAACGAATCGCAATATTGAAATTTAAAAATATATATGAATACGAATCGCGACATTGGATTTTAAACTAGCGGGAATATGAATCGCGATATTGGGTTTTAAAAACGTTTAAATACAAATCGCGATATTGGGTTTTAAAAACGCTTAAATACAAATCGCGATATTGAATTTTTAAATTGCGTGAATGGGAATTGCGAGTAATGATTTTTAAATCGTGTAAAAACGAATCTCAACAAGTAACTTTTAAATCAGTTAAATACGAAAATCGATGATTTACATAAAAATCATCTAAATAAGAATCGCAATTTTAGCAGATTCTGGCCCAGTTCCTAATATTTAAAATTCTGTAAATCAGCCAATCAAAAGAAATCAAATATCAGCGGCCGAAACGAAACTGCTTAGGACTTTTTTTCTTTTTTCCAATCTATAGCGGAAGTCGCGGTTGTCAAGGCAACGGCGTACATGCCGAAATTCTACCCATTTTCTTCTGAAGATCATTTTCTCAGGAAGCTACTGCAGGGGGGGGGGGAGTTCGTCGCAAGTCCGACTATATCGTTCGTTCGACTCCCCAAAAGTTTTTGGAACATGGTCGGAAATTTTAAAAAGTCTTTCATCCCTGAAAAGATAAGAGAGTAGTGGAGTAGGAGACGGCATTGTTTTACCAAGGTCAACCACTTTTACCCCAGCCAGCAGATTGACATGTGAAGAAAGGTTTATTGGGGGCTTCAATACTTTCGCTCCGCGGAAGAAAAAAATTTTCAACAAAATATCATTTACTGCATAAAAATTTTTTCCGCGCGGAAATTTATGAAAAAAGAGCGGAAGATATGGAAAAATCAGAAAAAAGCGGAAATCAGCAGATCCGTGGAAGAATCACATCCCTGAATATAAAATTTTGTAGATCTAACTATTTTAAGCAAAAAAAAAAAAAAAAAAAAAAAAAAAAAAAAATGCTACAGATCTAATGATATTTTCTAATTAAGAGGCCTTAAAACACTGTATGCTTAAGGAATAAAAATATGAAATTGATGCTTACTTCCATGGGACTTTTGTTTTTTTCCTTAGGTGTAGGAGCTTTCATACTAATCAATTTATCTAAAGTCAAATTTAGGCTTTCCAAAATATGATACAGCTTTTCATAAATCATCAGAACGCAAAAAGCATCAAGAGCTGAAACAATAATATTTAAATTCACAAAAGTAAAACTTCAAGCTCACAAAATCAAAACTTCTTTTCAAGAGTCAATAATTCATTCAATCTAACATTTAAATATTAAGTATTTTATCACTGCAAAAACGTTAAAACCCTTTCTATGTTTCAATACGAAAAATTTAATATTTAGTTTAATGTATAAATAAATCTCTCCCTATGAAAAATTAAGATATAAATATTGTTAAATATATGTGTCTTCAGAAATGATTTTAAAATAAATAATGCATCTTAAATCAGTTACATTTTTAGTTTATTTTCTACTCAACCTAAAAATTTATTTTGTACTCAACCTCAAAGTTTATTTTGTACTCAATCTCAAAGTTTATTTTGTACTCAACATCAAAATCTATTTAATATATCAATCTTAAACAAATAGAAATTTAAGAAAAATTCAACATGCAAAATGTTTAAAGAACATTGATAATTGGTACACATCACATTTTTATAGCAAAAAATACGCACCAGCATAGGTAATTTGGCTCCTTCTTAATGGACGACGTTCCCAATTAGAAAACTGTTCACCTTTATTCAAAGGTTTGCCCAGCATTACTTTACAAAGCTGACTTAGACCTTTTGATTCATTTTCATCAACCACTGAAGTTTCAATTATTTCCATTTCATTAATAACATCTGGATAGTGTTGTTTCAACTAAAGGAAAGTATATATAATAAAACTATATATAACAAAGGTAAAATAAAATTCATAACTTATAAGAGCTGCACTGCTCATCAATGAAAAAATATAAAAAATGCAAAAGTATTTGAGAAAATATTAGTTACATATTTTTTTAATATCCTTTTCATGAGACTCTTTTTAATTCTTTCTACAGACTCTGAACAGATTTTTAATTGCATTATTCATAATTAAAATTTACCATTAATTTTTGTTTGGTATCAACATTTATGGTTTATCACCACAATTTTTAAATTAATATATTTTAAAACTTAATTTCAATAAATAGTTTAATAATAAGTAAAAATATTGACCAATAAAAAACCAAAACAACATATATACTAACCTTCTCAAATACAATCTGTAAATCCACTAAACGGGTACATTTAGAGTAAGTTTGTCTTTCGCAGTATATAACTTTCAAAAACTCCTTTATGTCATTGTCAAGACCATAACCTAGGAAAAATTAATTAAATAAATGTAATTAATACATCACTTTTAAAGATAGCTGCAAAAATAACAAAACAAAAAACTACACTAGACTTGCTTTTATTCAGTCTATATAGGGTATATAGAAGAGTGCTTAACTGATTAAGGAATTTACTTTGAGACAAGTTTGTTTAGAAATTTCTTTTTGATACAAACTTTGTAATTGATTGACATGGGAAATTTTTTTTTTTGGCAAGTAAAACAGCAGATGAAGGAATATTTTTAGACATTTAAAATACTCAATTAGTTAAGCAAAAAGAGAGAAAATATCTCTGCAATTTAATTGAAATGCACTTTTGCAGTTAATAACTCATATACAAATTTCTAAATCAAGTATTTCAGATAGTTTTTTTTTGGGGGGGGGGAAGGGGGGCTAGATTTTTCTACTTAGCAATCTGTCAGAATTCGGAGAACAGAATGAATAATCTGCATTACACAATGAGTGTCATTCCTCAATTTTTTACTCATTTGTCTGACTACTTGTCCTTTTTTTAAAAAAGGACAGAGTATATTAACAAATACTGTTTTTTTTTTTTTTTAAACTACATTGTCGGCAATTCTCGTTTGCTATTCTTTTGATTCATCATTCAAACTCTGTTTTATAATCGCTGGTTTAGTGAAAATATTGGCTTAATAGTTTTTTTTAATTAATTTCTAAACAAGAGCATAAAACAAAATCATTAAAGTGAGTGCAGAGTTCAATGACATTGCAAAAAATTCAAACAGTAAATTCTCAGCATTAGGGAAAAATGAGAGTTTTTTTTCTTTTTTGCAATAAATACTGATTTAAAATATTTTTTTTGTTATGAAATAGTTTTATCACAGAATTTGTAATGTTTTCAGTAACACTATCATTGACTGAATGAAGAGTTTAATGGCATTCAAGCAGATTGTTGCAGAATGGCTTCTTCTGGCAAACTATAGTTTAACAAACTGAAACATTACAAACTGAAGGTTAGAGAAAAAAAGCTAAATCGTAACTTAAATTTATAATGCTCCAGAAATACCTAATTTAAGAATTTCTTTATTGAAAAAGAGTTTCTCTAAAATAAAGCTCCAATGAGTCACTTCAAGAATTGTCGTTAAAGTTTGGATATCAAAAAGATAAACTACATCCCACACTGCAATTTGAAGTAATGCTAACCTAAAAAAGATTTATAACAATTATTAAAATTCACTTTAAAGATATTTACTGTTTATATAAACATTTAATTATTGTCATAAAAATTAATTCAGTTTAAAATTAAAAGCCAGAATATGCTCAAATTAGTTTTATATCATCAATAATATTGTTATTATTCTTCAAAAATTGGTGATAAGCAATGAACAATCAAACATTTAATTAAGATGCAATAGCAAACTTTAATAATATAGATTACTTGGAATATTTTGTCAATTTTTAAATTAGCAAGGATAACATGATATGTTTTTTAAAGACTTATAAAACAATAATTAAACATGATATATCATTTGTAAACTGAAATAATAAATAGCGTTCATTATTACATCTTAAAGAAATACAGTCAATTTGTGATAACTTGAATATGACAGACTTTTAAATCATAATAAATATCAAATATTTTATTGATAAGTGGGTAATTAATTATATTGCAAAACTTCTAAGCTATGTAACAGAAAGCATAAACTTTTTGCATTATTACTTAGATTTACTTTAAATTGCAAGTTAAGAGTTTTTGTAAATATTTTTTAAAGATAAATAGTTCTTGCACACAATATTATTAGCAAATCTGAGCACACAAAGATCAAATACAACTACAGTAACTAAATGTGAACTCCTTAATAACCTTCAATCTAATAATTCGGTTTTCAAGTACCAGGACTCAAATTTAATGATTCTAGCGCCAACTCTTAACTATGCTAATTAAATTGAGCAGACAATACTTTAGGTTATAAAATCAGATACAAAAACATAATTTTTCCAAAATTTTCTTTTCTCTCACGGTGGCTTCAGATTCTTAACCTTCGAAGTATATAGCTGCAATCTGGAAAAAAATAGGGTCCAAATAGTTTAGGAAAGATAGTAGTCAAAGTTTGGTTCCCTTAACGTTGTTTTCATTTCGTGTATTTCATCATGTCTTCAGAATTGATGAAGCAAATGAAAAATTTTTACCAAAAAATTTATAAAACTTGTTAATTTACAAACATTAATTTTTTTATTATTTAACATACTAATAATCAAAAATATTTTAAATTGTATATAACTTCTATATAACTTTTTATACCAATTCAATCTACTTACATAACTTTAAAAGATAAAATCCAAAATTTGAAGGGAATCGGTCGAATAGTTCTGGAGAATTAAAGATATAAAATTAGAAAAGACATGGCTAAATACACTTCAAAATAATACTTTCTGGCCACTTTCCTGTCTAGACTATTAGGATTATATTTTAAAGATTGTGGCTATTGTAAATATTTTTAAATTCAAAGATTTGAAATTTGTCAGAAATCAAAATTATCCAATTTCAGAGAAAAAATATTTTTGTGTCTGATTTTGTAACTTAAAATATTGATATTTTTGGTATAAGTTTAGTCCCTCAAATCACTGAGATTAAATTTTAGTACGTGAAAATTCAACCAATAGTTCAATAGTTATTAAGATGTTCATTTTTTATTTTATGCAGTGGACATTGTACTCCTTCACTCCATTGCAGGGTTGTTAACAAAAGCAACATGAACAAAGGAAACTACTTGTAACTTCTTTGTTGTCTTTGTTACTTCTTTTTCCATACTGATTTAATCTGCATTTTTTTTTAATTTGTGGAAAGTGTGCAAATTTCATTTTTATTGCAGTGTTCTGAGATAATTTTTTGCTATTCTGTCAGCTATCAATTACCCTCTAAACGTCAAGCCCGGTGTATCTTGGGCATGTTTTCTATACTACAAGCAGATTGCATGAGCATTTTTGTCTTTATGTTCTGCCTCTGGAATGGCGAACCAGAGTTTTTCTCAACCAGAATATTTCCTTCCTCTAGAAACTCCTACCGTTCACAAATTGAGAGGTGTATAAGCTGTCATCAAAAATCACTCACTGTATTAGAGGATTTGTGTCTGAATAAATGTGAATAGTTTGCAGTTTTTGGTATTTGAACCCCCTCACTCAAACTAAATGTTTATCTTTCACAAACATATTATTTGTATGATTTCCAAAATTTTTGAAAGATTGAATTTTTATTTTTAATATTTACAGCTTAATTTATTATACTAAATCTTTGAAAAACTTGAATCGTTTCGTACTATAAAAATTTCAAATGAACTATATTTCAATAAAATCAAATAAATTGCTGCAAATTATTTCCTTTTTAAATATCAATGTAATAATTAATGAATTTTTAATATTATTAATTAATTTTCTATATCTTTTAACTAATTTTTTAAATTATTTAATCGTTGTTTTTTAAAAAATTATTTTGCTTAAATTTTTTAATTTGGCAACTCTAAAAACTCTGTCTCTCTCTTGTTTCTGTAGTGTTAAGAACCTTCTCGGCCTCTTTCTAAAAACCCCTTCACTTAAAACATAGGTGCTTTAGTTTAACAATATTAAAAAAAAAATCATGAATAGAGAAAAAATCAAGTTCTTTTTACTAGTAAATACATTTCTCATACATGTGAACATATAAATGTATCATGCTCAAGTAACAATTAATAAATTTAATTATAAATTCTAATTCCCTTAATAAATTATGTAAAAAATTTACAAGCTATTAAAATTTCTGTAACTAAGTGAATTTTAATGAACCAAACATTCTTTTTCAACTAAACAAATAATCAAAAGAATTGGAAATATTTAATGCCACTAAAATTATGATATAAATAAAATGATTTATTTAAAGTACAACCGATTTTATTTAAGTATTTGTAGCGAAAATTCCCGCAACATATTAAAATAATTACACATTTCATATATTTTATCAGTAGGAACATTTACAAACAAATTTTTTTTGGATGTAAAAAAAAGTTTTATTTTTTTATTAAATTCATCATTAATTTGTTTTAACGGAAATTCTTCATTGCTGTCATTATATGCATTTGAAGTACTGGTAAAGAGTCTAAGTAAACTCAAGGGTGTAAACCAGAGTTTTAATGATATAAAAGTCGAATCAAACAGGTAGATTTTTCATAACTTGAATTTTTAAACAATAAACCTTTTCTTATTTTATTTAGGATATGTTTTTGAAGTTTTAACTATGTCAGTAAATATAAGGAGAACCGGAAAGTAATGACGTTTTGATTCATTTAATATTCGTTAGTTTTAAAAACCATAAAAATTTTTTTTGATCTGGCATTGAAAGACAATACATTATTATGAGGTGAATACATTATTTAAAAGCTAATAAAAGTTTTGAAAATTACTGAAGTTATTAAACATAATAAATTTTAATAATTTAAATATTTATTAGCATATAAAAATTGCAATCATAGCGTAACATAATATTTAGAATGTTTTTTTCTTTAGAAAATGTCATTTTTTAATTAGTTGATATGTGACAGAAGTAGAGCGAAAAGTTTTAATTTTCTTGAACATTTGCAGCTAAATATCTCATAAACTTTATTTTTAACTTTGTTTAAACTTGATCAGCTTAAATGTAATAGCAATAATTTAAAACTAAAAAGACTAATAAAATAGAGAAAAAGATTAAATTATATTGATAACCAGGACACCAATACAAAATATAGCAACTTGATTAAATTCATTTTTAAAAAGCATGGTTTATTCAGTCAAATATTATGCAGCAATTATAAAATGGTGACAAAAATATGCAAGAAAAATTATTTTTTCAGTTTTTTTTTAAAAGAGAAAATGTTAAAACACGTCAATGTTAATTAAAATATCAATTTAATCATACAATAAATTCAATTTACTAAGTCAATATTGATACATAAAAGGTAAATAAATACAAACACTGAAACATTAAATCAAATTGGAAAAGCGCAGAAGGCAGCTGAAACCAAATTTGTTTTATTAATAGAAATAAGATTTAAATAAAATCTTAATAATTAAAATCAAAATATAAATGTGTGTTTGCAGAACAGTACTTCATCAGGGGACACACTGCCTGCAGTTAAAGCCTACAAATACATGAAAACAATGGCATAAATTTAAAATAAAATTTGGAGACATACTTGGTATCTTTTATGCCTAAGTTTGGTTTCCATTCTGCATCAATTCCGACGACATCATAGTTCTACATAAAATGAAATTGAAAATATACTACACACAAATAGCAATACTCGAAATTATTAACGCATTTCAAAAGTTCTCAAATTGTAAAGATTAACACTCCTTACTAGAAGTGCCTTATGACAATTTATAAGGCCATGGCTTGAAACTAGAAAAGTCCTAGAGGTGCAAACAGAGTAATATAATGTCCTATTAAAATACAGACAGCAAATTGGAAGATAATGATTCTAACATATAATTTATTGGTAAATCAACAAAAAGCTATCTTGATTAACTCTTTTAATAGTTTACTTCTTCAAGTATAATATCATTATAAAATTAAGAGCCAATTCTTCTCCAGGTGAGTGATTTGTACTAAAACACCACAAGTAACGATACTTAGTTGCTGTTTGAGAAACAGTGCATGCCGATAGCCTAATTCAAACATTTTGAAAAATGCTTTTAAATAACACAGCATCTTTACATTAATAATATTTAAATTAATATTGCCTTTCCCAACCAGGGCACTACAGTGATCACTCAGGGAGCCACTGGTATATACACATAAAAGTATTACATAATTGTTTTTTTCCCCAGCAATATAAATAACTAGTCTGTTTGGAAACATTTTTGTTAAAATAATTGACAATAAGCTAGAAAGTTACTTTAAAATTACAGAAAATTAAGAGTAAAAATTTGAGGTATTTTTACTATAAGATTCTGTTTAAATCTCTTTAAGTTACCTCTTATTAATTATTTCAGTTATTCAATATAAAAAGTAATATCATGAAATATTAGAGAAAATTCAATAACATGTAAATAAAAAAAAACGAATTCAAACATTAATAATTTGATTGTTTTATCTTATTCTCAAAAAATTAATCCTTAAAATTGCTAAGACTTTGAATAAATTTGAGTTTAGTTGTTTTTTCTCCTAAAAATATTCTAGATTTGACCAACACAGCGTCCTATACAGCACAATCTCTGACATTCACCTTATATTTTAAAAAGGAATTGTTTGAAGAACAAATGATTCTTACTTCGCTTATATCAGCAACAGCTTTAAAATAATTTTCTAGGTTATCTACAAATTTAACATCAGAAAAATTTAGGCGTAATGGTAAGTAATCTTCAGGATTCTTTAGTTGAGGACCATTATAATACAGTGAAACAAACCTGTTAAAAAAGTTGTAAAAATATTATTGAAACAATTTCATCATCTACCAAGTTTACTTTTTTTTTCTTGTATAATAATAATAATCAACTATGTCAAAAATCTTACTCATCAGATGGAGGAGGAAGTGCTCTTAAACAATCAGGCAATTGATTTTTATTCAAGTTGAAAGCTTTTGCTAGCATAAAAGCATCAGCACTTTCATTAATGCAGACTAATTTTATCAATAATTCCCTTTGAAGAAAATAATGATCAGCTAATAAGTCCTGAAATAAGTTTTTTCTGATTAAAAGATTATTATAGGAAATAATAAACACTCAGGGTAATATGAAAAAAATTAAATTAACTTACCACAATAAGTTCAAAAAATGCTTCTGGCTCAATAGCTTCCTATAAAAATATGTTTCATGTATATTATACTAAACAACATTGTAATCAATAAAAAAATTTCAAATTAGCATTTACAAATTAGAATTAGATTAAATGGAAAAAATATGCTATTTCAGTTATTATTAAGTAACTTAATCCATGATTCCTTTGAATTTTTATTAAACAATAAAAGGAAAATCGAATCAAATTGCAAAAATAAACCTTTAATTGTATTAAAATCAGATAAAACAATTGACTGGGTGGAAAATATATTAAGCAATGCAAAAAATATTTAGTACAAATTTTCATTTATCAGATGTATAAATGTGAAAAAAAAAATATTGTGACAACTACCACTAGGGAAAGTAGTCATGTTGTCAGAAAGGTTTGCTGCATGAACTATTTATGGAATTTTGAATGAGAAATGAAAACAATATAAATGTATTATCTTCTTAAAATTATGCAGAGAAAATAAAGAATGGAATTATATTAATTTTAGAAAAAAAGGCATAAAAAGCAGATAAAAAGAATGAAATGTAAAAATTAATTTTCATTTTGATTGTGAGTGATCACAAACATAAAAAGTTGATGGCTAAGGTGGGTTGGTAATATTTATTACACTATAGCTTGCATTCAAAAAATAAAATTATTTATTATTGTTAATACAAGTGACAACTTGGTTGATTCAATTGACTTGGTATTTCAATTAACTTGGCACAAATAAGTGTATTATAATATACGAATATTATTTCAGGGTCCCCACCATCTCAGATTTTGATGGAAATTTGTACACTTATAGATTTTTTTGTTCTGATTTCAAAAATATCAATTATATTTAAATTGGTTAAGGGGTTTAAAAGTTATAAGCATTTGTATTTTTGCCAAAATGGCACATTTGCCGCCATTTTGATTCATACATCAAAGGCTATTAATGATTGTAACTCACCTTATATTTGTCATAGAGCAATAATTTTTTTTTATTTTGTTCAGAATAAAGTAATCTGTCATTTAAACACCTTTTTTTGCAAATAAGTATCTTACTTATTTAGTAAATGGGTCTGTTTTGCAGTTTTTTGATCAACTGAGTTGAGTAACTTCAGGAGATTATTTCTGGCAACTCGCCCCCTTCAATTTCAAAAATATTTTATTCAAAGATAGTTGAAAGTGCAAACTAACATCTGATATAAAAATTTTGATGGGCGGTTCACTCATTTTTTTAAAAAAAATATTTTTCTTATGAATCATTATGCGTTAAAAGTACTGGTAGTTTGATGATTTATAGTCCTTAATTATAACTAGAGTATAATAAAATGATATAAAAAAATGTGAATGGTAGAAAAATATGTAAAATGAAGTAATCATTTATTAAATTTTTTTCTTCTTTTTTCTTTGAGCCCTCAAAAAAGTAAAGAAAGGACAAAATTTTAGAATGAACAAAATTTCACCTTTTTTGCAAATAAATTTATCCAGAATCATATAGCTTTGGTAAATGAGAGGGATCAGAATCTAAAAAAATATAAATAAAAGTTTCTCTGAAAGAGTAGAGGGCAGTACCAAATAATAAAAAGCAGCCATTAAAATTTTTTTTAAATTGAACTAACTTTGATCTTTATGGAAGGAGAAAATCATTGTACACTTTAATTTAATTCGAACATTTTGTTTGATTCTAAAATGTAATTGAAGATCAAATTATGAATATTTGAAGTTAATTTTATCCTCTTATTTGTCACAACGATTGCTATGGTAATGAAATACTCCTAAAAAATTTCATTTGAAACACTTATAAAGTTGAACTATTTATTATAATTATATTGAAATGAAATTTTTATATCACTAACTATAAGATAATTTGCATGCTCTTATTTCATCACTAATACCTGCAGGCCCTTTTCATTCTCAAAAACTTTTATTATAATTATATACATCATTTTTTAAAAAAAAAAAATCTGAATAGAAAAAAAAAATACTGAAAACTATTGACACATTCCATCCCTACCTTCCCAAAAAAGGAATTTGACTAATCAGAAGGTATCATCTGCCAGAACATTTCTGTTTGTTCCAATCAGAATTGAGTGTCATGTAAAATTTATTTCCTTTCAAATCAGTAAAATTGTATTTCTTCCATTTATTTCGAACAGAACAGAAATAAATAAGTTTTCAAAAGTTTGAAATGTATCAATTTGATATTTAAAAAAGAGTTTTATAATGAAAACCCAGGTATTATATAGTATTGGATTAACTTTGAAAGATTTTAAGTGCAGTTTAAACTCACAGAAGATTTTAGAACTTTCTTCAGAGAATATATAACTTATTTCATTTAGGAGCAATTTAGATTTTAAGGAAAGTTCAGTTATATGCCTCATACACAAGGAGTATCTCTTGTATCAGTATGAAATATATAGGGTGACCCGGGGTAATTCACGATCACTCTGCTTCTGTGGTAAATAATGATCACCTAAGGTTTATTTTAAAAAAATTATTATTTTTTTTTAAATTTGAGACATGGACAAGAATGCTTGTACATTTTACTAAAGTATAACTACATTTACTTAATTATTTTTTTTGTTGTTTAATCTAACAAAATAAGTATCTTTTAAACTGCTTTTTTCTGCAAAGATCCCCTCTTTCTCTTAATAATAAATATTTTGAGTTACTTTCTTTTTCTTTGATATAAAAATAGTGTAAGCTTTTGTTTAATTGTTTCACATCTACTGTAAACATAATAATTAATTATAGGAAACTATATCAAATGTTGTCCCCCATGGGGTAATTATTGATCACTGGGGTAATTCCTAATCATTGTCATTTCTTTTTATACATAGTATTAAAAATCGCTAATTGTCTTTTCTTAAATGGCAGTTCATATTTATTAAGTGGAACAACCATTTCTTTTAATGATTGAAAATGAAATTTCAGTGTGAGAGCTGCTGTCAGAGCTGTTGACATACCTTACTTAACTTTACACTCTCACTTAATGAAGTTAAAAAATCCAGCAAAAGTAACTTATGTGGAAACTCTTTCTTATAGTCCAACAGAACATGAGAATGAGTTGGCTGCTTGCCTAAAATGTATGGCTCGATGCAAAGATTTTTGGAAAATTTAAAGTGTTAATCTTTATTCTTTGCTTTTAAATAAATCGTTTTATTAGCTGCTAAACAACCCCTTTACTATAAAAACTCTAGATTAGTAATTACTCCCGAAGTGATCAGGAATTACCCCAGAAATGATCAAGTGAAGGGGTAATTCCTGATCACTAAAAATTTAAATCTTTTAAATTCTAATTAGATTTTCAAACAAAAGAAGGTAGCATAGGACTCATCTCATATAGTCTCAAACTCCCAGTAAATATTGAAATTCTATCTTAATAGTTTTTTCACAAAATAGATGTTTGCATTTTTTGATCAGGAATTATCCCAGGTCATCCTATATAAAAATAAAAATTGTGACTTATTTAATTCTCCTTTCAATAAGACCAAGAAAGTCTCCCTTCATGTCATAAGTGTAGATCAAGCTAAAACATACAGAGCTAAATTGCAAATTTCAGCAATTCCTGGCCGGAAATTGTGTTTGTCTTGTTCAATCTCAAATTTTTTCCTTTCTTCTTTTCTTTTTTGAGGGGGGGAGGGCTCAAAGAAAGAAGAAGAAAATAATTTAATAAATGATTACTTTATTTTACATATTTTTCTATCATCCACATTTTTTTATATCATTTTATTATACCTTAGTTACATAAGGACTATAAATTATCAAACTACCAGTACTTTTAATGCATAATAATTCATAAGAAAAATATTTTTTTTAAAAAAGTAAGTGAATCGTCCATCAAAATTTTTATATCAGATGTTGGTTTGCACTTTCAACTATCTTAGAATAAAATATTTTTGAAATTGAAGGGGGCGATTTACCAGAAATAATCTCCTGAAGTTACTCAACTACGTTGATCAAAAAACTGCAAAACAGACCCATTTACTAAATAAGTAAGATACTTATTTGAAAAAAAGGTGTTTATATGACAGATTACTTTATTCTGAACAAAATAAAAATAAAATTATTGCTCTATGACAAATATAAGGTGAGTTACAATCATTAATAGCCTTTGATGTATGAATCAAAATGGCCGCAAATGAGCCATTTTGGCAAAAATATAAATTCTTATAACTTTTAAACCCATTAACCGATTTAAATATAATTGATATTTTTGAAATCAGCACAAAAAATTCTATAAGTGTACAAATTTTCATCAAAATCTGAGACGGTGGGTGCCATGGCTGGATGAACTGACATGCAATGACCCTTAACATCAAAATCCAATAAAAAACCTAGACTTGCTTAATAGGAAAACAATCCCCATTCAAAAGATTTGGAGCTGAAACAACTAGCATATATTGACCATCGTGACACATCATTCGAGTTACTCCATATAAAATTTGACAAAACAAGGTCAAAGTTGATAAAATGTTACTGAGCTTTGTGCAAGTGACATGTTTTACAGATCTTAATTTTAAGACTAATGTATTAAAAAATTAAAAAAAAACCAACAAAGCTTAGAGTCCCAGTGGCTTGGGGTGTAGAGTATTTAACTTCCAATGAGGTGATCCAGGTTCGAATTCCAAGGATGACTGGTTAATACAAATTCGACTCTCAGCTAGCACTAACCACAGTGCTGACGTAAACTATTCTCAAAGGACGACAAATAATAGGTTAGAGTCCCCTTGTTTCTGGGCTAACTGTGGTAGGTTTATGATTTTCCTTTTCATGTAACAAAAATGTGGGTTAGTTCTATCAAAAAGTTCTAGACGTAGCCTAGTTTGACCTAATGCTGGATCCAGGAAATCCCCTTATCTTCTGGGTCTCTTTTTAAAATTACAATACTAAGGAGTTGATTTTTGATAGTCATAAACTCATAATTGGGTTAGTTGTCCAATACCGGTTATAAAATAAAATAAAAACTGAGTTTATAGAAATTGTAAAAAGGATTGGTATACAATCATATTGATAATTTTAAAAGTCAGAGTAAATGGAATAAAATTTTAAAAAATAGTTGAGAAGGAATGAATAACACATAATACCACTATGTGAGTAAACAAAAAAAAAAAAAAAAAAAAAAAAAAAAAAAAAAAAAAAAAAAAACACTCACAAAACAGACCCTTATCTAAAAGCTTTATATACTAATATTTAAAGATCTTAAGATTTCAATTTGAGGTATATAGATAAAAAATTATTAATTGTTTAAAATTTTAATAAATTTTTTTTGTTGAAAAATGTCAGTAATTGTAACAGTTTCGAACATCAAAATCACAAATTTTCAGGAGGAAAAAGGCTCAATAATAGCAAAATATGAACATGGAGTATTATGTAATTAATATTAATTTATGTTAAGATTATATTATGGAATATTAAGAAGTTAAAGCTATTTCAAAAAATTATTTTAAGAATAGGAAGAATAATGACTTTAAAAAAAAATTTAAATAGACAAATTTTTAGAATCACTAATACATGATAGTTTAAAGGCCAATTATAGCTTGTATAAAAATTCTATTAACTATTTTAATACTTTGTATTAATATAAATATTATAATACTTACATAAAAAAAAATTTGGAAATATTTTTCCTGCTATAAATTGCAGAAGATGAAAGCAATTAAGTCTATATCAATTAAAATATATTATTTTACAATGCAGAACTTTTTTATGGAATGATCATAAAAATCTGTGACGATTAGAATGAATAAATTTGAATAAAAAGAAAATAATATTCTAATAGAAGTAAAGAACGGATTAAAAACATGTATTATATAACGAATACTTGTTGATGAACAAGAAAGAATAAATACAAAATACACATAATTTACAAAATATTAAAATGCTTATTTGAAGTTTTGAAAAAATTGGCAAAATATTAAATTTCTTACATCAGTGTATCTTTTTCGTATCAAATACATCATTGCTCCTTGAACACGTGAAAAATAGACATTTGGACACTCTCCTAATTAAAAGAAGAAAAAAACTATTTTTTTATAATATTCAAAAAAATACAGATTCAATTTTCATTTTTCACTTTGTAAAATGGCAAAATTATTTAAGTTAAATATGCAATACCCATAATACAAAAAAATAAGTAATTTTATTGTGTTGGGAAAATACAGTCAAACCCCGCTATAGTGAACACGGTTTATAGTGAACTCCCGGATATAGTTAACGAAATGTTCGGTCCTGTGCCCTGCTATACACGTATAATGTTATTTTTTGTGGATATAGTGAACCAAAAAAGTGAGGAAGTTGGATATTATGAACTTTATTCTGTCTTCAACTGATTTTTTCTTCATTTTTTTGTAATAATTTTGAAATTTCTACTTCAAAATAAATACATACACCGATTTTTAAAATCATCTATAGAGGGGAATGTAGCGATAAGCATTTTTTCTTGTTTGCTTCTTTTATCTCACTTTCCCATCCCTAAACAAACCAAGCAGATGTTTCCCACCCAGGCAGATGATCATACACCTGTAAGATGTTAGTGGGATCAATATGCATTTTTTGTCAAAGAGTTGGAAACTAATATGTGTTGATAAGGCCCTCATTTCAACTCCTTTTTGCTCTCAGTTCAGTTTAAAAAAGCCTGCAAACAAGTTTCTCAAATTTAACTATGGCGAGCAGTAAACGTAAAATGTTCTTCATTGATGATAAAATGGGCATAATCAGGAAAATTGAAGATGGAGGCAATCAAGCTGATATTTGCAGAGAATATAAACTATCCAAATCTGCAGTTTGTAACATATGAAAAAATAGGCAGTTAATAATTTCTGCTCATGAAAAAAATTTAGATGCCTGAAAAAAGTTGAGAAAAGCAGATCACAAGGATGTTGCAGAAGCATTACTGAAGTGGTTCAGCACTAGAAGAAGCCGCATTATCCCAGTATCTAAACAAATATCGATGAATTTGCTAAGCAATTTTATGATGCTACTTTTATGTCCTAAAATATGTCAGGTTAGACAGGTTTAAAAAGCGGAAAAACAGAAATTCAGGAAAAATTATCTGAGAGTCGGGAAGTGTTTCCATATCTGATGCTGAGGATTGCTCATCAGCTAGAGATTACTAATTTTTTTTTATACACAAGAAGAAGAGTAATTAAAAACTAACAAATTTTTTGCTACTACAAAATATTTTTCAGTCATTTATTTGAATAATGTGTAATAAAAGGGAGGATTTAAGGAATCATTAGTTAAAATGCCTGCGTAACAGATATAGTGAACTCCTGGTTATAGTGAACCGAAATGTCGGTCCCTTGAAGGTTCACTATAGCGGGGTTTGACTGTATTAAAATTGTGAGGAATATTCCCTGAAGTAATTGAATCAATAAATATTTGTGAAAAGATCATAGAATAGATGGTCTCAATTTTCAAAATATAAACACTTTCAATATTTATATTATGCTACATACATGTTTGGATAAAAAGTGTCGCATCAAAATTTTCCGTAAGAAAAAGGTTACTTCAAAAATAAAATTTAAGTGAGAAGTCAGGAATATGCATTGTTTTAGTTCATAAAGAGCAAAACAATGCAAATGGCAGAAAAGTAGGGAGTTAAAGTTTTATTGGAAGTAAACTTATTTCCACAAATATTGAAAAAAAGTGCAGCAAAGACTCTTCAGTATTTAATACTAGCCTGATGCAAATGTAAACACATCTGGGGAGGATGCTCATGGTTTTAGTTAAAAATGTTGAAAGAAAATTTATAACAAAAACAAACATTCTAAGAATATAGTACTATCTTGTAATATTACTTAATACGATACTGTAATTTTTTATATTGTTCATTTGAACTGTATCATCATTCTTCATAATTTGGAATAATATTGATCATGCATAGCTCATAGACTACATAAGAAAAATAAATAAAATAAATATAAAAAGATAATATATTACAGTGAAATATCCATCATAGTCACAGGTAGCACAACAGCCTAGGGTGGGTCGAGGTTTTCTTTTAAGAGATTTCTAAGGAACCTTTTGGCTGACAATGGGTGTCCAGTTTATAACTTTTAGGATTTCAAAATCCCTCTCATCAATTGCATCTATCGATTGCAGTTTTGGTAGTCCCTTTTTCTTCCCTGCGGCTTTACCAAAACAAGTCTTTTTATAAAGTTTAAATTATGCATTTTGAAAACATGTGCAGTCCAGTTTTTCTATTAATCTTGATAAATGTTATGATATTTGGTTCATTAAAATATTTATAAATTTCGCATTGTATGGTTTCGTCCAACAATTATTTTCTTTCACTCTTGCTGAAATAGATCTTAAAATCTTTTGCACAAAAATATTAAAATAGGATTCATCAGATCTTGTTAATGTCTACTTTTTATAGTCATAGACCAAAATAGGTCTAATGAGAATTTTATAAAACAAAAATTTAGCTTTTACTTTCAGATTAAATTTAAATGGAAAAAAATCAGCTTTAGTTAATTTTACAAATTAACTGAGAATTAAAAATATTTCTTTGTCAATAAAAGGCTTTAAAAATAAATATTTTTGATTTGTAACGTGACAGGCTAACAATTATAGCAAACTTATATGAGCAATTAAGTAGCCTGTCATTAAAAACAATTTAGTTTTACTTTAACAATAAAATTTACCATAGAACTTGCAAAATAATTTAAAAATATAAATAAAATTATATATAAATATAAAATATACATATTTATAAAAATATTTTTATACCATTTTAAATTACTTACTAATATCTATGTTTAAGAATTCAATGTATGCTGGAAGCCTTTTTTTCATCCACTTTGGATTATAGAAGGGTTTGTTTTTTTCTAGCCCAACAATTTTGAGTGATCTAAAAATGAATTAATAATTACTGATATAACCAACATAAATATTTAAGTTGTTGTTGTTCTTCATTTACGTCGCACTAGAGCTGCACAATGGGCTATTGGCGACGGTCTGGGAAACATCCCTGAGGATGATCCGAAGACATGCCATCACAATTTTGATCCTCTGCGGAGGGGATGGCACCCCCGCTTCGGTAGCCCGACGACCTGCACGCGAAGTCGAGCACTTTACGGTAGAACAGTTTAACGAGGACCAATACCGCACACCCTCGGTCCCTACGCAGGCTGATCCAAGTGGTCACCCACCCGCACACTGACCGCAGCCAGTGATGCTTGACTTTGGTAATCTGCTTGGTCTTAACGATCAGTCCACTGCGGGACATAAATATTTAAGTAACTAATACAAATGGCAATTAAAAATATGGTTTTATTATAATAATGCAATTTCCAAATTTTATTGATAACAGCAAATATTCTTTACAATTACACTTTCAGTTAACTCTTTAAGAAACTCTTTATCATTCACAGAGCATCTTCTTGCCTCAGTGTCTACCATAAATATTAATACTCACTGCCATGAACATAACCCAGAAGTCAAGAATATCTTTTGCAAAATATCTAACCATAATTTTAATGCCCTGGTAAATTCTTTAACTTCCTTGAACGTCAGGAAACATGGTAAAGAAAAAAAAATTCTTGGGATCCCTTTGGCTTATGACTATTATTGCCCTTCTACCAAAACTCTGAAACATAACAGGCTTCAATCTCACAATAACCCTGGATGTATTTCTGTGCTGTCCTTCACTAATTCTTGCTATCTGTTCTGAAGCAAGTCATCATAAGTATGTGAATAAATAAATATCTTTTTGGTCTGTTTATTTTTACGCTCGTTCAATTAAATATGTTAATTAAAAAAGGACAAAAAATTGGACTAATAACTCATAAAGCACTAAAAAAATTCATATTCATGTTTAAAATAAAAATTAAACAATTCCAAAAAAAAAGAAAAGATTGAGTTTTAAGACGAAGCATATTTGTGTAGTAAATATTTAATTGATTTATAAAATTAACAGAAAAATACAAAATGTTTAAAAGATAAACAAAAAATAATTGCTTAAAAAGAAAAGATAAAAATTAATTTCATGATAAACAATTTTTTTTGACATTTTTATTAATGCATGCCTTGTGCTTAGTGCTTTTAAATAAAAAAGAGCATATATATATATTGTAATATAGAATGCCTCATTTGAGTCTTTCTATATGAAATGATAAGCTTAAAACAAATGTTTCTTATCAATTTTAAGATATAGAAATCACTCTCTCACAAAGAGCCATAAAAAGTCAAGATGCCAGATAAAAGATTATTTTCTTGTCTACATACATCAAAAATTTGTTTAATATGATCTAAATGCTCAGAATAGCTGTTTGAAAAAATAATTATATCATCAAAATAAGCAAATCATGCAGCAAATTTAATTTTATGTTTAGTAAGGATTCTACAAATAATTCTTTGAAAAATGCTTGGGGCATTTTTCCAACCAAAAGGTAAACGTAACCATTCGTACAACCAATTGTGTGTTGCAAATGCTAGTTCTTCTGTGTCTTCTGGGTGGATTTGTAAATGCCAATACCAACTCACTAGGTCGATAGAATAATAATAAGAACTTTGAGCTAATTTATCAATTAAAGATTGCATTTAGAAACTGAATATTTTTCATAAAAATAACTTACCCATTTAGAATAATAATGTAATATAGAATGCCTCAGACGAGTCTTTCTATATTAAATGATTAGCTTAAAACAGATATTTCTTATCAATTTTAAGATATAGAATCGTTCTCTTACAAAGAGCCATAAAAAGTCAAGATGCCAGGTAAAAGATTATTTTCTGAAGTTAATGGGCAATAATTCATAGATGAAGTACGCATTAAGATAGTCCTAAAAATTCCCAGCGTCAGAGTGGAGTCATCCTTTTAGCGAATCAAATCTCTAAATTTTATCATTTTAATGAAGTAATCATTAAGATAAGAATATCCTTGCAACCACCTCCCTTTTCTGAACCCCCTTTAAATATAGAGCACCAAAAATTCGTGGCTTTTTCATATTTGCATGGTTAGATAATCTGTGCCAGATCGTAACATCCCTGCTATGGAAACCCAACCAATGTAATCGATGCAAAACTCCAGCGAACAATTTTTTCAATACTGCATATAACTTCATAAAATGCTTTATTTGTTGAATCAGCCCTAGTCTCTTAAATCATCTAGCCTTTAAAGGCATATTATTACATATATTATCACAAACACTTGACAAAATCCTGAACACTTACCTGGCAAAATCATGAATAGCAACTGGGTTTTGATGAAGAGAATCTAAAGTTTTTACAAATCTCAATTGATGCACTTGATGACATTTTTGAAGGTAATCTTTCACAATATTTTCTCGATCAAGAAGAAATGCAGGAAAAGCAAACTGAAGAAAAGTAAGATTATAATTAATTTTATAATAAAAACAGCTTAATACATACAGTAAAAAATAAGTATAAAGGCTTTACTCACTTCTTCTAAAGAAAATTCAGTTTCCAAATTGAGGGCTGACATTAAATAATATGCCTGAAAATTTTTAAAAGAAAGATTTTTAAAATTAGTAAAATGAATATAATATGTAGACACTGATTCACTATTGAAAAAAAAAAAAAAACTACTGAAAACTAACTTAAAATAACTGGGTAGCTTCAGAAACTTTTAAATAAACATGAACAAACTACTAATTTTTCAAATTAATTTTTGTAGAGGAACAGAATAGAATCATAGAATTTTTCACTTTAATCAAGTTATGATTTTATTGTATTAATAAGGTAAGCTGAAGAGTTCATATACGCATATTTAACCAACAAAATTTCTATTCTCGTGAATTATTATTTATATTAGTCAAGATTTGAAAAATATATTAAATTTAAATCCAAAACTGTTAGAATAGAAACAAACTTGAAATTTAACATAAGAATTTAGAAAAAATATATTTAAAAATGTCACTGAAAATGCAGACCACTTTTAATTTTGCTAAGTACTAACTTTTTTTAATTGCTTCTTTACAGTTAATAATTATTTTTTAGATATGATTTATTTTGGTAATATTAAAAGTTTTTTTTATAGCAAGATGTAAACAACATATTAACTAACGTAAATTAAATATAAATTTAGTAGTTAAATGATTGTCTATATTAGTTTATTCAAATTGCAAAGTTTATCAACTTTAAATCTAAAATATTGTTTCATAGATAGAAGAAATAATATATATATTTTTAATGGAGCTGACTTAGAAAATTGTTCTCTTACGAAATGGATTTACTAAATCACTCCCAATTATAAAGAAAAAGGACTCCAAGATACATTAAAATAGACTTAATCTGATACAGAATCAATATTTAATTTGAAAATGTGTATTAAAACAATTTTTCTTCAACAATATCAGGTTGCGATAAACTTTATATTTGTCTAAATCATTTTTTATATAAAGAATAGAAGAAATTTGAGATGTGTAAACTGTATTTGATTTTTGACACAACCAACATAACTTAAAAATTGTTGAAACAGTAATAATTTATATTTTCTTAATAGGAAAATGTTTATAAAAAAAATTATAAAAAAAAAAAAATTATTATAAAAAATTATTAAATTATTATTATAAAAAAAATGTCATATTATAATCTGGTAGAGAATCAAGATTTTATTTGAAAATATGTGACAAAATGCTTTCACTTCGGCAATATTGTGCTCTTTAATTGAAAAACATATGTTAATTATAATTTGTAATTTTTCTTTTGAATTAACTGTAACGGTAAGACTACTGTAATTTCTAAAAACTTATCATTATTAGATAGAGCAGCAAGGTGAAAGTTAAGGACATTATGATTTTTTATTTTTATTTAGACCATTATAAAAATTAGAATTCGTATATTTTTCATTTCATATGCATACTTGAATAGGAAGAAAATTATTGAACATACAAAATGATAATTTGAAAGGGTAGTGTGTGAACATTAAATAGCTAACTTGATGTTTTTTGAGCGATTTAAGTGTTATATTGATAAATCTGAATTGCTTGATAACTTTAATTTTTCAGTAGTTTGATTTTACTGCATACATACAAAAACACATTGGGCACAATATGGCATCAATGAATGCCTCACTGGTTGAGTGTTATTAATAAATGCATCACCTCATAAATTCAATATGACAGCGTGATTCTATTAGCTATCACACTGTAATGTTAAACACAAAACACATAGACATTCAAAATCCCTCTGTGTGAGCTATTTATATAAGCTGCTAAAAAATAAATAAATCTTTTACATTTGTATTTAACTTGTGACACACACAATAGTATGAGTATTTTATATAAGAATCAAAATGCATAAGAGTGAAATATCATTTTTATTCCTTACTAAATGATATTAAAAGAAAAAATGGGAAAATTTCAGAAAGAATTTGAAAATATATAGTGTAATACATATATAAATTTACCTCTTTATACTTTTTTTCATTCAATAAATCATAAATCACACGCATCACATAATCTTTCTCTTCATGCAATTTAAATATATGGCAAATGTGTTTAGTAACAAACTCATTGGATAGTAAAATACATTTACTCAAAGCAAAACCTTTTAAAGACATATTTAGATCTTTAGATACATCATTCACTCTGAACCAGTCTTCTAGACTTCCAGCAACTATAACCATTTTGCCTGCCATTTTTTTCCATCCAAACTTCAATGCTAGTAGTAATTCTAATGCATAAGTTAGAGGCTTAGATTGTCTGTTTAATAAATCATGCACAATACTTTTCAGAACTTCATCATCTTTGCATTTTTCAATCATACTGATATCTGCCAAGATGTGTGAAGGAATTTCATATTTAGTTGGGACATATTTGTTTCCCTTCTTGCCAGAAGACATTCCTAAATTTAAAATATATTAGTATAAATAAAGATGGATCAAACATATAAAGTTATGAGCTTGTATCAAATTTTGATACAATTTCAATATTAAAGAGATAATCACAAAACTATAAGGAATAATGATAAAAAAACCAATGCAATATTTTTTTGCACATACATTCATTCTGTTAATAAAAAAATGATTTTTTATCATAATACTTATATGCAGATGAAATGCATTTACCCAATCTTAAAAAATCATATGGATAAAATAATTATAACACATTTTTCAACCACAAATATCCCCCAAATGGTCATTTTTGCTATTTCCTTTAAATATTGAGTTTTTGGCATTATAAAATAATTGTGATCTCTGGCAAATGAAAAATACATAATATTCTTCAAAAATATTGCCTATAAGTATTTTCTTTCTTTTCTTTAATGTAGTCCCCACAAATAATCCAATTTTAAGCTATTTACCAAATTTTGATTACTACTTGATATCAAAAAGATATGACATTTCTCTGATGCAATTTTACACTTAATCAGATTAGTACTTTTTACAATATTATAAACAATATTTATATGTGAATAAGTAAAAACTCCTATAAAAAGTCATTTTCTTGTGAGAGTTATATATTTTCTACAATTTTTTTTCTTTGCTTTTAATAATTTTTTGGTCATGCAAATTTGTTGAACATGTGGTAAGTTTTTATTTATTTCAATTGCAAACTAATGCATAACCAAAAAGTGTACATCTCAGGTGTAAAAATTTCCTAAATTTAAAATTCTTTTTAAAAAATATTTAAGCAATTTTTTTGTTAAATATCTACAAATTGATAAATTTTTTATTTTTATAAAACATCAGGGAAGACTTTTTGAGATTTTTAATTACTGAGGTGGACACATACATGCTATCCTCCGAGCCACCAAATGCCCGAGAAAAGAAGCTTCAAAAATCTGTTTTAAGCCACATTTTTGGTGCTATTATTAAGAGAACAAAAACTTTTTTTTTGTGGCAATCTTTTCTTGCTAAAAAACTATTAAGTTTTTATTTTTCAATTCATTCTAAATGAAAGAAAATACAGTTACCAGTTTTTTGAGCAAAAAAACAAATTTTATTTATTGATTTATTTTTTTAAAATTTGATCATATTAAAATACTTTGCTATTCAACCCAGTTGACAAAAGTTTAACATTTGCTTTTGAATTAAACTAAGTTGCATACCTGCATTCTGTTATCCATTTGACTACTCATATTTTACCATGCTTATGAAGTTTTTTTATGGCAATATCTATGCTACAATATCTAACAAGAAATAGAGGAGTTTTAAGACCTAACAATTACATGGGTCAGTAAGACCTCCGATCAGTTAACATAAGAATTCATAATTAATTAAAGCAGTTAACATAAGAATGCATAACTCAGACTGCACAACTAATTCAGATACTTTTGGGTTAGCCAAGCACTAGTAAAAGATCATCAAATAATTCTATCTGCGCTAAAATAAAATTAAAAAAAATTCATATATAGCTGTATATATTCATATATAATTGTATATACAATGTCTCTATATAGTTGGCGGAATTCGTGCCTAGCTAATAGAAAAGTACCTTAAAATTTTTCAGTACTTAGATGTATAAGATGCAATTAACATAGATAATAATTTTTAATAAAAATGAATCATTTGAAGTGCAAATTTGTGCTTTTAACTTTGAATCTAATTTATGCTCTTTATAACCCTGTTAAATTATTTATTTCAATAACTGAAAAAGAGAATTAATGAAAATTTCTTGCTATATATTTTAATGTGGGTTATTCTATTGTATTTGGTTTCTCGTTAGAAGCAGAATTAATGAAAAGCTTAGTGAGAAAAGGGTGTTATGTAACATTTTGGAGACTTGGAACATCAGTGATAGAAAAATAGTACGGTATATAGGAATCTGTTTATACATAATCTTTTACCCTTTTAATAACCAACAATTTTTAGTAAGAAAGTCAGGGCTATACTTTAGGAAACAAATTATTAAAAAAATAGTTCCATTTTAGTTAGCTGCATAAAAAACACTACAATATATATGAAAATAATGCTTAAATTAGTACAAACTTTTTTTTCCTTCAGATTTTTAGAGCAAAATAAACTATAAAATACGCAACTGTAGACGACTTTGATCTGAACCAAGCAAATAGCTGACTAAAAACATGAACTTAATCTCTCTGATTTTATCACACTTTAGAAGACCTAAAGTTGATTTCAAGCCTAGATTTCAAGACGAAAAAGAAAACAAACAGTTGTTACGCAATATCATGATAAAGTGCTTCCCTTCCTTATGTTAGGTGGCTTATAACTTTAATAGCATATTGTAGTAAAACTTCTTTTTTCAGTAAGCTAAATTTTTTATTAGACTTTATTTGATGTTCTATTTATGCCTCATGTTTTCGATTATAAAAACAATTGTTGGTTTATTTGTGTCCACACTTTATAAATTTTAATTTGTTAATATTGAATATTTGTACGAACTTTCCGAAATCACAACCAGTAAACAACAAAATCGAAACTATTTTAAAATTGCCTTTTTAAACTTAAAATGAATATACTTAGATTTGTGTGTTACCAAGTTAACTATTTGCATTATTTAATTATAACATATTTGACGAATAAAACTTTCGATATCCTGAAGTATAGTCGGAAGTAGTAACAATCCGGTGTGGTATACTTGATTTCCTGAAGTATATCACACCCCGTTCCGGCATGGAGGAAGATGTCAAATTAGTAATAAAGGCCATGCTGCTTTATTTAGAGCTCAAGACAAGCTGTTGAAATTTTACATTTGAAGCTGGGTTCTTCAGGAGTTGTAGGGTGACATGGCCTGTTGCCTTAGTGAAGCGGAAAAGGAACAGAGAAGAATCAATCAAGAGATCGAAAGGCGAATTCGGAGAGACAAACTAGAGACTCCACATGAGCTTAAATTATTACTGTTAGGTATTAATGTTCTTATACACTGTTGTTTTCTGTGTGGAATATTGATTTAATTGTACTTGTACCCATGTAATTGTAATTGTACCCATGTACCTGGTTGTATAATATAATATTTAAGTTTTTCTCTTTCTTTCATGAAATGATGATTTTCGTTGGATTCTGATGTTTCCGGTTGCATTAAATTAGAGAATTTTAACTTTCCGGTTTCCTTTCAACTGAAACTCCTTTATTATTTTTAGAATGTTAATTTGTTTGTTAATTTGTAAACATAGTGATAAAAATATTTTTGCATTCTGTAGGTAATGATTAAATTTTTCAGCTAAATATAAGTTAATGCTTAATTAGAAATTTCTGTCTAAAATTTTAAACCACTCTGTTTTAAAATTTCAAGAAAGTTTGATTTTTTAAATAAAAAATTTTTGCATTAAAAGCCTTGAATGTCATATAGATAAATGAAAATTAATATGTTTGTGGGACTTCTCTTAAAATTCTGATTTTTTATACTTGTTCTTGTTCACTCCTTTGTAGACATCTTGCTTGCAGTATTTTTTTATTTCCTGTTACCTTTATTCTCTTTTTTCTGAATTGCAGATTGTTAATACCTATAGAAGTGTATTTCTAATTGTTTTCAAACTTGTGATTTTTAACCTGAAATTATTCATAGATTTTTATTTTGGTTTGATACCAAGTTTCAAATTCGACAATCAATTCGGTTCTGAGTATTTACAAATTTAATCTCAAAGTGAAAGGGAACATTTTGTATTTAGAATTGATGTTTTTTTCAGCAAACAATACTCTTTTTCCCTATGTCAAGGTATTGACCTTGGGAGTCGTTTCTCTACTAGCACTGCCTTTGAATAATAGTAGTCAATAAGGAAACTGGTATTGGTCATAAGGTGAGCTTGAAGAAAATTTGCTTTAAAAATCTGCTGGGGAAGGTCCATGGGTAGGACTGGGCGATATTAGAAATTATATATCGTGATGCATCGTCAGTTTTGCATCGCGATATAGCGATGTATCGCGATATAGTATTTTTTAATTTCATTTACTTGTAAGGCACAAAAAGTCAGATTTCTATCAAAATTTCATACTCAGATTGATTTAAATCAATTTATAAATTTGAAGATATATATGTTTTGCTTAAGAAAGATATTAAATAAATTGACTACAATGTACAAATCTTACTTAAAATATTTATTGAAATGTTTGTTTAGAAATTCATAATACGCGTAAAACAAAGTGTTAAAAACTTTTTTTAAAGCGTTTTTTACAAATTAATATTTTCTTGTACTATTATGCATAAATAATTACATAATTATTAAGTTCGAT